TAGCAAAATCTTAATTACGTTTTTTATATCCATATTTAAAAAGAGCTGGGCGGATTCTATACCCTTTAATAAAAAATCGTTTAATATAATTGCATATTAGTTATTATTGCCACCATTAAATATACGACGTGCTTGCAAAAATTTTGATAGGCGTCTTCTGCAGCCGAAAGTTATAAAGAAATTCGATGAACTTGACCTTTCTCTACCTAAACTTAACGTTTTCAATTTTAGTGCAATTGAGATATTCCGCGTATGCTGGCGCTAATCGCACGGAGCGCCCAATAATGCATTTTCAACCTTTATTACTTTTGTTGTTGATTAGAAGAAGTCTGCCGCCAAACCTGTTCAAAAGCGTATGGCAATGCCGCTTCATTATACTCAATTGTCGGGTTTGGCTTTAAAAGTGGTGATACGAGTTGACTGAAAATGCCATTTTTTGGCCACTTGTTGCAAGAGTTGTCGCCGATACAGTGTTGCAGCTCGAATGGGAAGTTCTGCCACACCCAGAAATAGTGCCCTCCCATCACTAGTTTTTTAGATCGATGCAGTGTGGATTGGCTGGCAAGCAGTTCCACAAAGTTAAAGAAGTGCGAAATTAGGTCGATCGCTGCCAAACCAATATCATTCATCCAACGCGGTATCATTCAGTAGAAAATGATGAAAAACATTTTGACCCATACATATTACACCAATTTTTCTCAATAAATGCCTTTTTCAAGTGAAAATATGATCAAAATACATGCAAGCACCGAACGTTCATAGTGTTATTAAACATTGTTATAAATTATGATCATAGTGAACTCGCTAGGGTTTATTTTTCCCTTAGCTATTTCCCCCATTTCATTCATTAGAATTCCCGAATTCGCAGAAGTTATTAAATAAACTAAACTATACTGTGAGGTGGAAATGCCCTCTTGCGAATTTACGCATTTATCCGACTCCTTTTGAGGTTAGGTTCATACAACTAAATTGCCACTTTTAGGTTAAGCCGGTCACGGTTTATTTACAATTCAATGAGAAATTGTTTACAGGAACTTACATTTACAATGCTTCTTCTGATCTCATCTGTTCGGATATTACGACTCAGCTCCCTTGTTTCACCTCAACTTTATCCTCCGTAATCATTCTCCTTATACCCCCCTTTTACGAACAATCTTTCAATAACTAATTTCCCTTTGACATCCTCATATTGTTTTTAACCCGCGCGAATGTGCACTTGGCTCTTTCCTCTCTGGGGAATTTATTATTTGGGAAAATCAATTAGTTGGAATGAACGGGATTTGGAATTTCCGTAACAATGATATATAGATCCAGAGTCTTCTACAGTATTTGATACGAGAAGAGTATTTTATTATTAGTATTTGATATGTTTTAGAATCTTCGCAAAACAGTTCACGCGATTGCGCCGTTTTTTTAAGCAAAGCCCGACTGCAATAAGCCGATGAGATGATATTTCACCGCGACAGTACGCAGTCCTTTATTCCAAACCTTCCAAGTAAACTTTAGCAACGCTGAACTGAATTACGTTACTCCACCTATTATATTGGGTAGACATTGTTGCCTTTGATTACCAGGTCTTTTAATCGGTGTCCTATCAATGATCTACGTATCCGATCAGAATTGACCTTCTTGCCATAAAATGATTCAATTGATAGATAATCCCAAGAGAGAGGCGATTCTTTCACGGCGAAATTCTAACCAGAAAGGCAGCAAGACAGTGAAACTGATGGACAATATCCATCTAATAGCACATTTTTTGCAACAAAAGCCCATTTTTACGTAATAAAAAAAACTCCTCAAAATTAATGAACATACCTAATACCAACAACAATAATAAAATAGTTTTTCGTACTTTTTTTATCAACAAAAAAAAAAATCCTTCAAATTCTAATAAAAACAAGCAAAACCACTATAGCAGATCACGGCTCATCGTTAAATACTCTACACCACCCTGCAGTTATTTATGTGACGCCACAGAAATGAGGCGAACGAGTCGAAAAAGTGCTCCGATTGGAATCATATTCAATAATGTTCACCTTTGGGCCAAAGCACGTCAATATGCCAAAGTCGATCAAAATATCTCAAGAATTGACGCCTGTAGATTGAACGAAAGAAAACAAGACAGCCAGACGGACAAATAAGCTTTCGGATTCAGAAAATGATTGTAATTCAGGAAGTCATCTGTATCTGAAGTCCTTCTGTGTGTCACACACATTCCGACTAACTTGCATCACAACTAGTATAGGGTATAACAAATTAAAATCACGTGAAATTAGGTATAGTGACATGATATTCAGTTGACACAATTGAAATGAAACAATAATATACATTCACGGGTAACGCTTTTATTTCATATAATTCTTTATACATTTCATATTTTAAATTCGCTTCTTCACCTTATCTTACTACACTAATTTTATTGACCCTCTGCTCAATTACTACATTGAATGCTAATTTATTGTCGCAATCTTCAAAAGTATTTATCGTCTTAACTTGTCCGCGCAAAAAAAATTCATTGATTAATTCGTGTTTTGTGTTCTGCTGAAAAATTTTGAAAACAATACAAAAGATTTTTCCGGCCTGAAAGGCATACCAGCCATGTTAACCGGCACTCAACAGATTGCATCAGGTATGTCCTTCACATAAACTAGTATTGATTTTATTAAATTATTTTACATATAATTAAAAAATAATAAAAATTCACACGATACGTTTTTCTTTACCTTTGCACTCTTATAAAACAAATCATATATAACGATATATATATGTACACATTTGCATGCATATCAGTATTAACGATCAATAACGCACAAATGCAATGCCAGTGCAATGGCAATTATTGTGTTTACAAAAAAAAAGTCAATGGGAGAGGGAGGGAACCCTGCAATGTGTAATAATAACGGAAAATTATTGCAAATGCAAGTCAAAACCTCATGAAAAAAAAAGCTCAAGACAAACGACAATTTCTGATGTTTGTTGTAAAATGATATTTTTTTTTTTTGGAAGCGATGATAGTTTGTTTACTTTCGTGTAATTGATTCTAATTTCTAGGCTTCATATTGATGCTTGTAGACACGAAATAAATTCACCTTATTTTTTTGATCACAACTAGTGGTTTTGTGGTTAGCAGGCCAGGCATATGAATATACCAATATTTAATGTTTGTTTTTCTTCCTACGCTTTCGTTACTCTTCTTATTTGAAAAATGATTGCATGTAAACCCACCGTATTAAGGGTACATTAAGTATGTGTGGATGCCTATAACATGCTGAAGAACTTAAGAGCGTATCACTTTTTATAGCAGCCCACGGTCCAGAATCATTTTTTAAAACGACTTACGTATGTCTTGACATTTGCTGTTCGTCTCTTTGCTGTTTGGGTCAAGCGTGCGAATTGCAATTTTTGACATATGTTGATGAAATTTGATACACTGACTCCACTGGCACTTCGCATAAATATTGGATGTTCTTGCACGCAGGTTGGTATTGAAAATGGGGCAAATCGATCGACGAAGACGCCCACAGAACCACGTAAACTAAGAACACCTCTGTTTTTCAAAAGCAATAAAAAGTTGGTTTTTTGCGCATTACTCATAAACTACAGCAGATAAATATGCAAAAGTTTGAGCACATATTCTAGGGGCAATGCTGTCGTACTTGAAAAAATAGTGGAAGAAATTAATTAATTAATATTAATTAATTAATGTAAAAAGTATCAAAGCCGGATTTTTTTTTCATTGCCTCTTTAACGCGCGCAAACAAGCGTCAAAAACACAATTGAGCATATAACTTTGTGGCCAGTTTCAAATTTTGAATGCACCTACGCATGTCCCTCTGTTCCTCTATCCATCTGCCTGTCTGTTATTTCGTCCATTGGTGCATATACCCAACTTTCGTAAACTTTCTCCCATTCGCAAAGAAGGGCACATCGTTTAGAATCTTGCAAAGAAATTTGAAAATGGTCCAAATAGATCAAAGAAGGCGCCTACACTTACTACAGATGTTTACAACCAAAACTGAGAATACTTTTGCTTTCCGTGTCTCCCGGTCGTGGCCGATAATTAACATCAGATGAACGACATAAATTTATTCTACAAAAATATAAATAGTGAACCTCGCCCTCCAATTATTATACAGCATGCAAACTTATATATATCCTTTTTTCAATCTTTTACAGGATAACGGTGCTGGGTATAAAAGACTTGCTTGCAGCCGAATCCAATTATTTTAATTGTTATTGGAATGCTTTTTATCCTTGACGAAGCTTTGGTCTTAAACTTAAATGCAGTTTGGAATTTTGGGTGATTCTGCGACCAATACGAAAAGGTTAGCGGAAACATTCACAAGTAAAAAAGTCTTTGTAGAATTATTTATTTAAGGTAGCAAAGTTTATGAAAGTTTATTATGTATTTTCAGTTTTGAATAGAAATCAATGACATATTAAAGCACAATTAAAAAAACAAAAACTATTCCGTGTTACACGACGCAAGAGAGACTTCTAAGATCCTTATCAGAGAATATCGGAGAGGTCACGTATTCTTTGATATCCTGCTGTGATGTTCTTCATTAAAAAAAAAAAAAACGAAATTACGTAGTCAAAGAAATAAATTTATAAACTATTTCTAAAACTTTATACATTTGCAAGCTCGCTTCTTGGGCTTCTTCTTATTGATATGATTCTAATGTAAAATTATCGCGTAATAGTGTATGTAAGAGTAAATAGAAAGAAAAATGTAAACATATTTGCATAGACAAATTGTAAAATATATTTCCGCCAAGACAAGTAATAAATTTATAAAAATTATTTAATGAAATATGCGATGCACATACAAACACAAACAAATTGATAAAATTCTTAATATTTTCAAAAAAGAAAATTGATCAATATATTCATATATCATTATGACAATTGAAAGCGTAAGAAAAACATTTTACTAAATATTTACTGATAAGAACTCTGCTCTAGTTCTTAGTCACACAAATAGAAGCCTCAAGACTTACACTAATGGATATTTATTTGCCTGCTTTTGCTTAGGTGCACACTATCGTAGATATAACTTAAAGAATTTTGTATTTTTGTTTTCTTTTTTTTTTTTCTAAAAAATTTCACACTGAGTTTAGTTTAAAAGAATACCAATAGTAACAAATTGTGTAAAATTAATTAATTAATTCTTTAGGTTTGGTTGATTATTCTTTTCTTTTTTTTTCTTTTTTTTTTGCTTAATAATTTGTCTCCTTTTTATTATTACAAATTGAAAACACATGCAAAAATGGTATACAATTGTTTTATTATAATTTTTGTTTAATTTTTTCTTCTTTTTTTTTTTGAAATTTATTTTATTCTTATTTATTTATTATTTTCAGAACTGTTCGAGTCGATATATTTCAGGAGACTGTTTCAAAAGTCATTAAACGGCTCTAACTTATGTTGCTTTCAAAGCACAATTTTCTCTCCACACTTTTGCAATTCGAACGGGAGAGAACTATTCATTTTATATTATATGTTATATCAGATTCTTGAGAGGGTCGTAAACGCATAAGACCTTTTGCGGCATGTAAAGTTGATTGAAAGGTTGATTTTTTTGTTCACTTAACCATTAGCATTAAGTTGACTTGAGCTCCTCTTGTAGAACACCATATGACGAGAAGGCAATATCATATATATCATCTTGTGTTTAAGCGGTCATATTCCCATAGCTCCTTAATGTCAGTCAATCACTCATTTCGGTTTACACGAAGAGAGCGAACTATGAATTGTTACACATATGCACATATATAGAAATGCTTTGTAAAGAATGATAATATGACTGTTGCCGCAACTTCTACAATCATTCAATAACGTGATGAATTAATGGTGAAAACTTTAAATATAGCTTTTAAAATTAAAATATAATTTATTTTGCCTATAACGGATATTCATTTATACATATATATATATGTGTGATATATATACACATATATATACATTTATATACATATGTATATAAATTTACATATACATATATATATAAATATGTATATACCTTTATATACACATATTTCCATACATACAAATGTTTAACTTTTTATATTTTCTATATAATTTACAATTTTTTATTTATAATATACAAGCAACAAATTAAACAATAAGTTCTTTCGCACAACTACGTTCACCTTACATGTGTTTTTGTTCAGGACCTTCCAAAGAAACGGCTGAATTAAACCGTAAAATTTTGAAATGTATAGCGGGGGTCTAAGTTGATGATGTGCACAAAAAGAAGAAAGAACGTTTAACGATAATCAATAGATTTTAAAAGACAATGGCACCAATTGGAACAACTAGTTAAACAAATGTCTCTGGTGTTTAACGTGGACAGACTATAGTGAGGCCTTAATCCTCGAAAACGTAAGCTCAGCGCGTCGTGGCTAATAGTTCACGGGTAACAGCACACACGTTACCGCGAGCGAAATTAAGTCCCCGACCACCAGACGGAGATACGTATATGGAGAAGTTATCTATCTAGCTCTACCCCTCTATGAGTAAGACGTCTGTTTGAAATGCAACACCACAAGGGGCGAAAGCTCTTCCCATACACGCCACTTTGTTGAACAATCGACGAACTGCCGACAGAACTTGGATCTCCTCACAGATCCGAAATTGGTTTTCGAAATGCTGTGTTTCTGATCAACTGTGGTCGAATGACGCAGAAACACAAATTGTGGTCATTTTGTTTCACACAGTTTATTCCTATTTTATAAACACTCTGGCATGTTGAAGAACTTATGTAATTTCAAACAATAAGAGATGAAAAAACGGACACCTTCCATTCAATCTATATGTATTTTAGTAACAGCGGACACCAGCTGTTTGTGTGGGACAAGTGTATATGTGGATGTACGCAACACCTAGAAGGAAATGTGGGAAGTCCACGTTTTGTTATACCGGTCGATTCAGAAAACGACTTTTTCCGGCTTCACTGTCGGAACTGTGTGTCCGCCTGTCCACCTGTCCGTTTGTTTACTTTATGTTCTTGTGTTCAACTAACAGATCGCAAAACTTCGAAATATTTTAATCAAACATTGTACGTCGACAGGCTTTGGCCCAAGGACGAATACTAATGAAAATAGCCTTATGAATAAAGACTTATTTTGAAAGGTCATTATATGAATATGTGTATTAAACAAGATGATGTCGTTTATTGAATGATGGACCTCGTACCGCTACATTATTTTCACTTGTTAGATGTAAATATTTATTGGCAAGGAACTGAAAAGCATTCTTATAATTGATAAAACCTCTTCATTAAATATTTCACTGCATTGCATATTACAAGGCCAGACTGCTAGAGCTCAACTGATAACTTCAAGATTGATTTCAATTGGTTAAGCATTTAAAACTCGTTTCCTGTCAACGTGATCTAATACCTCTTTGTCACTAACCAATTACTTTCGGTTAAATTAAAATCAATATAATTAAATCTACTATTACTACTCGCAACATTGTATCTTCTACAAACATTTACAACATTGTATTGCTAACGATAATAAACTAAACGCGCGAACCTGAATATCTGTAGCGAGAATCTTCTAGAATGAGATAATAAACGGAATAAAACAAAATTATTATGACTTTTATCCTGCGTAATAAGTAACAGCGTTCAGTAGACACATAAGTCTATGTTACTTAAAAATAATTGTAATTGATCAGAAATTGTATCGATTTTATCCATTAAAGGTTTCATAGATAGGAAGGATTAACTCAGAACTCTGCGCTTCGTTGATATAAGAACTTAGTTAACAAATCACGTTCCCTTGATTGTGAAAGTAGAACAGACTAATTACTATTCTATATATATATATCGAAACGATTAAATCAACAATGATTAAAGACAAGCAAGATAGTTATATGACCTGTATTGCAGACGACCGGACGTTGTCATGAAGCAAAGTCACCTTTCGAGCTCGTTTTTTTAAACGAAATTACGCAAACGGTTTCCCAACTGTTGCATAGCTGTGTGCATGTTCACTCCAACTTAGTGCTAAATCAATCATTTCCGGTTGAATATTTATCCAAATTAAAAAGAATTTCCACTATAAGATCCCTTGCTCAATAAAATAGAGGAGAGGCTAAAAAGTTCCAGCCGATGCAGTCGAGATATTGGTGCCGGGCCAACCAGTGCCAGAAGTGGAGCAAAAGCTTCTGAAAAGAGCTCCATTTCTCAGGAAAGGTTTTGTTCCTCTTATAACATATTAGTTGTACAAATACTTTGCGTGATGCCCCTCATCCTTTCATGATGGGTATTAAAACAACTTGTACAATGTCTAACTATGCATATAGTATTTAGCATTTTCGCGAAGATCACACATTGGAAAACCTATTTGCATGAAGTATTGCAGGCAAAATATTGTTTAAAATTGTCGCTTCTGACTTTTCTACTCACACGCGATGATAGATTGACAGCCTGGCTGTCACAGTGTCAAGAATAATTGTTTCGAATTAATGTTAAAATGAATGAAATGCAAATTAAATTATGATAATGTTGTCTATTTTGATCGAAATTAATTGCAATAAAAGCGAATGTTACTCTAAGTGGAACCTTTGCCAAGCTATTCATAATTTATGGCAAAATTATTAAATATTGTCGCCTCAAGTGATGACAATAAAGAAAATTTGACTTCAGCCTCTTACGGTGCTTTGGTCTAATTTCTCTCCCAGATGCCTGACTAATTTTGCAGGAAGCTCGACGTTTATCATTTTCTTTTTGTTTGGCATGAACAACGCTATCATTCATTCAATCAGCTTTAAGCCGCCACTCCATCTATCTGGCTTCCTAAACGAACCAATCTGCGATAACATTCAAAAACATTTAATATTCTTCTCCGCGTACCTGCTTTTCGCCCGTCTGTTGAAATCGTGATTACGGGACTCCAAAACCTTATTTAGAGAAACAAATTTGTTCTTGAATTTCCTCAGACAGACAGAATAAATCGATTCAAAAAGCTATTCTAAATTGATCGGTGTAGTGAAAACGGGTCCATCCCATCTCCTTGTGGCCGTTGCATACATTCGCATAACTTATTATGCACTTGCACTACAAGAAGTGTAGGGTGCACTCAGAAAAAATCAGTTTATGTTTTAGTCCATAAACAACATTTTACAATTTTTTATTTAGATCTTATTGAGAGTAAGTAAACACTGTCTTAGTGTCAGGCCTACTACTAGGAATCGCAGTTTGAAAGAAACTTTTTTCTCGAACTAAAGGTAAGCAATAAAAATAACTCCTAAGCTCGTCAAAAAAGATGAATTATTTTTCAAGCATGAACGATGAAGCATTGTTTTCCTTCCTTATAATATATAATAGGGAATAAGAACATTGTTGCTGCAACTGAGATCGACAACGAGACGTAAACGTAGATACAGTGAGACAAATGCAAAGCGTAGAGGTGATGTACGTAAGCCAGGACGTTTTTGAATTCAAACTGAAAAGCAATCGCACTTTTTCCTAAGTTTTTCTATGAAAACGCCTTTGCTTTGTGATTGCCGCGCATTCGAAAGAAAAAATGAGATGAGTGATGTAAAGAAAGAATAAAATACAATTTTGTTTGCATTTTTCTTTTCATTTTTTTTCGATCGAGTCAAAATACTTCCTGTTGCTGTTTATATGTCTGTTCCGTAAGATTTTCGTTTCAAATCACTGATAGCGTTTCTATAAAATTAATTAGTTAATTAGTCATCAAATTGATGTTCAATCTATTGAAATTTATAGACCTAAGTCTAAAGGATGCCTTAGGTAATAAAAGAAACATTATTATCAAAAGAACGAGCAGCAGCATTGTAGCAAGACATAACAATTTTGTGCATTCATTTGTAGTATGCATGCCTTCAATCAATTATCTCGTTTAGTTTCAGTTCAACTCCAAAGGTTAAAAGTTCGACCGATCCGCCTGAAAAAACGGCCAACAACTAAAGCTATAACAGCCATAAGTAACAATTTCAATCTATTTTTGTAGTTTCTTACTAACGCTGTAAACTAATGGAAATCTCTTCCAGATAATATCGCGAACTCTGTTTACTAAAGGTTAGCAAAAAAAAACTTTTCTCACCAATGCATGAACGAAACAACTCAAGTTATTTATTTTACTTCACACTAAATCAAATACTTTGTAAAATTAGTGTCGTTGTCTCATTTAATGGAACCCTAATCTAGAGGTTTATAGTATTATCGCTCACATTTAACCCTCTAATAATTAAATATATTGTTCCATTAGTAAAACATTGTACATTTTGTAATATTTAGCATAATAACAATTTCATAATGTCATCATTATACGTTGATTAGATTGGTTTAAATCAACTATGTAGTAATAAATACGTGAGATTGAAAACGCAAAATATATGCAACACATAAAGCGAAATACACAACGCCTGCTTCATGCGTGTGTATTTAAATGCAGATGAGCATACAGCTTGCGTTAGGTTGCGCCCGAACACAAACTGTTGACATATTTTCAAAATTTCCGCGTACGTTGTTTTCGACAGTCAAACCAGCGTTGTATTTATGAAACCAAAATAAAATCGTGGGGTGCAATACAGAAACACAATACTACTTTAGGGAAAATTAAAAAAAAAGCTTAAAAGAGCTAAGCTACTCCTATCAATTTCTATACAGAAAAATACAATTTTTTCGATTTATTTAGTGTAAAATTATTTTGCTTCAAAAAAGTCATCCTTCAAAGAATTTTTCCGCTTTAGTAATTTTGCACTTAATTAAGGGTTATTTTAAAAAACGCTAGCCATGTGATTTTGCTTTAGCGACGCACGCAATCAATGTATTCAACTAATTTGGCTTTGTACGTTTTGCATGGTGTACCCACGAAGTTAAAATGTTATTCCCCAGAGCCGGTCTATACCACATCCTACTACGATTCACTTTCGGCTACATTTAAGCGGACCACGAAGGCGGTCGAGGCATAACATATCGCCCTCTCGACTGGTTAGACAAGTTTTGTCCGTCCCTTCTTAGCTTCGTTAAGGGTATCAATTCCCACTTGTAGTCTTTTATAGGTGAAATGACCTCTGTTTTTGACGAACGTAGGCGAAAATATAGGTTTTCCCTTAGATAGCATGCCGTCCCCTTCATTCAATTTAATAGCCGTTTGCCGGTTCATACGGTTAGGTAACAATATCATTAAACCAAAAATGGAGCCCAATTTGGCGCTAACCTGTGGGCCAAATAGTATGCAGTTTAACAAGAGTTAAACAGGGCAATTTATCATTATACAAAAACGCATAGCACAAGCATTGTATTTTCCCCTTTACTTATTCTGTTTTGTTGTGTGTTACCAAATTTTTTATTGTCTATTATTATAATCTGATGCTGTAATCTATTATTATAATCAAAGTAATAAATCAAATTAATAAGTGAATTAAATTAATTAAACTAAATAACCGATAAGCTCTGACAAATATGAAACTAATTATGGGTAAGAGCTATTAAGGAGAGAATTACAATCGTAGAGCCTCTCTCTTGTATCAATTGCTCTCCGTAACTTCGTAAGTTACAGTCGGGTAAGAAGCCTGATAGTGCATCTTCGTATTAGGAGCAATTCTACTTCTAAGCAATCTGACTCCCACGGACACCTACTGACTTCATTACTTATTGTTCCATTGTCATGCAAACTATACACTCTGTAGACTCACTCGACGAAATAATGCTTCCAAGTTGGCATCACACAGCACACACCTAACTGTGCCCCAGCCCTCTTAAATATCGTTGACCATCAAAACTTGGGTGAGTTTGTTGAGTCCATCAAGGAGAACCAAAGAACAGAAACGGACAGGTGAGGATTTCGGTATGTCTATGATCACCCAAGGGATCTCATAGTTCCGCTCCCCAATCAGATTAAACGTCTGCACTTGGCGTAGAGCCGTAATAAGACGAGTTCCCTAGAACCATTGGAAATCAATATAGTGGAATTGGGCAGGATAATCGTGCAGCAGAGGTGGTTTATTCCAAACACTGTGTATCAGAATGAAAGTTCTTGTAGGGTCTAAACCCTTCCGCAGGACCTTGCGAGGACTATCAAGCACCTATATTATTATTTAATGCCCCCGTGTGATCGAACATACCAGTAAGTCTCTTGTTGAAGGACCGATTGGTGCTTGCCGAGATCCGAGAAAGTGAGCTCTTTTTAAACTTAAAAAAAAAATGCGTAAAATTTCGAGAAGGAAACGAACAAAAATTAAAAGAAAATTTTCATCTTTAAAAGGAATCTCAAATGCCTTCTTTCTCCTTTTATGTACAATTTAACAGATGATATTAGATGAAATGGAACCAGTGCTTTCAGTTGATGGTACAAAATCTTGTCACTTGATACCACAATCTTATAAAAGAGCGCAAACGAGAAAGATTATTAACAACAGTCATAGGATTAGGGTAATTTTTATCAGCTTCGCACAAGCATTGTAGAATTATTTCACTCTACTTTTCATGCATTTCCTCAAACTTTTGTTGTATTGGAGTAGCGATTCCTTTAATTTTCAAAAAACACTTCCAGCACAGCGCTGCACTCTCCTGAGAAATAAGCATGTGCGACCTCTGCAAACAACTGACGAAGTTCGCCAATGTTCTGTAATGCAGCTGAAAAAGCTTTTCCTCCGAATCCAAAACGTCGGCACCGGTCACACCAAATTGTCAGTAGAGATCGTAGAATACGTAGAAGAGACGATGTCGTGGCAAGTCTCAATGTTGATAAGCGGATAAAAGACACATGACGATTACTTCCTCCTTAATAATGTGGACTATCAATAGAGAAAAGGTACCCGCGACCGCTCACGGGATGTGAAATAAAGCGAATCCGTGAGCTGGTGAAACGACAGGAAGAAAAGTCCCTGTAAAGGAAAAGGATGAATTCTTAACCCTTACCAGCGAACACTTAAACGCGGATTCCGCAACAGAATCGGTGTGCAACGCTTTCGGAGAAACGTACTAAATTTTCTACACATGTATCTAGACCCGTATGCCGGAAAAAGATATTGAAAAAGAGACACTAACGACAATTATGTCCAGATGCCGCATCTTCACCGAAAAAGGGTCGTGCGAATACTGTGTGGAGCAAGGAATTAATATATTAGGTTATGTAATACATGCGCTGTTGAGCAATGTTAATATACAGGAACAACCTGATAAGTACATTATTCATCAATAGTAATATACTATATGAGCATATACATATATATATTTATATTTTTTATTATTATCATTAATTTTTGTATGTGAACATTGTAATGATTGTTATTATATTGATGTACTATTTTTATTATAATATATGTACTATTGATGCACTTTTTTTATTATAATATGTACTATTTTCAAAATATTATTATGGCTCTATATTAAATTAAACAATGGTGTAATAATTTTAAGACTCAGGATTTTAATTATTATTAATGTATTATTTAGATAATAGATATTATCTGCAGCGAACTCGTCTGAAAAGAAGAAAACCTGCTCCAGATGTTATAATCTTAAAAAATTAAATTTTTAGTATTTATTATTATAACAGGGATAGAAAACAAATAAGTGTGGACATTACTTCCACTTTCAACTTATTCCAATTCAATTCTATATAAAATTGTTATTGTATCTATTCGGTAAATTAAAAGCAAATAATATAGTAAGTTATCTTTTAATAAACCTTTCTTCAAAACCATGGGAAATTTCGACAAGAGTTACTATGCCACTATATGCCCATGGAGAGTTCGTAGCTTTTATAGCTATAATGGATTTGTGGGATTGAATGTGTTTGAATATTATGGAAAAAGGACTCATAATATGGCACTTACATGAAAACTTTTAGTTTATAGAACGTTACAGGCAATAATATTCGCAAACAACGTGATCCTTAATTTTATCCCGACCACACCTTGTCCAACCTATCCATTCCATTCCCACCTATCCACAAAAAAAAAGTTAGAATGTATGTATTTTGTTGCTGTAAATATGGCATCGTTTGTGGTTGTTATTTCAAATTCTAATTTTTGTTTACATTCCAAAGAATTGTTGCTACTTTTGCTACTTCTTTTATTTATCATAATTTATATATAATTGTATATACATAAAAGGTTTATTGTTTTTAATATCATTAAAAGTTTTACTATCGAAAAAAAAATATATTTGCTTCTTGGAATTTCGCTTTTTGCATCACGCCGTCTTTATTCAATATGTTAATATTATTTATTCACTTTAGCAATGAAAATAAATTTTTTGAAATCAAATTTTATTGAAAAATGGTTTCATTTCTTTGCTATAATATTTGTTTATTTTAGGCTAGTATATCAGCTAAAGATGATGACATGTAAAATATATGACCAGCTGTAAAATATATGACCAGCAAGAGGAAGACCGGTACAAAATTTTCATGGGCAGCTAAATGGGGAATGAGAAGAATTGATTCTTGAGTATTACTTTTCAATGATTGACAAATACTTCAGTACAAATAGAAGAAGCATTTTTCGCAAGTCAGTTTTTTTTTAGTAATTTTCTTGTTATTCTGTGGAATTATTATTATTAAAAAATAATTGAAGAGAGATAAAACAAAAGCAGCAATCTAAAATATTATACTAAATATACTTCCCTTCTAAGCTAATAATTAAGGAATATCTCGATATAACCCTATTCTTTGTTATTTTTTCCATTTTTTAAGGATTTAATCACTTTAGCTCCATAACAATATTAATTTTTTTTTATTTATTGGAACTTTTTTTTCTATATTAAATTTCTTTTTTCTTGCAGCTTTGTAAAATTTCATATAAAATAATTTTAAGGAAAAATTCTCCCCTTTGAACAATTAAATCGCTTTCCGAAGCATTTACATAAATAAAATTTTTAAAAATTGACGACACTGTTTTATAAAGAGATTACAGTATTCGCGTTTATACGAGAATTTTAGCAAAATTGAAAAGAAAAAGACTGTCTTCTGCAAATTGAATAATAATACAAATTACAGACTTTACAATATACTCAGTTTAGTTAAACAGCGTAAACAAATGTACATTAAAGTGAATTTTAAGAAATTAAATAAAGCACCTTTAAAATAACGCTGAATGCTAACTAATCGTGTACAGGATATCTTAGTAATTGCAGCCTAAAATATATATATAGACGGCGTGAAAACAAGAATAAATAAAAGAAAATACAGTCTATTGTCATAAATTATTAATGAAAGTTTGATTGTGTTCAAAGGAAAATATTAGTCAGAATTAAAAGAAAATGGAGGCTCTAATACCGGTGATTAATAAATTACAAGACGTTTTTAATACTGTTGGTTCGGACTCTATACAATTGCCACAAATCGTGGTTTTGGGTAGTCAGGTAAGTGTCACAGCAAAGGAATATATAATGCTACCGAAGGAATTAGAATGCATTTCTTATATAACAACAGGCACTTTTCTCCCTAATAATCTAAATATACTAATAACGGGATTTCAGGTTTATGTAATAACTTTTCAATTGTTTTGATTTTTATCCGAGCTGGCGCAAACAAAATACATAAAAGAAAAAAATCAATATTTCCCTATACAGCTAGAAAACGATTTTTGTGACAAACCCAATTGTATACGCGCTGTAAATGCGAAGCAGCAATAAATGGGCACATATATGAACAGTGCAACGAACATATATGTGCCTTGCGTGTGCTAGAAAAAGGAATATGTTCAGTTCTTTACCCCTTTTTTTCTTTTTAACAAAAAGAGAAACAAATAAAATCAACAAACATTTGGTAGGAATTTTTGCATACATCAAGCCGGCTACTTTTTGCGCTTATTGAGATCATGTTTTACAGATGTTCCTAATTATTCGCGATTCGGTTATGTTGGCGGTTAATTCGAGTGAATATATATTTTTTTTATTTAAAGCATTTCTTTCTCCAAGAGTCTTGATATGAAAAATTAATTTTAAGTGCCTTAACTTCTTTCTTGATCTTCAAGGCTCCTTTGGTACATTTATGCTTACTTTTATTTCATTTTTCATTAGATGCATTATTAGTTAAAATTGTTATCGAAAAAGGTTTCCATTTTCTTTATATCTTTTTCAACAGAGTTCAGGCAAAAGTTCAGTTCTCGAAAGTTTAGTAGGACGTTCGTTTTTACCACGCGGCACCGGCATCGTTACTAGATGTCCCTTAATCTTACAATTAATTCACTGTCCGTTGGAAGATCGTGAGCATCGTTCTGCTGAAAATGGTGAGAGAACAAAGTTGACTTAATAGCCATTGAAGAATAAATAGTGAATTCATTTAATTAATAACATTAGGAACTATGAATGCCCAAGAATGGGGTCGATTTTTGCATACCAAAAAGATTTTCACCGATTTCAACGACATCCGCCAGGAGATCGAAGAGGAAACCGAACGAAAGGCTGGCAACAACAAAGGTATCTGTAGCGAAGCAATCAATTTGAAAATATTTTCAACAAGCGTCGTTAATCTGACATTAGTAGACTTGCCGGGTATAACTAAAGTGCCAGTGGGTGATCAACCTGATGATATTGAAACCCAAATAAAAGAATTAGTTTTAAAATACATTGAAAATCCAAATTCAATTATTTTAGCGGTAACGGCAGCCAATACAGATATGGCTACTAGCGAAGCTCTGAAATTAGCCAAAGATGTTGATCCAGATGGTCGTCGAACATTAGCTGTGGTAACCAAACTCGATTTAATGGATGCCGGTACAGATGCAATTGATATATTATGTGGGCGAGTTATCCCTGTTAAGTTGGGCATTATCGGTGTAATGAATCGGTCTCAACAAGATATTAAAGATAACAAAAATATAGAAGTACAATTGAAAGACGAAGAGGCATTCTTGCAACGCAAATATCCCACATTAGCCACACGCAACGGCACTCCGTATTTAGCAAAAACCTTAAATCGTTTGTTAATGCACCATATACGCGATTGCTTACCTGATCTAAAGACTCGCGTTAATGTGATGTCTTCACAGTTTCAATCGTTATTAAATTCGTACGGTGAAGATGTTATAGACAAAAGTCAAACTTTATTACAGATTATCACTAAATTTGCCAGTGCTTATTGCTCCACCATAGAAGGTACGGCACGTAATATCGAAACCACTGAACTATGCGGTGGAGCGCGCATTTGTTATATATTTCATGAAACTTTTGGACGCACATTAGATTCTATACATCCCTTAGCAGGACTAACTAAAATGGATATTCTAACAGCAATACGTAACGCAACCGGTCCGAGGCCAGCACTTTTCGTACCCGAAGTATCGTTTGAATTGTTAGTTAAGCGGCAGATACGTAGATTAGAAGAACCCTCGCTACGTTGTGTTGAATTAATTCATGAAGAAATGCAACGAATTGTTCAACATTGTGGCAATGAAGTTCAACAGGAAATGTTAAGGTTAGTATTTTATAGTTTATCTAACGCCGTCGTAACAAAATAAATTTTTTTCATAGATTTCCAAAATTACATGAAAAAATTGTTGACGTTGTTACACAGTTATTAAGACGGCGTTTGCCAGCCACTAATGTAATGGTGGAAAATCTAGTGGCCATTGAATTGGCTTACATAAATACTAAGCATCCCGATTTTCATAAAGATGCTGCCTTAGTACCTAGTCTACTAAAAGCTGATAACATGGTAGATACATATACAGCCCAAAATCCCAGACGCACTAACACACCAAGGGGAACCAACTCATCACCGCAAGTACTTTCAGCCCAAAACATACATAAGCAACAACAGCAACTTCAGCAAGAGCAACAAAATGATTCAATAGAGCAGGTTCAGGAAACTTGCCAGATATTATGTGCAACTGTTTCGTAATTACTTTTTCCCTTTTTTAGAACCATGTCAATGAGACACCTTTACATCCAAATAATTGGTTATCGAATATTTTGCCACCACATCAAAATATCCCAAGGGAAAGTATGGAGAGTTCAAATCAAAACACTCCAATTCACAATACATCGTCAAGTCCGGTAAAGCCAGTGAATCTCTTACCCGATGTACCGGCTACTCAAAGTTCCAGACGCTTAACTGATAAAGAGCAAAAAGATTGTGATGTAATTGGTAAATTTTATTTTAATTTGCATAAAAATGAACTTCTTAAACAAAGTTTTCTTTATTTTAGAGCGTCTCATCAAATCGTATTTCTACATTGTACGTAAATCTATACAAGATTCAGTACCAAAGGCTATTATGCATTTTCTAGTTAATTATGTTAAAGATAATTTGCAAAGTGAATTAGTTACTCATTTATATAAATCGGAAAAAGTTGAAACACTTCTTAATGAGTCAGATCATATTGCGATACGCAGAAAGGAGGCGGCCGATATGTTAAAGGTAATTAAATGAAATGTGCAGTTGCTTCAATAATAACTTTTTTGAATTTTTTTAGGCTTTAACTCGTTCTAATCATATCATCAGCGAAATCCGTGAAACTCATATGTGGTAAACTTAGCAGAAAGCTCTGCTCTTACTTAATGTTTATACTCCATTCTATTGCTGTCACGAATTTCAAATAGTGCTACATTTATCTTAAGAGCTCCCTGGCGCTTCAATTTTCACAACTATATGTGCTGTTATAGCAAACAAATGCATTTCTAAACAAATTTTTCCTAGCAACTGATTTTTTGTCACATCTTTTTTTACATTCGCTACTGTTCGGAGCCATGTTCAATTATCTTAAAATGTTCAGAATTTTCAATTAACTGGCGCGTTTGGACTTTCTTTGCACTTTTACCGATCATGAAACACTTGGAGAGGATAAATTAAATTCCATAAATCAAAGATTTTTTCCAAGCTAATTTCTTAAAAATATATCAATCTGTTTATTGGGCGTTTAAAAAAATAATCCTTAGAAATGTCATTTTATGTTAACAAAATTTCTTTTCAAACTTTCCCAATTCCAAAATGCAGATTAAGAAAGTACGTTTTGAATTTAAAAAGAAAAAAACATCTTAGATTTAAAAAATTTGAAAGAAGGGCTTTGATATCATATTGAAAAATCTCTGCCATTATCAGAATTTCGAACATTATTTCTCCAAAGATCTTTACCGAAAGAGTTTTTCGAAGCATTAAATAACCTCCTGTTTGATTCCAATTAATTACCGCAGCGTTGCAGTCATTGACAGTCGTAAACATGTAAAACATATTTTATTATAATTAAATTTAACTTCGTTTTTCATAACAGATTTTTTTATTTATCCTAAAGTTCCTTTTAAACCACGTCTGTTTTTTTCATGCTTGCATAGAGTTAACTGTTAACTGTTTAGCACGCTCACATACGGTTTTGTTTATTGAAAAATTATACGATCATAGGTCATGCTAAACAAATGCCAACTAGTGTTTAGAATAATTGAAAAAATAAAGACACAATCAAATATTTAAAAAACATCTAAATTTCATTACAAAAACTATCTTCCAATGGGACAAGACATTTTTATCACCCGTTAGACATTAGTTTTCATGCCATTGATATTACAATTACTATACTTTAATCGCAAATAGTTTGGTCGAAAATTGTGACAGATATTTGGTTCTTCTCGACTAGAGGAGTGTTACATGTACAAACGTTCTAAGTTGATCCGTCGTACATATTTTAAATACGCTTCAGAAATTTAAATTCACAAATAAAACTAATTAATTAATTAACATTTCCACAATTCACAATATAGATAAAATCAAAAGTTCCTCCGTCGACGTACCCTAAGCACCATTCTAAGACATTACGCATGTACATATTAAGGTTATTTAAAAATTCATTCAAAAATGCGTTTCCAACGCCGCAATGCAGCAAAATAATATCCAATAGTATCTAACATTTGCGTAAAAACAAATATAATTTCCGGGATGTTTTATTAGAAGGAGGAAGATGTTTGTTTTAATTTTTGTATATAAACATGTATAAAGTAATTTTTCTAAAGATTTCAAACCGGTTGTTGGCTTAGATAACATTTGCAAGACTCTTAAAGAATAACTTTCTATCGAAACTTTATAAATACGTAAATTTATAATTACTCAAGAGGATATCTAAGCACGATTTCTATCGGACAGTACACGAACAATACAACCTACCCCCCCTTTGGCAAATACTTTCTCATGCCATTGCAGCAAGTGACCGCTAGAACCTTCCGAAGGTATTTCAAATCCACGATATATGTACTTCATTAAAACATCTAAAAGATCGTTTTGTTCTAAAGCTTCAACAGCTTGGTCAATTTGCGACGATTTTATAGAGAGCAGTACATTTATTGTTAAAGTGAGGGCGTGGTCCTGCAAAAATACATTATCATTAATTACAACTTGCACGCCATTTACTTGTAAAACTAACCTTAACATGCTGTTGCTTGCATCGCAATGGGGCATTTTGCAAAACCGTAATTAAAGCTTCTACGGATTTGCCTTGAGTCAGCAAAGCAGTAATTTCATTTTCATCAGGACCCGAAACAGCGGTGTCTGCTTCGTCTTCTTTAAAGTTATCCTCATTGTATTGATCAACATCGATTTTCCGGAATGCCGAACTAGAAGTATTTTTTGCCATCTCTCACATAAAATATTTTTATTTCTTTAATATAAATGAATCACTATAGCAATTCACAAAATCTGTAAACATTTGTTTCTTCTTCTTCTAAGGTGAATCAGAAAATCACCAACAGATGATTTACTGAGTCGACTCAAAACGGTTCATTGTACGCACGAAATTTTTGGTTTGAACTTTAATAAAATTGGCTTAATACATGCTTGCGTGTTATCAAATGTCCCAGGTAACGTAAAATTTACTTCTAAAACTTTGTTAATTGTCCTCATTATTAATATTAACAGCCCTTTGTGAAAAAATATGGTATAATTATAAAATCATTGCCGGATCTCTTATAAAATGTAATGTCGAAAAGTTGTGGCAACTCGGCGAGTTTTTGTGGTTTCTGTTTTGCCTTTTAAATAGTTTCCCTTATTACCAACTGTCAACAACAGCTGTTCTGATTTAACAATATTTTCTTTAACTGCTAAGGTTTGGTGCTTTTTTTACTATTTTTAATTTCAAATTTTTTAAAAGATGTATTTTTGAATCAATGGGTCTTTTAGGGAAGATGTCGAAATATTTTGGGTTCAATCGCCTAGTTAAACTATACGACATTATACGTCAAAATGGTGGGATAAAAAAAACCTACTTAAAATTGTATCGGTAAGTCGCAATCGCTCTAGCAAATTATATAAGTTTTTAATTGCATTTTGTATATCTTTTAAGGAACGACGACTTGAAACTAGGTTGTTTAATAGGCACTGATAAGTACGGCAATAAATATTATGAGAATCCTTATTACTTTTATGGACGAAATCGCTGGGTAGAATTTTCCGAACATGTACATATGGATTATGATGGCTCACAAATACCAGCTGAATGGTTTGGATGGATGCACTATAAGGTTTGAAAATTATATATTTTTATAAAAATGTTTGCTAAATCTGAATTATACTTGCCTTCAATAGACGGACATACCGCCAATCCGCGATGGCAAACGTCCCAAATATAAATGGATGGCTGACCATAGTGAAAATCTATCTGGAACAAAAGGTAAATAACACCAAACTAACTAATATTTTATTTTTAATTATTTCGTTTTGCTTTTTATTGGAGCTATTGGCGCGTAAACAAGTCGATAAAAAAGTTTCGAACGACTCGAAATTCCATAGAACTTTATCGGTTTTTAACTTAGTATACTATTTTAACCTTTCTAGCGATTTTCGATGTTAATTACAAATCCTTTTGAAATAATTTTCAAAGTCTAATGAAGTTACGCCCTCGTTACAAAATTCATTAATACGATTTTCTTTTCGTTTATTATTAAATTTATTTTGCACACAATTGCTATCGTGCCCCTCATTTTTTTAAAATGATATTATTCGCTTCTCCTTCTTTTGTTGTTTGTTTGTTAATTACATCGAATTTGTTATTTTTTTTTATTTGCAGAACAGTATATGCCCTACACTACGACAAAGCCGAAAATAGAAGCTTGGAGTCCAAAAAAATAAGATAGCGAATAGCATGATACGTTTTGTATTAAACTAAAATTGTTGTTAAAAAATTAATTGAACGGAATGTAACAACAATGTATTTTGATCGACGTTTTAAATCTTAAATTAAAAAAGAATAAATTTCTTTAAGGAAAATCTGCTTTACGTACACGATCATGCACTTGACGAGAACTGACAATATTGAGAAGTTAAAAATTAATTATTAGCTGAGCTACAAAATGTTTACAAACATATATAAAATAAATAGAAATTTGACATTAAATCGTTTGATTCTTTTTAGACTGACGCTTGTACTTCCTAGCTGTATCTGAACATTTAGTAGTAATAGCTGCCCGAACCACGCGTTCATTACAAGAGCATTTCGCTTGTACAATAGAAATAACGTCGGCCACTTTATCGGGGTCTAGCTGCGATTTAGGTGGCCGTTGGCGACCATGAAATGCTGGTGAAGGTTTACCTTAAATATTCAAATATATAAATAAGTTAGCATTTTAAAATCGATAAGAAATTCAATGATATTACCAGTCAAGGTGTGCGTAGCTAATTCATCGTCGGAAAAGATGAATCCCAACAATTGACGAGTAGCGGAAGCAGCTGAACTCCATAGAATTGTATCGAAAAGTTTTGCCGGAATGCGCGTATCATAATTGCCGATTATAACCATTTCAACGCCATCATCATCTACCGTTCGCATAGGATATTCATCACTACAGCTATTTTCACTGTCACTGTCATTCTTTATAGCATTCATATCCTGATTTGCACAAACGTTATTTGCATCACTTCTATCAGAAGATTCGTTTATTGTGTCCAAAGGCGGTGTTACGGCAAGCGACGATACACCCGAAGAACTACCTTGCTCTGAAGAGCAGTAGTTTAGTTTCCTGAAGCCCTCACACCTTCGAACCAGGCCTTCTAGTGCCTCATCCAGCTTCTGTTGTTCGGATAATTCATCCATCATAATAAGGCTAGAATTCAATTCGTCGACAACTTTCATGCGGACTCTAAGAGGACTCTCTAGACTGAATATAGGATTCCAAGCGGCAAAAGCCCGATGACCACTTGTAACCAAATCTTCTTCACTTGTCTTACTCATTTTAATGTAAATATTGTGTATTTGCTTTAATCTTTCTTAAGCAACTGTCGAATATGCGAAGATTAAGAGACGATCAACTGTTTAACACTTCTCTAACTTGACTGACTTAGGTCATAACAGCACTGCTACGATTATATACCCATTTTGAACGTGTTTAATACGCCTTTATCTTTACCTGAATACAGTACAATACGATTGGTTAAGAAATGTCGTTTTATGATACACTTGAAGCTAACAATGTAATTTTCTTAAAAACGGTTGATTATTACCTCAAAAAGTGCTCAAAGGGAAAATTATGCAAAATACTGTAAACCGATTCAAATAATAACTATATGCAAACATCTGCCAAAAGAGCAATAAATAAATGAGCCCAAAATTCGTTTGCAGCCGCCAACGGCAAAGCAATGGCAAATTTATAATTGCTGACGAATTCATTTATGCCCTCAAAGAAAATTATTGATTTCGATTATTCTTCTAAGTCAGGACTTCTCATTAGTTTACTTGTTACAGTGTTACTTTTGCATATGTAAAGAAAAAAAGTTTCTATTGAAAAATGAGTTTCAAAATTTAATTGTAAAACCTCTCCGTTGACTTGATTTTAAAAATCAATAAAATGTTATTTAAAAAAAAAAATAAAAAAAAATAGGTTTCTTGCACTGATTGATATTAGCTACATAAATATATGAAGCATATTCCAAGCCAAGAATAAATCGGTGATTATAGGCAAGAGTTATGTACAAAGTGGGTACATAGATTAATTTTATGTATTTTATTTGTTATATTAATAATAACATGATTCCTCGTTAGGATTAAATTTTCACATCGCTTAGAACTAGTCAACATTTGATCTCTAAAAATGTTCAAAGATGGTAATGGATCAATCATATTCTTTAAGTTCTAAGAATTACAGAATAAAATCACAAGCGGGTCAAAAATTTTCATCTGATTAATATAACATATATAAAACTTATATAATTTAACTAAGAAAATTATTTTCCATTTTTTTTGTAAAAACTTTTGCGGGTTATTTTGAGGAAAATTTGGATATTTGTAAAATTTTTATTTCAGGTATTTTCGCTTCACTTTTTGTTTTTCCAAAATCGAGGTCTTACAATCAATCTTAAGACCAAGTTACAGAGCAAATTTGGTGTTTGCCAAACTGTTTTTTGTAAATTATTGTATACAGGCCCTAGCAAAAATTTTAAATTCTCTGATGAAATTTTCCACAAAAAAACGATTTTTCGAACTTCGTAGCCCTTTTATAGGATCAAGTGACAGAAAATTTATTTTTATAATTTGGTGACGGCACCTTACAATATATTGGAAAAAAATTGAATGAGAAAAATGTTTAAAAAAATTGCCAGTATCATGGTACCCTATGGTTATCTTAATCTATACATTGCTTTTGCACTCTCTTATTATATCAATTGAATCTGAATCATATCCTCAGTCAATTTAGATATATCCGTCATATCTAGTGTTAATCCATAGAGCTTTGAGTTCGACCTACAGGTCGTAATTCTTGAGATAATTTGTTAAAACTTGGGACAATGCCATGTTTCAAACCAAGGCCAAAACATCGTGCTTCGAATTCAGTATTATAATAGATTACCCGGTTATACTATTTAGAAGAAACAATGCTTTCATTGAGCAAAATAATTGCTTTGTAAAAAACGATCCGAAGGGATTTGTGGCCGCTAACCACGCACAAGTCCGAGGCGCCTATTAACAAAACATTTATAACCCTCACGGAATTCTACAAATATCTATGCACATACATAACGTGTCACTTGATAACTTCATACAAGTCGCTACAATACTGTCAAGTCTGGAACATCTGAAAATAAGATGTTCAGCAGTATCACATGATATAGCACGAATCATTTAATTGGGGTAACGCCTGGTTGATCGTATCCCCGCAAGCAGCCCGGCACCCAACAATTTAGCACTCAACCACTCCCATATAGCGTTACAGAAGGAGATTAACCGCCCCGCCTTAGAGAGGCCTTGAAAGAAGAGAAGAACGATTCAACCAGTTTTAGAGAGGCACTGAAGGAGATCATCCAATTACAAAATCCGGAAGTTATAAACCAAATATTTAGCCGAGAGAAAGTGTGAAGTTGAATATGCCTGCATCACCAACCTGAAGGAATACAATGAAAGATATCAATACAAAAAGACTTCCACAAGAAGCCCGAATCACCGAATTGTATTTACTATCATTACTGTGAAAAGAGCATTTTTCCACAAACCCCCCGCGCCCAGTATCGGTATTCTACTCCCAAGCCCATATTAAACTTTGCTTGCTTTCTATTTCGTTTTTCAGTACATTATTGGTGAAACTCCAATGGAGAAGTCAATTGCAAACCTAAGCATATTCTCTAAGATTAGTTGTTGTTAATTCAAATCTAGGATTATGACGTAAGCGAAGGCAAAATTGGCTAGGATTTGCCGACGTTAATACTAGAAACAAAATCACTTTTCAGTGGGTTTCACCATTTATTTTCAAACATTAATTGCAAATGGTTGATCCTAACCAAATGGTCATTTTCATCTACTGTCCTTGTATGTTCTGTAATGATGAAAGATATGAAAATCATTTCATTTCTAAGCTGCACCAGTAGCCCTAGCAGCAGGCAGTAGCGCTTTTAACATTCAATGAATTTTTTAAAGCACGTCACAGTGGAAGTAGAACCAGTTATATAATCCATAAGGTCCAAAATGATACCTGAATTGGCAAATAACTTATGTCGGCTAGGGATAGATACAAAAGTCCCTATGTTCGAATGTAAACACTTGCTACAATAAAATTCGTAGAAATTCCGCTCTCTGGCGACTAGAAACGTGAAGAGAGATAAAAAAATACTTTCTAAAACTCAAAATCATTATGAAATTTTCGATAAGTCCGTCAATAAACAGTAAATCCATAAATTGTAAATGACTTGCAGCCGTCTGTTATGAACCGTTTAAATACGTGGGTTTTCCCACTTAAACATTTATTCGTTTTATGGCCAAAAAAAAAAAAAAATTGCTTAAATTAGACTACACTCAACAAAACAAAGAAAAAGATGACCTTGTTAGTTATCGCAATAAATGTTAAAGACAATGAAATTCAAAAAAAAAATTATTAATTTCGGTTTTTTATGCCCTACACAAGAATGGCGATCAGTTAAAATTGCGATATTATCCCCGAGGTCCAAACATGTACACTATACATCTCTTGAAGAGCGTAAAATTTGTAGTCCGCTTATTTGATGTTGCTATCACATCACTCAATAAATTCGTGGGATGACATGTAAATGTCGCAACTATTGACGAGTCCATACAATATTTAGATAGTATTAACCTTCAAACGAAATATATGGAAATATCATGACACGCACAAGGTACAAGTTTTAGCGACGTTAACGTTACTTCAGCAAAACAATGGGAAAATGTGGATTTGATGTGCAGGATCGCATAAACTACTGTGACTTGTAAACCAATTGTTGAAATGTTTTCAAATCTTCACACATTTCGTTTGAAACTAGATAACTGTCTAAAAATTATGCGGATTCAACAATAATAATCCTATGTATGTCATGTATGTACGAACTTACTGAATAAGTAATCGAATCAAAATACTTACTACCAACATACTTATGTAATGGCTAAGCTTCTAGATGGCGCTGAACCACAAGCGAAAATTGTAATGTACAGTTTAAAGTAGAAATTGATCTAAAATCGAGAAGCCTGAAGTAGTTTATATCTATTATAGCACTGCCGGAAGGTAAAAAATTCGCATTAGTGACTACATAGCACACAGAAATGATATTCACTAGTTTGTGGCAATGGAACCATCGATTTGCCGTGCCTCTTTATGGCCAAAAAGAAGTAAAGCAAGAACTTGATACTATCGGCACTTGATACTAGACAGGCAGAGGGATTACACCTTCACCAGGCGATATTTTAACAAACTGAAAAGATGAAAAAAGTATTTGTATGTGTGTAATATCAAAACTTTTCGAGAGATGAGAGTTTCTTTTTAGAAGAAATTCGGTCAAAATCACACAAAAACTCTTATCGTAGATACCTGCAAAAATACTGAACCCGTCGTGATGGATTACAAGCTGATGCATCAGATGAACTACCTATTATCATATACGCAAAAGATTCTACTTTACAATCTACTTGTACTAGGAACTTAATTCTACAGTTCATATTGTTGTATACCGTTACATTTGAAGCTATAGGGCAAAACTAATCGTAATTAAGATACAGTGGGCAGAAAACTATGATTGACAGTTCATAAAATATATTGACCTTAAACTTTCTCTAAATATTATGCACTATCGTCTAAATGGTAAGTCGATCCGTTAAAATCGCAATTACATATATATTCGGCAATATTTGTATATTATTTTGAGATCCTTGAAATAAATATAATTTTTGTACATCTTGACGCTTACGGTCCTATAATACATAAATAACTACTAGAAACATTATAATGGGGCCCATATATCGACTTTCGAAAATAGGGCGTTATATGGTGAATGGTGGAAAAAGTGGTCCGTTCCGAAACATTTTCAATAGCGTTCGTCCTTGGGCCAAAACATGTGAGTGTAGTAAATGTCAAGAAAAACGAACGATCAGTCATATTTAAATCGATTCCGAAACTGATTCTAAATCGATCGGTATAATTAAAAGTTGGATCTATCTCAAGTCTGTCTGGGCAAACGGTGCAGGATATAAAAGCGCACAACTTAGTTGTCACATATTCATTGGAAATTTTTATGTTGCATCCTTCTGCAATATGTCAAAGCGTGGAGTAGTTAAAACAGCGGAACTGTTATACCAGACTTGATTTCGTTTATTCAAATAATGCATTCTTTAGAAAACTCAAATTTCACATAATAAAAATGCTTTCTGATGAGCTGCAAATAAAAATTTGAAGTTGATTTTTATGAAAGCCTTTGCTTCTTGCATTTACATCCATAGAAATGCAAGCATAGTTACTCTAACTCAACTGACACACTAATACACGCTTGCGTAGTTGGTCTTATTCACTTTTTTTCAAGCAGATGTTTAAATTGCTATTTGTGCAATGAGTACAAAGAAAAATCCTTACAACCCTCAATGGTTTAATGGATTCTATTCCACATATTTCAATTTAGATTTTTGTTTTCTCGTTTGTTCCCTTATTCTTAAACTTGTGCACCGTAAATACGCTTGGTGTAGCGGAACGTTCTTAGGCGGTCTATGTGCCCCAAGCAAATTAGTAAAAGTGTACACTTTGTGAATGTAAATAATACATCCCACGAAAATTTGTTTGTATAGGGCAAGAAAATTTCTGTATAAACACTTTTTAGTCAAATGTTTAGTTTAGATTTCTTTATTAGAGTTAAAAACAACAAAACGACGTAACAGATATGCTTCTAAATCGATTGGTTAAATTTCTAGAAGAAAGTCATGCCGCACTCGGCATTGTGCAAAAGCATTAATTCTCTGTTGAGAGAGCATCACGTATCTATTACAGGCTATAAAAACTAGTTTACAGTGCAAGCAGTTTAGCTTGTTGTTGTCCTTAAACTTGAAAATGTTCTGTGTTCAATAAATAAGGGGATTTTTTTCTTTTATATAAGCAATCACTAACAGGATGTCGCCTATATGTGTAAGACCGTCGGTGACCGTCAGAAAGCCGTGAAGAAAGGCAAAGAGATAGGGCGGCGGCCACAGTCGAAGAGATCTATGTCCAATCGGTTTGTCTCGATGGATGCGTATACCGTCTGAACCGTCACTGTAGCTATACTAAACCAAAGCAAGCTCCATCGCACTGAAATTCGATTCCGCAAAAATTGGCTTGGTAATCATGATTTCAACCTTTTCTGCTACGCTTAATGTAAACTTAATTTTTTTGTTTAGGGTAATTTTCCATTATATCTGAGGTAAATTGTAGGTAATCAGGTTTGCTGGCTTATAAATTGAAGAACTTCTTGCGTTTATTGGCAATGATTTTCGTCAAAGTCGCTTTAATGCTTTCTATTAGTTCAAAACGAGAAGTAGAAGTAGAAGGAATATAGTCGGCAGTATTGAGGTCGTATTAGGTGAAAACGATGGTTGTGGAAAATTTTTATTCGAACTTTATGAATAACTGCCAGCCGTACGTGCCCAAAGATTATCTTGCCTTAAATCTGAGTGTGTACTGCGGAAAGACTCGTTAAATAATAATCCGCATAAATTTTTTGACTCCTTGTAAATAAGACGAAAATTATTATAAAAAAGTTCCCCATACTTTTTGAATGCGGTATTATGCATTTCAGCAAGCAGCAAGGACTTGTTTTCTACAAATTTCCTTTCTGTCTTCAGGCAATGCATTCATTTTCTTTTATCTAATTTTTTTATATCTTCATTTTGACGGTATGTACAGTATCATTACTTGCATGTACTTTGATCACTTTTTTAGTGGAAAAAGGCATTTATTGAGAAAAATTGGTACAATATTGTTGACAAAAATGTTTGTCTTTGTTGCCATCTTTCTGGCAACATGACAATACTTTGTCGAAATATTATTTGATATTGATTTGACGGCGATCCTATCATTGGCATTGGCATATTGGAACTTCTTCAGCGTTATAAAGCCGCTGGCCAGCCAAGCCCTGCTACATGCAGCAGAATTTCTCATTCGTGCTGGAACAGTACATCTTTGCGAACCCTTGCGACATATGACCGAACGTTGTCGTACAAGAGGAAGTCTCGCAATGTATTTTCTTCGAAACTTTTTGATTCTCCAAGCCATTGATATCAAGATCGCTACTTTTAAACCGTTGAAATCAAAACCAGCAATTGGGCTTATGATGATGGAGCAACTTTAACATAAGTTTCTAAAAGAGTACGACGAGTTTCGACAGCTTCAAGTCTGCGTATATCGAAAATGCGATTTTATCCGTTCCATGATTAGCGGCTGTATACACTGAATAACTCAATAATACTAGATGGAACACTGTTGTTTTATGTAGAGAAAGGGGAACGAATTAACCGTTATGCACATTAATTAATACATCGCATTACTTTATCGTTTATCACCAATAGATGTCGTCCTTATTATATTTCGATCAGAATAAAAAATTTACATACATACGCTTACATAATTCACGCAGTTTCAATGATATTTATCGAAAGTAAGTGTAGTTAGCAAGCAAATACCCGACGGAATTGGGTTTTGATGAAAATACTCTAAACATGTCGTTTGTGCACGACAATGCAAGAGATAAACTCTAACAATACTTACGACAGTGCAATAGATAAATTGTAATAATTCTCAAGGGTGATGCTTTGATCAAAAATAAATCAATCTAGAATTCGTAAAAGGTGACTTATCATACAAGAAGCTGATCCCAATAGTCAAAAATTCCTAATAGATTCGTGCGTGTGATACGCGGCTTTTCAGTTTTAATAGTTACGGTGATTTTCGTGTATACGCGATGTAGGTTAAATGCTTATGACGCAGCATTTGTACAGGTTATTATCCTTAGGTGTTATTTTGCAGGTAGGTGTTGTGTCAGAGATCGCAGATCACTAAATACATATGCGTAAATGATACTTATAAGAGGCTGCTACATATGCTTGGTGATGGAGAATGGAGCGCATACGCACATTTACATTAAGTATTCGTAATTTGTTCATATTTGAAAATGTTGAATGTTTTTCATCTCAGTGCGCACATAAGAAAATTTAGTGTTTATCGTTATTAGTCATAACGGCTTATTTACTGATATTTCCATACTAATTGCATGGTTCTTGCTACCAAGAATGTGCAAGCTTTCGTTGGATTTGCAAAAAGAAAATATATATTATTGAAAATCAATGGCTTCTACCGAAAGAACACGGGGATAAATTTGTACTAAGTGATCATAGAACATTTCTGCCTTTCTTAATGGTACTTTCGATAAACCGTCAAAAGACATTAGTTTTCACACCCAAGCCAACAAGCAAAAAAATTCTCATTTCTTGCTTTTTAGTTATTATATTAAAAAGTATACGATTCTGCTCTGCTTTCTTATCTTCATTTTAAGAAGAAAACTTTTGTGAACAGTGAAGCGAGAATTTGGATTTGAAATTACTCAACGAAATGTTGGGAATCAGTTTCCAAAGAAAAAAGCATGAACATTCCATGCGTAGCCTTTCGTTACATTATAAAAAATTAGAAATTCACTTTTGGAATCTGATTAAAATCAAATTTTTCAAAGAGGCCCCTTTATGTAGTCAGAATTTAGGGTGCAAGAAACCAATGAAAGTAAGGGTAGTTTCTAACAAAGCTACTAACAAGTTAAAAAACAAGGAGTAGGAGCGCGTAAATTGCGCCAACAAATTAATTGAATTCCAATTGGTTGGCGAAAAGATCCTCAGATATATACATAAAATGTTGCCTAATTGAACAGAGAAAGGGGGAAAAAATTCGCGCCTGGCAGTGCTGTGTGTACGAAAGTAAAAAAAATATACATTTCTTTGTATAGTTGTTTGTTACTTTTGTAATCTAACAAAACAACAAACAATTGCTGGAAACAAAAACAACAATTTCTGTTATATTATTTCTCTATCTTTCGAAGCAAACATGCAACGATCTGAGCAGAAGAAAACATTTTGCGCGCATTTATACACAGGTAAGAGACGTTCAAACGTAACAACAAAGAACTAGGAAAAAACCCAAGTAAGATTAAATGGGAATGTTTCTTTAAAAACGTTTTGTATTCATTTCATTTTATAGTGAGAACAGCAACAAACAAACGCGATTGGTATTTTCCACCCTTACTGATCTAGCTGCAGACTTTCGCATGTTCATGCATGCATGTATGTATGTATGTGTAGGTGCAGATGTGTTAAAATGGAAATAGTAGGTAAAAAAGGGTATTAGGTAGAAAGACTTTATGGGCCCACATCAATGCATTACTTATATATAAATTTGCGTTCACAAAGAAAAGTAAAACAGTTTAGTTTCGTGGTGAACTACTTGCAGTTAACAGAAAATACGGAGAAAGAGAGTTTTAAAACACAACGTATATCAAATTGATTCCGTTTTGATTACGCTTGTATACTAGAATTAAAGGATCGTTAACTAAACAATAAATAAAATGGAAACGAAAATAGTAAGCATTTTAAGAAGACAGATTCGAATAAGTACTCATGTTAATTCATTCTCACTGTGTATTAGATAAACTCTGAAACGGTAATACATTCTACGGTGGGATCACCAAAAATTTTGCAAGGATCTTCACAAAATTATCAAAGAGTAATGGATGCAGGCGATCGTTATGAACGTCCAATTATGTTGAATGTGTGGACCCAAACTACTGCCGATGATTTCGGCTTTTTAAATGAAATCGAAACCAAAGGGCACCAGAGCCAAAAAGAAAAGGAACTGTTGGAAAAAATTCGCGTTCTAGAAGAAAGACTACGTGCGCATGCAGATCTATTGTTTCAAATACATGCAACATCTGAAAGAACTTCTGCTTTATTGGGGCAAAATATGCACACAATCAGTCAGAATGTAGCGTACCAAAACATGCAGTCATCGCTAGATGAAGGTGCAAGCCCATTACCGCCAAAAATTGTTAATGTAAACAACAACGTATCTACATCCTCAATTATAAATCCATTACACCAAGTTGGGCAATCAGCAGAAAGCTTTAAATACACAATTATAGCGGAAGGATCGCATGATGCGTGCGATGAACCAATTGAAATCCAATTGGCGGAAGATGATGGAGCCATTAATATGAATAATTCAGCTGATTCAGGGCGTTTAGAGATTTGTTTGATGCCTGAAGAAGCTGAAACCAAAACTGAGATGTCGGCGGCGACTTCTTCGAACATCAATGCAAATTCAGTTCAAGAAGTAACCACACCACCCATTTCACAACATAGTGAACACCATCTTATAAAACGACGCAAGCTTGCCGCAGAATTTCATGCTGACCATGATTTACCAGGAAATTCCAATTTTCTACTAAGCGAACACGGCAGGGTAACACCCGTTAATTCCAAAAATGGAAGCACTTCTGCGTCTGTCAATCGCCGCTTCGGCAACAATAGCTTGCTGAAAGTAGATCCTCAACAGTCCTCAACATCTCATGCAAATGACAATGGTTACATTAGAAATAATGATATTGAGCAAAAATATAATGCAGATAACATTATGGTATCAATTGGGCCCAATAACACTCGTATACCGGCCAACATTTACGAGACAGTAAATTGGACTTCGGCGTCAATGGCCACGCGCAAGCTTCTTATGACTATTTTTGATCGTCCTACTTTGGCGACTCATTCTATGACGGGAAAACCGTCACCCGCTTTTAAAGATCACGGCAAACCCCTTAAGCAAATGTTAAATCCTCTCATTATTCAGGATATTATATTCGCTGTAACCCGTAAATGCAACGTATCAGAGAAGGAAGTACGAACTGCTATTACTACAAAATGCGCTGATGAAAACAAAATGATGAAATTGCAAAAGAATAAGCTTGCTGCAATGCGCGATAGCAATAAGGAAAACATAGCCAAGCACATAAAACGAGAAAGATAAACAGTTTCTGCATATCAGAATAATACACCAAATATATATATTTTTTCTAAATTTTAAGGAAATATACTTTTGGGGCGCAAGTTAAAATTCTCGCATGCTTAAGACCAAATATCTACACTGAATAAATCCAAGTTAATCAAACTTCTCTGTGAATTACATTTTGTTAATAAATCTTTTTTTTTCTTATACTTTAATATTTACATACCTATGTTTGAATAAAATTGAATTACATAACCGAGTAATGTTTTTCCTATTTATTATGGATATTACTATTTATTAAACCAAATAAGAGACGTCGTTAGTTCGAAGATTTAACTAATAATTACAATCGTTTAACACTCATTTAATTAAAACATTGATACAATAATTCTTTTTTTGAATTTGATGAAAACGACCAAGCAGAACGGTTTTGTTTCATTTTGTACGTGATCTTTAAATGTACGAATAATTTGATTTATTCTTCTATGCGAGTAATCGCATACCTATAACATGAGCAGCATACAGGATCTTGGCAACACTGGCCAGTGTATATTTTGACATTTTCATTGTAAAAGAAAATAAAAGGAAATTTTTTTGGAAAAATCATGCGCAAATTATTTGTTAAAAAATTTTCCGACTCCGACCCGACCCGAAAACAACCTAAAGATTTATTGTGAAACTCTCAGAAAGCAAGAAAGCGATAGCTCTTTAACTTGCTCAACAACTTATACAAAACAGATTGGAATTGTCAAACGCAGTGGTTAGAAGCAAAGCAGCAGAGGTTGAGGAATAGAGAAAAAAGTTATTAAAATTTAAAGTTGAAAAGAATCCGTGAGAACTTGACTGAGTTGAAAGACACACAAACAATTTGGGGAAATTTCATTTATTTTTATTTGCGCTTTGTGTTTTATATCTGCAGGGAAATAAAAGACAACATCATGGATATATTGAAGAAAATGTTTCAACAAAACGAAGAGGAAGCCAAGCGTGACCGAGAGTAAGTAATAGAGTTCGTGAGTTTAACTTAATTAAAAACCAATAAGAACTTACCAGAGAAAAAAACGTTGCATAAAAAACTTAATTATGTATGTACATGTGTAAAAACACCATCATTTTGAGGTGACCAGCCCTAGAATTGTAAGATCAATAAGGTGACACAAGACACACAAGTGCATTGTAACAGGCAAAAGGACATAAATCATAAATTTATGGGAACTGCGCATTGACACTTCATAGGCATTAAATTTTTCTCACCACCCTACAGACAGAAGCATTCAATTTAAATTTTTGTACGTTTTTATATTTCTTTAGCGGCGCCCCAAACAAGGATGAATTTCGTAAACCTCAATGGTTCGAAGAAGCGGAAACGGATGATGAGTTGTTTGATGATGATCGCAAATTCGCATTCCAGGTTTTCACTAATCCTCTGGAATTGCAAAAGCATTTTGAAAGTCAAATGCAGCAAATTTTGGAAGCCATCAATGAACTTGAAAGTATGTATAGAACGAATAATTTTAGCATATGTATCATAACACAGCTTTGTTATATAACGTTGTCGGCAGATAATCGTATGCCCATTGAGAAAAATTTGAAGGAAGAGTATTTAAAACCGGGATTTGAAAGTAAAACTTTTAAAGAATTTGAAAAACAACAAAAACAATATTTTGATACCGATTTAGATGGGGAGTAAGTCACTTAAATATAATAATTTTCACTTGATTAAAAACTATACGTAAAACGATATATGAATATTATTTTAGGATATTTGCCGACCAGTTGCATTCATTGATTCAACGTTTTGCCAATGGGGAATATATGCAAGACAGTCCGCAAACTGCTCTGGACTCCACCACTAAAATTTTGCCACGTAATGACAAAAAAGCCATTCGTAAATCGAAGCCGAAACTAACAGACGAAGAGATAATTATGGGCCGCATTCATGGCACGCTAGATGATGGAAATGAGGAGCAACGCAAACGTATAAAACACCGTCGACCGGATTTTATGAATCCGATGTCTCCGGTAATACCGCGAGGCCCTTTTGCGGGTGGAGCTTTTGATGGACATTTTCAGGTATTTATTTTAGAATCTTACTAATTGACATAGTAAATATGTTAAAGAATTTTTAGGGCCCCAAAATGTTTAGTCAAAGTGTAATGACTAAAACTGTTCGAAAACCTGACGGCAGCTATGAAACAACAAAAATTACCCAAGATTCGCAGGGCAATAAAACGATTACAACCACACGTACTAAGGACGGTAAATCTGAGACCGTTACCACGTATGATGATGCCGTAGCATCTGCTGGAAAACGTAGTATTAAAGAATCTTCGGAAATTTACGAGGGCGAGCGTAATATTTATCTCTCAAAAGAAGGCTACGCCTTACCAAGAAATCTCTGGTGACCAGTAATGCAACTGAATAAAAATTTGCGAGTTTTCATTGAACAGCAAAACCAACGCAACGCAATTATCAAATATAAAAATTGTTTATTATATATCATAGCAGTCGTTACGGCTTTCGTCTTTAAGATTTCAGCTTCAGCAAAAGCAAACCATATTATTATTCTAGTTGATGTAACACGAGCAAAGATCATTATTCACGGTGTTCACGTCAATATTTTACTTTTCAAAAGCTTACGCATTTGGTGTTTTAGATGAACATCTTACTGAGTGATAAAAGGGCAATGATGGCAACGCTCGTTTTATTGTACTCTTAATGTGCATATTTTACCAGCTCCAAAATTAAAAAAATGGCCTCGCGAAAGGTGAACCGGTGAAATCATATAGTAAAAAAAAATCCTGGGTTACCAAAGAATGGTTGATTTGCTGGTCTACAGTGAATGGACAAAGGAAAAAGGGGATCATATGCAATACGTTATAAAACAAATATATATATATATATATTTTAACAAATTTTATATATCACATCACATTCAATTTCTTAAATCCCCAGCAAGAAAGGGGAAGGAAAAAAATTTCATATACATAAGTCATGAATTTTAGAATTTTTTCGACAACTTGGCAAACATTTGCTCAGAGTGGTAGCAGAAAATTGAAATGTTGAGTTCTTCAGCAAATTCAATATTTTGTTTAATCTTTTTAAAAACTGAGACGTCTTCCGCCCGCATATATTATTATACATGCATGCATGCGTATCTGTAAGATAATTATGTTGCATACAATTATTGTCTCATTATACAATGAAAAAGAAAGCTCATCTAAAATACTAAATGACCCGAAATACATGTTATTCATATTTAAATCAAGAAGGCGTATAAAAAAAAAATTAACATAAAAAAAATTCGAAATGAATGCAACTACTTCTTACTTAAGATTAAGGTTTTATTTTTTCAAATTAATATACAAATATTTTATAATTGGTGTTTTTTATTTTATCCCGTAAAATGAATCCAACATTAAGTTAATTGGATTTATTTGAAGTTATTAATTTTAATTTAATTTTAAATGAATTTTTAATTACAATTATTATTGACCCGAATGATGGGCATCAATAAATCACATATGTCTACGCATCTTTGTAATACTATTTGTTGTTGTTCTAATATAATTTTCGATAATTTCCTAATAAAGACGAAAATGAATGGCATAGCAAACATATAAATGTGATATTCGGGTTTTCAGATGTAAAATTTTGTACACTTTCGCTCTTTCCCGTCAAATAATTACCTATGATGATTTCCTTTTTCTAAATTCATATTAATAGCCGTAAGAATTATTTATTATCGTTTACACGATATGTATCGCTTATTTCTAAATCTTTTTTTCATTTGATAATGATGATGGTCGACCGGAGCGTGGCTGCCTTCAAGTATTTCACGCTAGTTTTTCTACCCATTTGAACAACTTCGATGGAATATTATCCCAAGACTCCTATTTAAAACGTAAATGTCGAATACACTCTTTGTTAGTTTTATACATACGTAGCAAAAAACGGAAAACGATATCGAAAGGCCGTAGGAGTTGAAACTGTTGAAATCAAAAAGTAGTAGGCACGAGCTTTCTTCAATTAAAGTGATAGTAGTGCGTTTCTCCTTTGAACCCAAACTTTAACAAAGAATATTTTTTAAGCGAAACTCTGCGCTGGTTTTCATCACACATTCCACCGATGTCGTTTTGCGATCACTCCAATCGCCCTAAAAAGGGGATGTGACCAAATACAGACGCTTATTGCAAGATGTGTACGTTTGGAAGAATCATAAACAGTTTGTATTGTATAAAAATTTCTATTGCCTTGAGATCCCTGTATTATGTTGAAATAGTTAGTTTAGCGAATTTTAGAGCGAAGAACGATCAATAAGTTCAAGGATAAATTAGAAAAAACATCGCTTTTTCGCAATGTTCGGATTTATTCACCCTACATTAATGACATACGCGGCATCTGCTTGGAAAACAGTACTCTCATGTCCAATTTTTCATGCGAAGCAGTGAATTCGCCGCTTTCTGATATCTTTAGGATTTCAGTTATCTCTTGTAACTTCCTTTTCGATTTTCGGATTTCATTTTTTGTCCTTTCTGGTGCAACTATTTCTTTTAGATGTCTACTGCGTTCAGTATAATCTCATCTAAAGTCAACTTATTTCCGATAAGTTGCTTTTTTCGATGGAGAATAGTTGTCAGAGCTTTTATGAGCGGTATTTTTATACCTTACACCTTACGCTTGTAAGGTATAACTTACACCTTACGCTTGTAAGGTATAACTTACACCTTACGCTTGTAAGGTATAATATATTAGTCTGAATGTATATAGCGCGATCATAATGTCTTGAGATAGACCCATGTTTCATTTGATGAAAAATGCGAATTTTTTTAAAGTCTTATTTTGGAGAATGATTACTTCGTTTAGTGCAATAAATAACATTTTATTTTTTTCATTTATTTTTCTCAATTTATTTTAGAGGTTATGGCATTTCTTTACCAAAACTTAACAATGGCTTGATATCTTATTCATATTAACACAGATTTTAATGATGCGCATCCTTTTTAACAAATCTCAAACCACAATAACCACAAGCATGAGCACCAGGCTTATCCTGAAATATATGTATAGTTGCAAAAAATAGTTATTACTATTCAATTAAATAAATGGTTAAATATTTCTTACAACTTAACTAATTAAGGATGCTTCTATCACCATCAGTGAATTATGGGACTCAAATACAGCAAAGCAATAAAGTTTTATTAAGCTGGGATCGAAATTTTTAATACTCACAACGTGTGTTGTGTACAATTCATTCATTTACTCAATATATAAATCGCGCGTCCTATATTTTATTTAAACTTTAAATTAGACGTTGTGGCATTTTGAGACCGCGACATACGAAGAAATGAAGAATAAATATTTTTTTCGCATTTGTGCAAGAGGCGATCTTGGTGGTATTCGAGTATAGTTTGACAAGTTCCCGAGAGAATTTTTTTTTTTGTAATTTCTATTAATTAATCTAAAACCAATCTTAAACGTACGAAAGACTATACTGCAAATAGCAAATAATTATATCATCAGAGCTTACGTTAATTATATGCATTTTGTGGCTATATAACGGATAAATTCCAGCAGTCTATGCGATGTATTTTATATTCCATATTGTAGATAAATAACGATAGTTTGTTTTCGTTCATTATACCTTACAACATTTGTGGTACAAGACTATAATAAGTTTGTGTGGATTTAGCAACGCGCAGAAGAACTTACTTTTGTACCAATTTTAAATTGGCTGTCTTTATGTCTGCGTTTTTTCCTTGAAAGTTGGTGCCCTATTGAAATGAAGTGGAATTTAATGGTGGGACTTCGTCCACTATAATGTTTTTGTTTGTTTTATGCTTGCATTGTCGGTAAACCCTAGAAGTTGCGTAAAATTACCGGAGAAAAAAAATATAGCCGTCAGTAAGAGTCTACCTGATAAATATTACTTCTTGATATTTGAGGCGTAAAATAACATAAATGAAATTTTAATGCAAGATCCTCCATCGAAATACTTTCTTGCAATGCTTATGTCGAATAAACTATTATTATGCAAAACTACAGTATTCCTTGTTGTTAAAGGATTCGCCTGCTTTGATATTAAATTTTATCATTCAAGCTTACCAAATTAATGTAAACCTTTGGATGTCCCAGAGGACCGTCGCCGCCATCGCAATACACCACACGCTCTTTGCATTCTTTGGGTGGAATTTCATTCACCAATTTAATGCCCCAATTCTCATTGACGTAACGCTTAGCATTTGTAAAGCGGACATTGCGATAATCATCTTCAGCAAATACCTGAAATTTAACGGTTATAAAATGTCCCTATTGTTTGCATAACAATGTCTAACTATACCTGGCCAGTGTGCGTCACCTTTTGCAAATCTGAATTTTGCGAATAATTACGCGCTAAACTAGAGCTTGCTTGAACGACCACTTTCTTGTTGCTGCGATTCAAAATTGGAAAATCACATATAATTTTGCGGCAAGCCATATTCCTTTCACAATAAAAATTACAAAAATATTCTTTTTCCTCTGATGCCTGTTTTCTTTTAAATGTCAAACATAGGGTTGCCAAATTTTGCGATGTTTATAACTCTGCGTTTGCTGCGTTTTTGAGTTCATTTGAAAATTATTGACTAGAATTTGCTACGTCTTTTAAGCAGAAATATATTTCAAAAGAATTTCTTAGAGAGTGTTTAAAAACTTACTATTTGTAATAGATCAAGACTGCTGTGTATTTTATTTGCATTAAACATTATTTACATATTTGTTTTTAAGAAGTTATATAAAAAAACAGAGTTTTTCATAATAAATTTAAATTAGCAAAAATTTCTAATAGATTGTTTATAATAATAATACAACTATTATATAATTACAATTCTTCTTTAATTTAATGTGTCTCGCGAGAACATGGAAATATTTGTAATATAAAGCATAATAGTGATTTTAATTGCAAAAAATAGCATAACTTTCTTTCTTATTCGATATTATTTTAAAATTATGAAAATATAAACTCATTTTAAGAGCGTACTCTTCTAAAAGATTTTTAACATTTAAAATGCAATTTTCTTTTAAATAAGCGGAAAAGCTAAAGAAATATTATTACTTGGAGTGTTGAGAACAACTATAGATATATATAGTGTTGGGAACAAATGTATATATATATACACATATATGTTCATTAAACAATCGCTATACGCTTTTTATCGAGGCTTTGAAGAACGATATTAAAAATTAGGTCGAGTGATAACATAAAATGCGCATATACACATGAAAATATATATATATATATATATATATATATACTTTACATACTGTCTAAAACATCACTCGACCTAATTTTAAATTTTCTTATTCAAAACGTTATTAAAACACCTGCAGCTTTTGCTTCATGAGCATACGTGCAAAATATAAATACATATATATAATAAAAAAAAAATATAATAAAGCACACAACGGAGGATTTGCTTGAGAATTTAGAATGATTGACTCTCATTTATGTGATAAAACCTATATAACCAAACAAAATGCACAAAATGTAACGTAATTGTTATGTTTTAAACTATTTCCCGGGCACAAGGTATGAACGCCTCCCAATAAGAGATTATCTGCAAGCACAAGAAAAATTTACATAATGTAGAAAATCCATTATATAAAGTCCAAATAAAGTTATTTCCAATACAATTTCAGATTTACGACTTATTCGTTTATCTTCGAATAAACAATATTTGAAAACAATAGCCTGAATGACGGCACTAAGACATTTTGGTTAATGGTAAAAGGGGATTAATAACTTAAGTCATGGTGATATCATTAAGTTTTATGTAAGGTAGTAAATAATCGTTTACATCTTTTAAGTTACAATAACAAATAGTTCATGAATTGTTATCCTCTGTATTTAAATTTTTAATCTTATGTTAGCTTAGTTTCAGGCGAAAATAAAATAAAATACCTTATTCTTCATGTGTAATCTATCTTCTAGATATGTACAGTCGTACTGAAATGTATACAAGAATCTTACAGGAACACAAATAGTTAATATAGCAACGTATTGAGAAGAGCAATTTACCTAAAAAATTATTTTATATGAGGCTCCTATTTTATGGATGCATTTTTGAACTCAACGAGACTAAAAAGTGGTCAGAACCTTGCTATTGGCGCAACTAAATTTCGTAGTTATCTCCCCCCGTCTTCCTAGGCGCGACAAATACTTTAAAAACTTAATATATACTCGTTGACGGACGTAAAAAGAATCCATCGGAGAACTCACCTGTTGCTGATGGGCCATTTGATCTTCAATATATCTTATGATGCTGTTTTTAAAGTCTTTAACTCTACTTAATTCAAAGCGCTCCATTTCTTTTTTAATTTCCGTAGAAATCTCCTCAAACTGTTGCTGACAACGTTGAACTTTTACTTGCCACTGAAATGTAATTATTTAATTATCTGCATTTAATTTCTACCACACCTTTCGTTTTCTTACCTCCTCAACTTCCTGATGAGCTTGTTCCAGTTTGTCAGTTCGATTAGCCATTTCGTAGCGACCGCGATTTTCACGCCTTTTCGTCAATTGCACTTGAGCGTTTTGCCAGTATTGAAAAACTTTGACACGTTCGTGAAAGGCAGATTTAATAGCTCCGAACAGGCCCAAATAATCTTTAACAAATTCAGCGAGAATATAAAAATCTGAATTTGATTGTTCGGCGCGCAAAATTTCGATCTTTTCCTCGGTATCAGCCAAACTAGAGAGTGCTCGGGATAAACCAGTATGCTCTTCGCAAGTACTCAGCATGGCAGCCGACTTGGCCACTAAACCAGTAAGATTTGCCAATTCTTTACGCGTTGTCACTAAGCTCTTAAGTGCTGAATACAACCGTTGAAGATTAGCATCAAGATTTTCAACTTCAGTTATTTTTTCATCAAACCACTAAAGAGAAAAGCAATTAACCTTTTTAACTGAGTAAAGGCCTTTTTACTTACAGGATCATTTTCATCCATTTTATAAGTAATCTTATTAACAGTCTCACCAACTTTATTAAACAAACGCACAACAGCCGCACCGCTTAAAGTGGCTGTATTAACCGCCCGAGGCAATTCCTAGTTCCAAAAACTCGTTTTAAAAAAAGTTCTTCAAAAATTTTTTTCAATTTACAACCTGATCACTTTCCAAAAAGTTAATAAAGTCCAAATCAACTCTTAAAACGGGATGTTGCGCGGTACGATTTATGAAACGCTCTAGAGCCGCTCGACGTTGCTCCACCCATTCTACATTCACTCCCGCGCCAGGTTCACTTTGTTGAGGACTTATCTTTACCTTTGTTGTACCTTTGAAAAGAAAATTTTTACAAAAGAAAGCTACAAAAAAAGCAAGGATGATGCTTACCTAATATATTCTTCGATGGTGCTGGTGGTACTATTTTACCTAATTTGATATATTTACTGGCTAATAAATCATGAATGCCCAGAAAATCACTAAAACGTCTTAAGGTACTAAAATCTGTCCGCTTAAATTTTGGAATATTTGTTCTGGTTGTAACTCTAGATATATATATATATATATATATACATGTATAATAATTATCATCGATCATAATGACAGTTTATGCTTTACTTGTAAGTTAAATATGAACTCATGCCGTCTCCAACTTTTTGCGGTTCCGATACGGCTATTTCTATGAAATAATCACCACTGTCGGAAAGAACATCCTGCATATTACCGGAAGAAATGCGGCGCTGAAATTTAAAAATTGATGTTCACATAAAAAATTCCGCGATACAAAAGAAACACAATTAAATTCCTTCTCAAATCAAGAGGTGGCCGCATTTTCTGCGGCTACACAACATTGGGATAAGTGGAATGATTTCAATTAGACCATTTGAAAAGCGTGTAAATACTACCCCCTATTGTTTTGCATCCAAGAATGGCAAAATTTTGACATTGCCAAACAGTTAAGTCTTTGGAATTTTGCAAAAGTTCATTAGCTTTAAGTACAAATATAAATTTAGCAAGGATCGTTCTCACAATTAAATTGTATTTAACAGCTGACCGTTGAACTGGTCTTCAGAGATTAAAATTCCGAATTACTAAGGACTGTGTTGAAACAAATGGTGTTAATTTATAACAGTGTATTTAGATATACATTTTTATACATGTGTTGGTTTGCTCACATGAAGTATGTATTTGCATATTCGCGTTTATCATTGTAGAATATATATATACATATGTATACTAAATGTTAAACTGCTAAACATTTCATAAACAATATCAACAATTTCTAATCAGTGAATGAGAAAAAATAAAAAGACACCGCCCATTAAACGAAATCTTAAATGCTTAAAAACCTTAAGCTTTGATATTAAAAAAAAAATCCTTGAAACATCAGAAATATTTATCTTACATGCATGACCACTTCAATATTGTTATTAGCCACTGCCGCCACTGCCGGTACTTCCTCTTCCTCATCTGGCTCGTCATCAATATTAGAGACACCATTATTTATATCCACATCAGCGAAATCACGCTGTAAATCATGTAAATCATCGACAGTTTCCATTGACATATTTCTTAATTATTAGCTTAGAAGAGAATTAAATTTAAAAAAAATATTCTATATTTCTGCTTTTGTTTTATCTCTCTATAAGTATTTTTTGATAATAATCCATAGAAAAACAAAAAAAATTAGCAAAAAAATTTCACTTGTAAAAAATGCTTCTTCTATTTTGTACTGAAGAATTTGTCAATCACTGAGAAGTAATATTCCATGACTTTTTATTTAATTTAGTCTAATTATTCCCAATTTCCACTTCATCAGCTGATATGTTAGATGAGAAAAACAAAGTTTATAGCAAAGAATTGAAGTTACTTTTCAAAAATTTTGAAAGATGATTTGTTTTCACTGCAGTAGAGAATAAAAAACAACAACACTCTTTGCTTTTACTGGTTAGGCATAAAACATAACAACGCGATGAAAAACTGAGAAGAAGATATTAAGTGAAATCTTTTTGTGTTTTTATTATTGTTTGTTACTTATTCGAACATTTGTTTTTTGTTTCATTAGAGAAAGGTATGGTAGGGTGCACAGGTTGACAGGGCCAAAGCGTTAAGTATGCATTGTTTTATTTTCAATTGATTTCGTTTCCTTCTATTGAAACTCTATCGAAAGAGCTAATAAGTAAACGTTATGACAAGATTAAGAAAATAACAGACGTTATTCTCTCCCAATGCGGATAACACGGACATGGTGTTTAAATAAATAAAAAGGAATTATATGAAAATTCATTAAAATAATTTAAGGAACAAAAACAAATTAATTTCTAACTGATAGGTGCCATATTTGAAGGTTTTTTAATTTTCTTATCTCTTCAGATTCATGCAAAAGAAATATGGCCATGGGATACACGCGGTCACTCAGTTTGACATTTCAAGTCAACTTTTTTAATGTACATTTGTTAATTTTTAATAAAAGAAAATTATGCAGATTCTCAATGCAACTGCGACTACAAAAGCAAAAACCTCCAACCGTGGTCTCGCTCTCTTCGTTCAACAGCGCAAAAGAAAATGCGCATAGTATTGAATATGAATACAACTGACTTTGAATATTGACTATCCAGTTTGGCAAAAAGGCATTGACTTAAAGCGGGCTATGGTTATGCCGAAAATGTCCTAAGAAGCAGCGAGCAATGATATAAATGATATATATAGTATACTGGCAACCGATGCAATGAGGCAATTGTTAGTTCTCTAGCTTTTCTGAATAACTTTTGTAACTCTGTAAACAAATTGTAAATAAATTCCACGAGATTTTAAATCGCGAGTGGCTCGTACCTATGCAGAGCAACTCGAGGAAAAATGTAAGTAGGTAGGAAAGTTTTACAAACACTTAAAATTTGAGTGGTGCTGGCGTGTATAATATCGGTAAGAAGGAGGCGAGAGTTTTGTAGAAAAAAAAGTAATAAAAGAGGGAAAGTCGATCTTCGGAGAAAGAAAGAAAATGCATGTTTTTTGATAAAAATTTTATTTGGATTGGTTTAAAGCAACAGATAATGTAATCTGAAACTCTTCACACTGTTTTGGAAAAAATGTTTTGTGATTCCTCATGTTTTCATTATCTACGCTATCTATCGACGTCACATATAATCAATTACTTTAAATACGTAGGCAAATAATTATCTTTTTCTATTTTCTTTTAAAATGATGATAGGTAACGAAACTTTTAGTGTGTAAAAGATCGTTATGAATTACGTGCGCGTCGTTAGCCTTTTTGTTCTATTAATTTCTTTCAAATTATTAATCGTTGATTCAAAAAGTGTAGATGGTCGTATATTTGGTGGTACTAACGCTGATTCCAACAATTCACCATTTATTGTATCTTTTCGTTATAAAGGATTAATCTATTGTGCCGGGAGCATTTTAAATAATAACTGGGTGATAACGGCAGCTCATTGCCTTAGTTCTGAACCACAAGTATATAAAACTTCTTTAATAGCAGGCAGCATTTATGCAAACCAAACCGAAAACTCCAGTCAACAAAGGACTATTGACCGTTATGTTGTAAATGATTTGTACTTAGGAGATACCAAACCTTACGATGTTGGTCTTGTGTACACTAAAATTGGCTTTAAATGGACCGCAACTGTGGCCTCAATTGCATTGCCTTCAAAGAATGTAATACCTACCGGTAATGCAATTGTGTATGGTTGGGGAAGCACTTCTAATACAAATACTGAAATCTTTCCGAATATTTTACAAATGGCTGAAGTTAAGATTATTTCAATGAAAGCGTGTGAAAATGCTTTAGAATATCAGGCCAGTGATCTGCATTCAACTAATTTATGTACTGGTCCCTTGACCGAAGGAAAAGGAATATGCTCATCCGATTCTGGCGGACCGCTAGTACAAAAATTAAACGGCAAAAATATTCTAATCGGGATTGTATCATGGGCTGAAATACCCTGTGGACGAAAGAATTCACCTTCAGTGTATGTTCGAGTATCATCACTTATAACCTGGATTTCCCAAAATCAAAAAATACCAAAGAACAAAAAATTTGCTATAAATAAATAGAAGCTTTTAGTATTACTATAATGAACTTAGTCCATAAAATATATGCTTAATTTAAGTGGAAAAAAGGATATTCACGCCGGGCTATAATCTCCGTTTTTAGCGGGAAAAACTAGTACAGTCGTTTTAACATGAAGTTTTTTTACACAGGTCTATCGAATATTTTTGCAATTTCTGACAATACTAAAAATGCAACAGGATATATTAAAAGACTTCGATGTACTACACAGCGGATAAAAACATATTTAAGATCCGCGACTTGACAAGGATGATTAGGATAAGTATACCAGACAAATATAATTAACCTGGGCACGAAGACTAAAACGTTAACGCGCTCTTATCTCATCATACATTAAAAAGATATACGAAAGACAAGAAAAAGACGATCAATTTCAAGTTCAAAAGTTATTTTTGAATTTTTTTTACATTATATTATCTTAAATCCTTTCTACACTTCGGTCCCTCCTATGGAATTCGACTAAAACGATATAGAAATCATACAAAATTAACATTTATAACTTGGCTTCACTCTCGCAAATCATTTGATTTCTTCCATTTCAAATAACAGTTAATCGTGGTGTTAACAAAATTTTGATTTCCTATAGAGAGCAAAAATTAAATCCGCTAAATAACTTTCTATTGTAAATATTTTATGTGCTCATTTTCATTTTTAAGTACGTTAAACTTCTCTCTGCTTTGTTCTACTTGCTTCCCATAAGTCTTCTTTATATATTTCCTCTTCCACTTCGGCCTTTTTTTTATACTACAAGCGCTGTTGTCGCAATCTTTAAGGAATTCGCAGTACAAATGCATTCTGCAGCAATTCTACATAGCTACGTAAATGAAGCCAAGTGTCAGATTTACGGATAACGGATAGGAGCAATTGGGCCAATGTAACGAAAAATCGTTCTTCCTTTATTTGTTTTGCGATAGTGAAGCCAAGTTACAACTGTTAACTCTGCATGAATTTTACTTTGCACTTCTACATTATGTTTACCGAACTCTTTATATCTACTCTTTATAGCTACGCAAATGATGCCAAGTTTTGCTTTACGGATAAAAATAATTACGCCAACTGTAAAAAAAGATTCTTGTATGTTCTACAAAACTAAGTACAAATTTTTTATTAAATTCTTTTATGGATTGGTATATTGTCTATGACTACTGTATGATTTGATGTAAAGAACACACTACTTTATAATTGATTTATGTATGTTACATTATTTTGTTAATCGACTTTTATATGTATGGAATGATCTTAATTCTCTACAAAATTGCATTTGCACTAGGAATTCTATGTAGAGTGCCTTAGAAAAACTACTATTGTGTCGCTTTATTTTTATTGCATTTAGGAATGTTATGAAAAATGTACGCGACTCTCTATATGGAGCGTCATTTTCGTCCTATGTCCAGGAATGAGCGTGTTGTTTTAAAACTAATAATTTTCTGATGAATAAAATTTTTAGGTTTGTATTAAAACTTAAAAGAAAATATCCAACCCCATTTTCTGTGTGTAAAACCATATTAAACTAGATTGCCTTTAAGATGAAAGAACTTTGAAAGTAAAACGTTATATATACTGTATTGACAAAATCATTTTCACGATGAGTTACGTCTTCTGTGGCAACGCTTTTTGTGACTCAATTATTAGAGAATATTTATGAACGAAAAACAAGAGAATCATGTTTAGTGAATCCGTCAATTTATTGCTAAGAATTACAAAAATTAAATAATTTTATATTAAATACTTTCAAAGAATTTAAGAAAAAGTACAATTAAAATAATAGATTAAAAAAGGTTATAAAAGTGTATAATTCTTCTTGAAGGACTACAAAATCGGAGAATTTGCAACTTACATCGAGCGAAAAATCGAAACATAATTCTTCAGCCCAGCCCGAAGAGTGAGCTACGTTGCGAGTCTAGTTTAAAAAAAAGGCAAACATTGAAAAGAAATAGCAAACAATTAAAGAGAAGACAGTAAACTAGTAATTAACTACATCAGCAGTGTATTTAGTTGAAAACTTCATCAAACGTGTAAAAGTGGTTTTTAACTGATTGGGAACAACTGAGATTAAGTGGCATTTATAAATAATTTTTTTACCACAAAATATAAAAACAAGCAAAACCTCTTACTTACTCCACCATCATTATCGAAACGCGAGCGAACATGTCATCAGGCGATTTTGGTAATCCTTTGCGTAAATTCAAATTAGTATTCCTGGGCGAGCAGAGTGTAGGCAAGACTTCACTGATCACTAGGTTTATGTACGATAGCTTCGATAACACCTATCAGGCCACGATCGGTATTGACTTTCTTTCGAAAACTATGTACTTAGAGGATCGGACAGTTCGTCTGCAACTATGGGATACTGCCGGCCAAGAACGCTTTCGATCTTTAATACCATCTTATATACGTGATTCCACTGTGGCGGTAGTAGTATACGATATTACTAATACAAATTCATTCCATCAGACCTCAAAATGGATTGATGACGTGCGCACTGAAAGAGGTAGTGACGTCATCATAATGTTGGTTGGAAATAAAACTGATCTCTCCGATAAGCGTCAAGTTTCCACGGAAGAGGGCGAACGTAAGGCTAAAGAATTAAATGTAATGTTTGTCGAAACGAGTGCCAAAGCCGGCTACAATGTGAAACAATTGTTCAGACGTGTAGCGGCTGCGCTACCTGGCATGGACTCAACGACAGAGACTAAGCCCTCCGAAGATATGCAGGATGTACATTTAGGTGTTCAAAATGAAACAAAGGATCCCGAAGGTGGTTGTGCTTGCTGAATAATACCATCAGTTTAATTTTCCATTAAAATTTTTCAACGCTAAACTCATTATACAAAGACCCCTTCTAATATAAAAACCGACGCTGAGGCTACTAGGGAATAACAATCACATGGAAAACCTTGTAATAAATTACATTTTCAAACTCAGTAGCTAAGGGATGTGTGTGAGAGCTGATCTTGATGAACTAAAATGTAGACTGCTTTTACCAAAACAACCAACCAAAATTTGTTAATAATTTTTATACAAAAATTGTCAGTAAACACACATTCCTTTAAATAACCGATTTAATATTTTTTGTTCTTAATTTATTTATAACGTAAAAGCAATGAATAAAATTACTTCAAAACATTCAAAGGAAATTACATAATTTACAAAAAATGTATTGAAAAGTAAAAAGTAAAGGAGTTTCTCTTCTTCGCATTACCTAATAATAAACTTATGATATTTAGGTGCAGTAGGTTACCAACCTTGAGGATATGGAACGGCTCTCTAATTATAATGCTGAAAAAAAAAAAGAAAAAGTTTCGAGTATGTTGATTACATACTGCTAGGTAAACAATGGTTCTTGTTGTAAGAAGAATTTTGGATATTTACCATTTTCCAAATACTGTTTTTCCCTTTAGAGGCCTTAAATTTCATATTGAAATTCTTTGATGATTTTCCAACAATAAGTGAAGTAATGAGATGTGTTCGTCACCATTCTAGCTTGTGCGTTTACATTTGTATGCAATGTATGCATGTAAGTTCCGACAGACGGCATGAGTGAATATTTGAAATCTCTCGTTCTCAAATCTCATATGCCTGAATATTGTTGAAAAATTGATTTACCTCAGTAAAGGGCATGCAACTTAAATTTAATCGATGGAAACTATGTTTACCAAATATGGAAAACGAATTTCTTAATCCAATTAGTTGATGAAAAGAGGAAAAGGAATAATTTTATGAAAAAAATGAAATGAAAGCTGCTGCTTTTCTTACTTTTGGGGTCTTTAAGTGATAAGAATATACAGGTAAGGTAGCCTGCTTGCCTCTAAGATTAGTTTCGAAACGTACGCGTCATTACCGTTAGTAAAGTTCTCTAGTATACAATAGTAAAAAGTGGAAGTGATTTGATTTTTGTTTTATTTATTTTTTCCACCTGTAAGATGTAATCAGGAATTTTTCAATAATATTCCAACCCTTAAATAACTGTCTGTCTGGCAAAGTGCTCTTACATACCATATATTATGTAGTCTAAAAAGATATCATCCCTAATGCAATGTTATTTTTAAGAGCATTTATGAGGATTACGTCTTTAAGAGCATCAAAGCTCTTGGTGTCTAATAACTGCAGTGAAAAATTGTCAAAGCAATATTTTCATTTAAGATAAGACTTTGAAACAATTTAGTTTATAGTTAAGGCTGGCATGTTTATTGAAGTTTTCTGTTTCGTTTTTTAAATTCATAATGAATACAATAATAACAAGGGACCTTTATGATTAATTCTTCCGTACATCACCACTAACCGATTTTTCATCGTCGCGAAGGATCAACTTTTAACAAAATTTTCTATTGGATATATTGGTCTTATCGTCCAGACTTTTGTAAACAAAGGAAGGGTGGATGCTGACCTTGGCATTAAGTTGTTCATTCGCGATTGATAAACGAGGGATTAGGGGTGATTCTGTACAAATCAAAAGATTATTTGTTATATAAATTTATTTAGCTGAAAGGCGCACTATTTTGTTCCTTATCAAATTATAAAAATTTAAAAGCTGTCCTCGTTTGTAATGAATTCATCTTTAATTTTTTGTAATTTTGCAATAAGATCCTGAATAGAGACTTCACCATGCACTTTGTTGTCGCGGGTACGAACATTAACTGTGCCAGAAGACCGTTCCTTTTCGCCGACAACTAAAATGAAATTGAATTGAGCCAACTGGGCATTGCGTATTTTTTTGTTCATTGTATCGCCGGCGTCAAGGTCGGCCTCGACCATAAAACCAGCGCAATGCAATTGATCGCGTACAGATTGAGCATATTCATCGAAATGCGGACCAACTGGTACAACCATAACTTGTCGAGGCGAAAGCCAGAAAGGCCATTTGCCAGCGTAGTTCTCTGTCAGAATGGCAATCATTCGCTCGACCGAACCTAAAATAGCTCGATGTATAATTACAGGTCGTTTCTTTTCACCGTCATCGGCAACATAATGCAAATTGAAACGTATAGGCAGCTGAAAATCTAATTGAATAGTGGCGCACTGATGAGCTCTTTTCAAAGCATCCATTATAGTAATATCGATTTTCGGTCCATAAAAAGCTCCATCACCAGGATTCTCTTTCCAAGGTAAACCGAATTCATCGAGAGATTCTGCCAAAGCCTTCTCAGCGGCATTCCACTGTTCCAGTTCGCCTAAATACTTTTCCGGACGTGTAGAGAGAACCAAATTGAACGAGAAACCGAAAATAGTGTATACATGACGTAAAAAGTCTAAACAACCCTTCATTTCACTTTTAATTTGATCAGGAGCGCAAAATATGTGGGCATCATCTTGCTGGAACCGGCGCACTCGTGTAAGACCAGTCAGGGCTCCTGATAATTCATTGCGATGCAATACGCCAAAGTCTGCCATACGCAAAGGTAATTCACGCCAAGAACGGTTACGATTATCAAACATTAGGCTAAGGATCAGGAACATATAGTTACTAGAAGATCTTTTTTCAAATATTGTATTCTTAGCTTACCAATGACCAGGGCAATTCATGGGCTTTAAGGCGAATGTTTCCTTTTCTGCTTCAAAAGAGAACATGTTCTCGGCATAATGTTGCCAGTGGCCAGATGTAACCCACAATTTCGAGTTATAAATGTTTGGTGAAATAACCTCCTGAAAGCCTCTTTTCCGATATTCGGATTTAATAAAATTCATTAAAGTATTATAGATGTGCGCTCCTCTGGGTTGAAAAAAGCATGATCCAGGTGATAATTCGTGAAAGAAAAATAGTTCTTGTTCACGTCCAATTTTTCGATGATCACGTTTGGCTGCCTCTTCTTGCAGTTTTTCCCATTCTTTTAGTTGCTTGGAATCAGGAAAAGAAATGCCATAGACGCGCTGCAAAGTCTCAGCGTCAGCTTTTCCTTCCCAATAAGTGGAGGAATTTTTGGTAATTTTCAAAGCCTTCACTTTACCAGTATGACGTACGTGAGGTCCACGGCATAAATCAATTAATGGACCACATTTATAAACGGTTGTAGTATCGGTGTTAACTTTCTCATTTAAAATCCGACACTTGAATTCGTTATATTTAAACATTTCTAAGAGATCTTCTTTCTTCATTTCCAAACGCTCAAACGGTTGTTTCTCTTTAACAATTTGTTTAACCAAAGATTCCATAACTGGATAATCGTTGGTGGAAATCTGTAACAAAAGAAAAGAAAACATGATGAGAATCTACACCGTGTTTGTCAATTTTACATACGCCTTCTCCCTCCAGATACATGTCATAATAAAAACCATCAGCTATTGGTGGACCGTAGCATAAATGACCACCATAAATACGTTCCATTGCTTCGCCCATAATATGAGCTGAGCTATGCCAAAAAACGGCTTGAGCGTCAGGATCATCAAACTTTAATAGTTGCAGGGTGCAATCGCCCTCCAATACCCGATCTAAATCCCAAACGCTGCCATTAATTTTTGCTATAACGGTATTATCAGCCAAGCCCTGACTAATTCCCTTAGCCACGTCATAGGGTGTAGTCTCCCAAGAAATACCATCTATTTCTTTCCCATCAGGTAAAGTAATTTTTATAGGATTTCGTGGCTTGGCGGCTAGTTCAGATAAATATTTTTCCTTACACGTTTCCCATAAAGCATTGCGTTCCTCAATATATGCTGGCCATGGATCAAGTTCGGCGATTGCTACGGAAAGATAGACAAAAACAAACTAAAATTTGCTTTCAACAGAAGTAAAAATACTATAATGGGTCACAGTCTACTAAAAAAATTCTACGGCACCCTTCAATTATTCATATAACGACTTTTTAAAATACGATGTTATATGGGAAGTGGTCGGAAAATTCATGGTTATCAAAATACCCTAAAAATTGCGGCTTGAAGGTTGAACACAAGAAAATGAACACGGTCAGGCGGACAGATGTGTTCAAATCAATTCATAGGGAAGTGAGAAGAGAAAAGAAATTGGAAAGCGGACGTACCCTGGTCGTTCGGTTCGGCTTTTACGACATATCGGACCGCTCACTCACTGTAACTCAGTGCAACTGGGCTAAACGGGCTAACTTAAATTTACTGTTTGAGTTTTTATACAATTTAAGAACCTACCGGTTTTGCTATCCCCGATGGGGCCATTATTTTTCTGCTTATCTTTTTTCATTTTTGCGGCCTGCAAAATACAAATAAAATGATATTAACATATGAAAAACAATTTTTTTATTTAATTTGAAAAGCAATGACTTTCTAGTGTGAAATTTATAACGAAACAAGTATCAAATGCGATGAATCGCATATAAAGTGAACCAGCAAAGTGCAAAAATGTGACTAATTTCCACTCTATTAATCAATGAACTTTTTCGCAAATTTTCTTGTTACGTTTGTTGCCAATTAAAATAAAAGTTTTATTTTCCGTAGAACAAACTTTTTTCACTATCTGCTTAAATATGCTGGTAACGCAGTGAAAAGGGAAGTTCAGACACGTTTACTTATTGAAGTTTAACTATTGACGAATGTAATGACATTTTCACTTCTTATTGATTAGATACGTTGCAGATGGCTGATGCAAAAACAAAACAAAGAAAAAAAAAAAGAACAATCTGATGAGAATTCAAATAATGTAAAAATGAAGATAATTTTAAGAATTTTTTCCGGCTCGGACGGCTTCCATTTGACAATATTGGCAAGCACAGTTTTTTAAAGTGTTAATTCTTCTTATAAAATTATTTAAACAAATGTAAATTATTTTATGTATTATTAAACAATCGGACTTTCAGTTTGTTGAGTTAGAAGGGAAATGGTAAGAGAAACACACTTTACTTTAATTTAATTGGAAAGAAACGACAAAGAAAATGAGTTTAATTTTAAACACGAACCAAAGTAGCAAATGGTCTTTGCTTGTAAAAAAATCTATTAACAAAATCAATATGATATTCCAGCAACAAATTTGCACGATTTTTGTCCGGTCTCGATAGGTTTCCCGATGCGTTAGTCGATAAGATTTCACTACATGCGCTATGACAACACGACGATATTGAACATAGTTTGTTGATGTTTATTTTTTGTGCTTTTAATACTCGTACTGCTTTATTCATTACTTTATAACTAATTTATTATATCAAGTCTATTCTTATGCAATTTTTAATACTTCTTCACATGCCTTTTAGTTATTTATACCCAATCTATTTAGTTTTAATACCACGTTCGCATCAAAAAACAAATTCTTTTCGAAATGTTGCCATATTTAACGATACGCTTTTAATATGATTACCACGATTAAAACAAATTTATGGCCAAAATTTGCTATAATGTTTGCATATCATTTGTTGTTGTAAACCGTTACTGTAAAAACTAGCTCTTCTTTATTAAATCGGCTTTCGGAAAATATCGATTTTTTGAGGAACGTTTGACATAATCCACTAGACAAGTGTTTTGAACGAGAAAAAGCAGCAAAATTTTGTCTATAAATTTATCTTAGTTCACTCAAACTCAATAATCAAAGAGAAAAAAATTATCTAAAATTGCAGAGCTTAAACAATTTTCTAATTACAAACCGAATTTGAACGGTGCAAGTATAAAGTAAAGGCTAACAAAATTTCACATTTACTTGAAAATCCGTTGCTGTCACTATACAGCCATTCAGCAGTCTTTCGAGCGGCGTCGAACGTCATTGTGGAGCGAAACGATTTTTTTAACGTGGCTTCAACGGACAGCATCAGGACGCAGCACAGTAAAGTTCACCCGAGTCCGGGGGCAGGAACAGCCCGCAGTGTGTGGGCTCTGCCTCTGACCTATGATAGCTGTAATATGGTAGAAGAAGATGGCACAGTAACACATACTCCCCACACTGATCAGGAAGCCGATGCGAGAAGATCTCACACACCAGGAAGCGTAGATGCGGACGGTGCTGTAGGAAGCTCTTCTGCTGATGGTACAGGCGCAAATGAGCACGATGACGAAAACTTATTAGTTTTCGAAGGAGCTGATGGGTCAGTGGCCCATTTGGACGACATATTCGATATAATTAAAAATGGTGAAGTGACCGATTTGGAAAATTTAACCGAAAAGTTCGGTATGGAATGTTTATCAGGTCGAGATCGTCATGGATATACGCCAGCTCATTGGGTGGCTCTAAATGGTAATGTGGAAATGATGCGTTATTTAATAGAGCATTCAGCACCTATTGATTTGCCTTGTTTGGGTACGCAAGGACCGCGCCCTATACACTGGGCTTGTCGCAAAGGTCATGCTGCAGTTGTGCAGGTTATGCTGCAAGCCGGGGTTAATGTTAATGCCGCCGATTTTAAGGGCTTAACTCCCCTTCACGTGGCGTGCATGTATGGGCGTACTGCCACTGCCGCATATTTATTAGGAATGGGTGCTTTAAATCATCTAACTGATATAAATGGGGACGCAGCTTTGCATTGGGCTGCCTATAAAGGTCATTCTGACCTTATGCGTTTATTGATGTATTCAGGAGTGGAACTGCAGAAAACGGACAATTTTGGTTCAACTCCATTGCATTTGGCGTGTTTATCCGGAAATATGGCCTGTGTACGATTATTGTGTGAAAAATCGAATTTGGATTTGGAACCGCGTGATAAAAATGGTAAAACTCCCATTATGTTGGCTCAAGCTCACCAGCATCAAGACATAGTACGTGTTCTTTATAATGAAGTGAAGAAAAAATCCCGTTGGTTGCCTTCCGTATCCGAAATATGGGGTTGGTTATTTGGCGGAGCTGGCGACTCAAAAGGTCCTTTACTTCTTTTTTTATTCTCCGTACTTTTATGGGGTTACCCGATGTATATGATAAGAGTATGTAAAAATTAAAGATCTCACCCAAATTTATTAATTATTCAATGACAAACTATTTTCCAGGCCATACCAATCACTTGGAATATTTTACGACGTTCTCATTATTGTTTCATTTATTGGAATGCTGTTATGTGGATTAGTTGGATTATAGCAAATCGGCGAGACCCTGGTTATATACCACTTAGCTCGGATGCGTATTATCGAGCTATCAAACAAATTCCATACTTTGATAAGCTCAAGAAGCGCAACGTCATTTTGACTCGTCTCTGTCATAGTTGCCGTTGTTTAAGGCCGTTAAGGGCTAAACATTGTCGCGTCTGCAACCGCTGTGTGGCCTATTTCGATCATCATTGTCCATTCATATACAATTGCGTCGGTCTACGAAATCGAATGTGGTTCTTCTTATTCGTTTTATCGGTGGCTGTAAATTGCTCTTTTACTATTTACTTTGCTTGCTATTGTATCATGATCGAAGGCTTCACTCTACTTTACGTGTTAGGTCTTATCGAGGCGGTAGTATTTTGTGGATTGGGCTGGATTTTAACATGCACTTCGGTGAGTTCTCATTTGTTTAGAAGCGTAGTTTTTCCTCGAATGAAATTTTTTCGCCTTTAGATTCTTCATGCTTGCATGAATTTAACAACGAATGAAATGTTTAATTATAAGCGTTATCCATATCTACGCGATAAACGAGGACGTTACCAAAATCCTTTTTCACGCGGGCCTATACTAAATCTCTTGGAATTCTTTGTTTGCTTACCCGATCGCAGTGATGACAATGATTTCTTGTTGGAGGATAACATTTGATTAAGAAGTTAGGAGCGCGCCTATCAGGCTCGTCGCCGCAAATTGCCGCCAGTTCGTCAATAAAAGAATGCTATGCCAGGTTTGATGATTTCGCAATGATGCCAATATCAGCTAAAAAGTCTTTTTTTGTTTATTACTTAAAATCTTTCAAGGATTTATTTGAAAAATTAAATGCACCGACACGCACACAATTTTCATTACAAAAGCTTAGCTAAGTAGAAATTAATACTTATTTTGATTAATTCGAAAAAATGAATAAAATGTTTTTAAAACACTCCTCAATCAGCATATAATGCAATTTAATTATAATGCAATTAATTGAATCGTGTTCTTTAAAAAAATGTTGTTTTAACTTCTTATGAATTACTTATGTATGTATGAGCCTGGCATCTGTAATATGCTCTTTCTTTTTGTTTGTCAGTTTTTGTTTTTAAAATCCCTTCTATAAATACGCGAGAGAATGGGTATGAAATACTTTGTATTTGCGACTTTGTGGAAGAGGTGTGAAATTCAGCTTTCGAAACAAAAATCATAATTTTCAGGATCTTCCGGAATAGGTGGAGGTTCCTTGCTTATATCGACTCCTTCCGTATCCAGCAGTCTTAACTTGATTTCCATTGACAGCAAAGTGTCGAAATCTTCTTTCTTTTGTTTGCTAACCATTTCCTGACCTAATAAAGCGTTAATTCCATCTGTCCAATAATTAAAAATGGTTTCATCCGGTGCTACAAAATCCAATGTCGAGTGATCCATGCTGTCGAAAGTAATGGAAAATGCTAGATTAACGGCCGATTTTCGAGTACGCATTTCTTTCATGTGTGGACATTCTTTGCCTTCTAATAACTGTTTAATATCTATTACGGAGACTTTATTCGGCAATTCCTCCAATGTTGGTATAGTCTTTTCATCGCAATCACCGTAATGTATGACTTTGAAATTGGGTGATAGACGGGCATACCAAAATTTATCTTTTGACCGAGCTCCTCGCGAGTACTTCGAAAAGCGTGTACCTATAAAAACAACAAAAACAACAAGTTAGCTAACACGTTAGCATTATTAGACTTACGCGACACTTAATTCTTACCTTCTACTAGAAATGCTAATCTCTGTTGTTTAATTAAGTCCAAAATATGCGGTGATATCTTCTCCTTAAGTTTTACAATAGCTGATGCCGTAGAATCACATTCTTCTTTGGATGTCCGTTCTTGTTGCCTTAAATTTGTTATTGTTTGATAGGTGAAATGGGCTATCTTGCCGCGGATATCTTCCAAATTGTCCGGTCGTTGTTTAAGGGTTCGAGTTATTTGTTCACGAACTACACTGAAAACTTTGAGAAAATCTTCACCGGTGGCCCGCATATCCTTCCATGTACGATTTAATGTCATAATACATATGCAAAAGAACTCCTCAAAGGGATGATCGTGCGTAAAGAACATAGGTTGAAAGTCTGACTGATCGGAAGGCGGCTCTCCAATACGCAAAATATCGCATAAAACTTTTACCAGCTCTATAGAGGTACGGCCAAACGGACATTCATGCTCATCGCCCCGGCATGAATTTTCATGGACAATTTTTGTATATTGTTGAGTAAAATTTCGAGCAAAGTAAACCATACAATCGAGGGCCAAAATTCCAGGTGGCGTTTCTATGAAATCTTGGGCTGGATTAATGTCGGACTTAAAACCAAGCTTCTTATAATATTGAGCAAAATTTACGTTCCCTATATTAGCGGACGAGAGATTGCCACTGCCTCCACTACCCATTATACCGGAATAATCATCAAAAGCAATACGCCTTAGTTCCTTAATTTTCTCATGAGCATCCTGATCTTGTGCATTTATTTTCATACGCATGCGTTGCTCCAATAATCCCAAGGTTAAAGTTTGCAACACATACAGTTGATGAGTCATCTCGGTACTGGTTACATTACCAATCAAAGCTAGCCGGTATTGCTTAGCGCTTATCGTATGGGCTATTTGACGTTTTCTGGCTTCGTTCGCCTTTACAAATAAGGCATTAATGAGAGCTATAGCATTTTGCATAATAACCGAAGAATTTGCATCTTGCAATAATCGTAACAAATCCTGTAGAGTAACTTCATGTTCTACCAAATTATGTTTACTACTATTTTGCACAATATTCTCTAGATTGGAGAGGGCACTCTCAGTACATTTAGAGAAATGTTGAAAGTTTCTTACTATGTAAATGTTGCGCTCTACAAAGTTATTTTGCAATATCTCCCAGGATACTGTACCGTGTTCCATTAATTCCACGAAACTTTTTAAACTGTACTTAAGGATTTCGTCCTCTTTTTCCGAGGGCTCCTCAATCATACTAATTATGATATCAAGGCCCTGCTCTTTGATAAATTCTAAGGCAAAAGTTAGATCCACGGAGAGCGAAGAAAGTTCCTTAAGGCATTTAATTTTATCAAAGGTTGAGCCGGTCCGTAAAGTCTCCAAAGCGTCATTTGCGGTTTTTGACGGCGAATATTGTAAACGCAAGACGGAACCATTTTTAATTTCATTGCGATTTTTTTCTGTAACATATTTTTGGTTGTTAGTTTCGCAAAACTGTAATGCATAATTTTCAGGATCAACGATTCCCCAGCAGCTGCAAATCTCTTGAATTTTGCCTGAAATTCATTAAAACTTAATAACAAATAGACAATGAACAAAAATCCAGGTAATATTTTACTTGAAACTTCACATTTTCTATACTACTTATGACTACTACTGTATGACTCTTTACACAGTTTTATTCCTTGTATCGCTTGGTACCGGTGTGTTCACATAAAATGTTTATTGATTGAATGATTGAAAAAAAAAAAAAAAATGGGCGTTGGTTGCAAATATTTATGTAGTCTTTACATATATCTTTCATTGTTTTTCCTTTTTTTTAATAAGTAACAAGTAAATATATTTACTTAAGCTTTACTTACCGGTTAATGGTTGACGCTGATCTAAATTTATTAGCTGCGCTATATGATTTTCAAATTCTACAGCGATTTTCACTATATGAGCATCTTTTACTGGCATCTTTTTCGGAATCATGTTAATGTTGAATTTATACGACAACTTTCCAATAATTATTTATATTATTAAGTGTTTAAAAACAAAATATCACTAAAAACAATAAATACTTGTGTACGACAAAAGATAATGGCAAAAACGAGAAGTGTATATATATAAATACTCAGATTATCTATGCATACCCTAAATACTTTGCCTGACAGAGTGATTCAAAATAAATAATTACGTAAAGCGTAGTTAGGCAGTGTTATATTAGGCCTCTAATCAAGTTTGCATCGTTTTTAAGAGACAACATAATTACTTAAAGTGCTTGAAATATAATATATAATCTTTTTTATATAAATGTATAAAACATATGCATTCATCTCCCCTTGCACGTCTCCTCAAGAGTTTTATACAATTTTTATAGACGTGGCATTCGATTTTACCCTATTTTCAAAAATAAAATGATAATTCTTTCCATATATTCATACAAGTGCTTGAAATATAACATATAAAGTTACATCGTAGTGAGATCGATCTGTCAAAGTACTTTCGTTGAGATTTATGCGCAAGATCATATGGAAATGTAACAAGTAAGCAAATTATATTCGGTCGTGACCGAATCTTCTATGCTCATCGCCTTTACCCTAAAAAAGACAAAAAAGTAAAAGAAGTAAATTTTCACGCTCTCTAATATGGAGTGGGCGCGAATGACTTTTTCTACTTTCACAGCAAATGTTTTTGTCGCATACGCATGAGAGCGTTGCAGCGGTGTTCTTCGGAAAGTTTAAGTCACTTCCAAAGAATGTTTGCAACAAGCGGACAGACGGACATGCTTAAATTCGTTTTAGAATTTGATACTGATCAAGAATATATATATATATATATATATATATATATATGCTTTGTGAAGTTTGCGAAGTTTCCTGTTGGACGTTGCAAACGTTTCGACAAAACGAATATACCCGATAAAGTAGAGCAGATAAATCTACAAAAATTTGAACGGTACCTGTACTGACTAAGATTCTCTTGCTTATCCAATTTGAATCAGTGAATTAAATATGTATTTTGTGATTTTTGTGAAACGCCCCTTTACCTCGAACAACCAGATTCGTTCATCTAAATCAATCGACAATGTAAAAATATCTGCACAAAGCGACATCTCTACATTCTGCAACTGTAATAATCAGTTGCGAGAAAGTTACGTTAAAAACATAATGAGAAATCCGGAATTTCTCTACGTACTCTCTAGTACAATTTTGAAGATATCTCGTCCCACATTATGCACATACATTAAATAATAACCAAATCACTAATACTATAATTTTATCAATATAAAAAAAAAATTTGCCGCCTATCGCCAAAGCGCTTTGCGCTTTTTCTTATATTGGGTTGGCAACTAAGTAATTGCTAATTACAGCTATAGATGTCTCTCACTTCCACTTTTTATTATATCCGTAAATGTTATATATGTTAGCTGTCATCGTTACCTAGTTTATTGCGTATATATTTTCTTAAAATTTCTTTTTAACCTCAATATTAATATGGAGTTCAAAAAACGAACGTTTACGCCATATTTTGCTTTATTATTTCCGTAAAGGAAAGAACGCAGTGGAAACCGCCAAAAAGTTACGTGATGTGTATGTAAAGGCAATGCCGAAATTGTTTTGAAAAATTCCGTTTTGGAGATTTTCCTCTTAAAGATGACCAACGTTCAGGCCGACCAGTTAAGCTTAATGAGGTTGAAACAAAAACCATCATCGAAGAGAGAGAGAGAGATTAAATGTTTTCCATACAGCCATTGAGAAGCATTTAAAACGTGTTGGTCTCATTAAGAAGCTGGACGTCATTTTCCATGGTAGGCCGCACACGTCTTTAGCCATTCGGAAAAAATTGATGCATATTTGTTGAGAATTGATATTACACCCACCATATGACGCTGATCTCGAGCCATCGAGATCGGATTACGACTTATGTCAATCCCTGGACAACTCCCTTCGCTTTAACTTTCGATGATGAGGCTGCAAAATCTCACTTAACTCGGTCTTTGGCCGAAAAGGATCAGACCTTCTACGAGCCTAGAATTTTCAAGTTGTCAGAGAGATGGCAAAAGCTCATCGAACAAAACGGAAATGCATTATATATTAAACTGAATTCCAAGTAAGAAAAAAAATCTTTTACTCCATTGAACAAATCGGCAATTACTTAGTCGCCAACCCAATATATTCTTTTTATTAAAGTGTAACATATTTACTATCCGGTCCGAATATGTCCAACCTACTCGTAAATCCAAATTAGTTGTTTTTTAAGTTTTAATAAGATTCTCAATGTTAAGTTTATGTATTATTGAAGAACGAGTAATTTATTGACAGTGTTCACTTCACTTCAATTTGTGGGTTAATTAACGTAGTATTTATGTAATGTTTATAATAACGATATTGCAATGCACGTTCGAATATTGTTTTTTTTTTTTTGTATTATTCGGTATATCGACTAAAAAGTAATTTTCGAATTATTAAATAAAAGGATATTACATATATGTATTTTATGTTGATAATTAACGGCCATTTTCCAGCATACATTATCCATAGTAGTTTTACTGACTAGAGGATGGAGCTGGTGGTGCAGTCGTAGGTAAAGAGGATAAAACATCTTCTATAAACGCTTGGGGACTTTCAATTTCACCAAAAAGGCCTTGAAATGAAATTAAAAATTATTATTAATTTATGAGTTTTTCTTATAAGCGGCATACGAAGCGAAATTTACTTACAAGCCACATCACAAAACTCTTCAAATGAAGTACAGGGTAAAAAATCTTCGGTAAATGTTTCCAACATGTCGTCGGTCTGCTTTAACATTGTTTCGTCATTTTTCCTTATATAATTGAAGAGAGAAATCGACCAATCTTCCTCTTTCGGTGTAGAGACGTTTTTAAAAAGCGTATTATAAATTGAATCCACTAGAGCCCACATCATAAGGTAGGGGCGATAGACTGTAATATATTCCTTCTCTTGACGATCAGCTGGTGTCAATAAGGCTTTGCAGGCCACAGAAGGCGATACATGGCGAGCCTGAGCTATAGCAATTAGACGCTTTAGATGGGCAACTTTGTGCTTGTTCCAAGTTTCGTGCGAATGTAATGAAAGCGACATTGTCAACAAATATAACGGGCCATCAACATCGTAAGCAGATTCCAACCATTTCTCCGACGGAGGCGATGTCAAATAAGTAAGTAATGTTTTGCTGTCCCGTGCCGCCGAACGAGAGGAAAGGAGTAAATAGACAGCGTAGAAGAGGAGATATGGTACAAAGTGCATATTAGATTGAGGTCCACCGCCTCCAGCGTCGTCGTGGAAGCTTCGTTCCCATGCAAAACGCATAAGCAATAATTTCAGATCATGAATACTGTTTGAGTAGGAAATATCGCATCGTTGGGTGCTTTCTTGCATGTAACTAGCATGACGTGTCATACAAGCAGAAAATGCTGCCTCTGACACGTCGGGACCCCAAAGCGGCAACAAGCCATTACAACGGGTATTGGCATTCTGTAGGCTGGCCCTCTCCCACTCATCTCGACCTCTGGCTAAGCGTATGGCTGATGTGTGACAATCAACGTGAACGACATTAAAGTGTGTTACAGTAGTATAACCAATAGTTTTACGTGACTTTATCTCAAACTCTTCAACGTTACATCTTTTAGTGAAGGTGTAGATACCTAAGACTTTAGCCGGCTGACAGGCATAACCTTCACGACATATGAAACAAGTAAGACCGGTCTCATCGCGTAACTTTTCAATTTTTTGCAAAATCGATCCCTTGGCTGTAACCTGGCCTTTTTCGTTTGTTCGCATGCCTAATGCGTCCAACTGTTTTTCTCTCGTGGCCATAGCTAAACGCTTTTTCTCAGCCCTGGTAAAATCACGAACTTCCTGAACTCTGGTTGCAGTAGCGGTATCAGTGCACAGAGCCTCTAAAAGGTTTTCAGCCAAGCTGCCAACGTGTTCGTCGCTACTTACTTGTTCCAAGCGATGTATTATGGGTATAATATCTTTACTAATCGCTAATTGTGTAGCTTCATGTTTCGTAGCTAATCCTGTAAGGAATCGCAATATATACTTGAGACTTGGACGAGATATAAACTCTTTTAGTTCATCGGAATCGGTTCGCAATAATGTTGGCTTAACGCATGGAGCATACCGTGTTATATAACTGATGGCTTTCTCAACTATGCCCAGACCTACTATATAATCCTTCAGAGTGCCTCCGATACAATTGTGTTCAATTTGATTGGTCAAAACGCAGAATAACTCTAATTTGAATTCTTCCTCGGAACTGCGCTCGAGGTCGAATTTATCGAAATCCAAAATATCTTTGAAATGTTCACATAACAAAGCCATCTTAACTTCGTTACCATAAACTAATGCGGCCAATACCCTTATAAGGTGACGTAAAACTGACGGATTATTGCGAACATTTGGACATTCGGTGCAAGAAATAAGGGCTGTAACATATTCTGGACCACCGAAAGTTAAAGAAAATTGCAAAAAGGAATCCAACGTATCACTCGCCGCTTTAGATAATATAGTTTCCATAATCTCAAGTAATTGCTCAGTAACGGATGATTGCATAGAATCCGGCTCTGACTGTAAACATATCTGAAGAACTTTCAGCAACGTATTAACAGCTCCCAGTTCTGGTTGACACAAGACCTCCTGGCACCGTCTTACCTTCACGCAAATTAAGAATAATTTCAATAGCACTTGTATCAATTCACGTGTGCGTGTTATGCTTTGTAGACTACCAATTCGATCCAGCATAACTTTAAGACCATTGCAATCGGCCAAGACATTCGCCATGCGATACAGTTGCTCCGTATCAACTTCTTCTTGGGATTTATTACTTAAAGTCTCCACAAACTCTTCGGTGGCGTCGCCTAGAAGGCCTCGCATGCGGTAAACAATACGCATCGCATCTCGTTCACCACCCTCGGCCAGCCAAATTTTTTTATAAACTTCTTTCACAGGCAAGTCCAAGCTTATAATCTTGTTATTCACTAACAATTCCATTCCGTTATCATCTTCCAGTAAGGCTATCAATTCACAATCTGTGCAAATTTTGTTCTTGATATCACGCATTAGAGGCCCTAGGCCAACCTCGGTGGAGGGATAAGGATTGCCTAACATTCGACCTTGCAAAAAGTCTTCCTGTTGCGGATCCTTTTCTAGCGTCATGAAGAACTCATTTTCATCGTTTTCCTCAGGATGTATAATAGAGTAGAGTCGTTCAAAAATGAACACTGGCGTTTTAATGTCCTTAACAGGGGTTTTTTCTACGGTGTCTGTTAAAATTTCCATGAATGCTCTGGTCTCTTCTTCGGTTCCACTGGTCATTTCCTCTAACATTTCTAAAAGTTTCTCTTGCGCGTCGTCAATAAGACGGGTGCGTTGCACTACAAGTTTCCTTAAAGAAAGATAGCCTTCTAAAACGGGACCTAATAAACGTGTCTTGTACACTTGACGTATGTTTGGACTTTCCAAGAAAAGAGCCAATAGTTCAACAAACTGTCTGAGAGCGTAACCTTGTGAAAGATCAGACGAGAGTGTAGTTTCTTCCATACGATGGATTTTCTCTATTTCGGCGGTAAGTAATTGAGAAATATCTGTCAAGACGCCTTTCAAGGCCAAATACTGGCGCCAAGGTGTTTCCACAGCTAACAAACGATATAAAGACAGAAAATCAGTGCTAGCTTCGCCAGCTTCTCCTACGTACTTTAGAAAGCCGGTAAGTAAATTCAAAATCTCTCGTTTGCGTTCATGAGTACGACATAGAACAGTAATTAATGAACATACTAACGGCCGGCGAAAACGAGAATTTGTATTAAATAGTATTGGTTGAAGCCAATTCGCACTCAATACTAAAGGCTGGTATGGCTGGCCTTTATTTAGAAGACGTGTACGCCAAAGTAAGCCATATTTTTCAGTTAGATATGCTTCGCGTATTAATTTACGACGTTTTGCTTTAGATTCGCTGTTAAGCGGTGGGGCTTCGCGACTCTTCTCTCTTTCATCAACGGGTTGCGTACCGCCCAAGCGGACTGAGTTTGTTTGTTCAGATACCATGGATTGCAAAACTGCTGCCATATTTTCATCCTGCAAAACATTACCAGAACTACCTTCCGAGCAATCTACCCCCATAAATGGTTTCATCATTTTATTATGTGTTGATGTCGGCATACGTGCTTTCCAAGCTTCGTAAGTATGTTGTGGATCTTCACGCAACCACTTGTTAAAATCCACGCTCAAGCCATCTACGCAGGCTACAGAGGAAAGTGCCGAGGGGCTAAGATCACGATTTAGCTTTGTAGATGGTATAGTTGGAGAAATAAGTTTTAACATTATATGTAAACATGGCTGTATAACAGAATACGCCGGACCCCGTGGCGTACGACAGGTAAGCAAAAAGAGTTCGAAGACCACTTTCAATTTTTGCTCCCAACAAAAATCATCTTGACTAATCAATACTCGCAAAAGTTCCATTTCGTGGTGTATAGCCGAATCCAAATTCGTGAGGGGTATAGATCCTAATAGAGCAGTTTTCACTCGCTCGCTTATTAAATCCAAAAGATTCATGCAAGCATCCTGGTTACTCTTCGTTAATAACACCAATAAATGGCGGACTTCATCTTGGATTTGAGCTGTTCCTCTACGTAAATTATGTTGAGCCAACTCCTCTACTAGACCTTGACTATAAAGCACTAAGCGGCACTCGTAGTTAGAAGCCATTGCTCTCATTAATGTTAAGCATTGCTCGGTGGATGCCAAAGCGCAACCATAGCATCTATTAATAGCATAATATTCACGACCATCTGGTTGTGGTTGGCTATTGGTTTGATCCATTTGACTGCGATCATAGGCAACTAACTCACTGCGACAAGCTTTGACCTTTTGAACAATCTTTGACAATTCCTCAAAAGAGGTGCGCGATTCCACACAATATTTTTGAGCCAACAATTGAATAATCTTGTTAACCTGTGAAGTGCTGTGTATGGTGCCCAAGCTCTCATCCATGAGGCGATCAGAAGAGCCATGTTCGGCGAACTTTTGCAAAAGCAATTCGAGCATTTGTTTATTAGCTAACAATTGACGATAAATGCGATCGGCTCTTTCGAGAGAGGAGTGAATAATTTGTACAGTTTTAGCGCGATCTTCAGCCGACTCGATCGGGTCGACAGCACAACATACACGGCCGTATATGCTGAAATCAAATTTTGCATATTTGCAGAAACCGCAAGAATGACACAGGAATGGGTCTTTCTCGTCATAATTAATTGCTCGGCATTTATGACATTGAAATACATTCTCGCCACAGTTACCACATACGCCTGGATAAGAGGGCACAGCAGCGCTACAGCGAGGACATTGTAAATTCTCCGAAGATCCCGTAACGGTTTCATAAAAGTCAGCATATTCGATCATTAAATTGCAGGCCGTTATAGGTAAGGGAAAATCAATCTTCACCTCGGTTTGGCCAGATTGCAAAGTCACGGTTCTGGCCTTATGCCACATGGCTTGACGATTCTTTAATTCGACCACTGCCTGCACGGTACGGTTATTGTAATAGATGTTTATTGTACGAACCATTTTCGTGCGTTTCAAATCGGCAATGCGCACAATTAGCTTGGATATAGTATGACATTGGACCAATTTTACAATCATAGTTGTAGTAGTAAATTTTGAATCAGATTTGATAGATGGCAACTTGATGTTGGCCATTGGGACTTCTGGATTGTTACAAACGAGGCAAGGTTCTGATTCCAAATAGTAGCCGTTCATTTGCAAAATTTGTTCCAAAGCAGTGTAAATCGATGCATTCGGATGCTTTGAGAGTAAATCGTTTTGTTGTCTCAATACTTCCACGGCTTTTTCTGTAAATTCTGGTAAGCGATTCATAATACTTTTAGTGCTTAATGTCAAATAACCCAAGATGTCGACGAATTGAGCAGTGCGTCGACCGAACGCTGGAACTAACGGCCACATATTCCACAAAATATTAATTAGTTTTTCTTTCTGACGATCGTTGGAGTGTTCGTAAATAGCATACACGAGGGAATGAGCCTGCCAGCGTATCGAAGTGATATTCGTTTCCAATAAAAATATTCTCACAAATTTATTGAGCAATGTGTCCGAAACAAAACGGAAAATCTGATGAACAAAAGTGCTACAATGTGTGGCATCAAATTTTGAATCGAAACTCATTTCAATTTCTTCGGATTTGTCACGTTCTGATCGTAGCTTAGCTCCGGTGGAGGAAGTGGTCTGTTCAGTTTGCTGTTGCTGCTTAACAGCCTGAACATTATTACACATTGCCGCCTGTAAAAGTTGCAGAATAATTGGGGAAACTCCATCGTCCAATTGATAGCAAGCAATTTCAATCAGCACCGGTATAACATCTTCATGTATTAGGCAGAATTTTTGCCAATTGCCCGTACGTACTTGGCTAATTTCTTGACACGTGCGTAAATGTTCAGTTAGCTCAACCAGCGAGTCGTAGCTAAGCATTGGTATAGACTGATTAGTCAAGACTAAATTCTAGAAATGGCAAGAAATAAGCATTTTTGCTAGAGAGAAAAATGTCTGTTTAATATGTTTACCTTCGTATTGTAAAGATTGCAAAGATCTTTAACATAGTTAAAGTGCACGTCCAAGGAATGACCGTCGCGGAACATGCGGAATTTTTCTTTATTGCCGCAAATATACATCAAAAGTTTGCGCACTTGACGTCTCAATAAGGCATTCAGGTTAAGCATCATGTATTCACATAATGTGTAGGTCATATTCTCACAATACTTAAGATACCAATCGAAAGAACCGGGATGTGTAGCACTCAAACGCAAGATTTGATAAGGTAAACGCACCGATACTTCGGTCAGGAGGGCGTCATACGATTCAAACACATCCGGATAGTTTTTAAGATAATTATGTGGTATCAACGTCGATATATCGGGCTTGGGGCCATAGCGCACCGGTTTCAATAGATTATTTTGTGTTGGAGTAACAGCTGACCCGCCAGCAATTGGAGTACCGGCGTTATTGCTGCTAGAGGCAATAGCACTTACGACGCCAGTCGAAGAGGTGGCCGCTGCCTGATTTTGTTCATTTGACACCCGCTTCCAATGTTGCAATAAAGACTCCATAACAACCAAACAGAAAGGGAAGGCGCAATGATTGCTAAGTATTGTAGCTGTCGTGCTTGCTACGAAGGACGCATTATCTTTAAACTGGTGTGGTGGAGAAGTGGTTCCGGCTTGCTTCGATTTAGTCTTACCCATAAGTACACCGAAAACAGATAGCAAGGCTAAACGTACTTCATTGTTCGGACTTTTGTCTTTCATCTTAAAAGATATTTTCATATTATATAATATTCAGTGACCAAATACCAAATTTTGATTGTTTTACCTTTGAAGCATTCGCATTAGAATCCATTCCTATATAATTAACAAGGGCGGTTAGTAAATCGTTCAGTATTTTCTGATCACGTTCATTATTTCCATTCAAGTCCGTCGTCAACATAAGTATAACTTGTATTAAAGGTATAGCTCGAAATCCGTTGCAATCGTCCAAAGTGGAAATATTTGCAATGATACTTTCCAAAATCGCAATCCTATATAAATTAAATCGGTCGTTATTTCACTTAAAATGATTCTATTGTGGAAACTTACCTCAAATCATGTATCTTAGCCAACTTTTCATCCTCATTGCCGTCGTTTTCTTCTGTTTCGTTGCTTTGACTTGGCTCTAAGATTACACGGCTTGACGTCGGCACTTGTACGTCCATGGCGGTTGAAGCAGATCCGCCAACGGCCCCCTTTGTACTGCTACTAACGCTAGCTAAGCTTCCGCTAGCTCGAGGGGGAGAGGCAGTAGCGCCAGCGTCTCCATATGTACTGCTGCGTCCCGAAGTGCCGCCAATGCTCTCCACTCCGCTGCCACCACTTTCAGAACCGCCACTTCCTGCCGGCTCAGCAGGCGAAGTTCTTAACGTTGAACCATCAGTAGCTACGTTGGAACCTTCATCATCTGAACCAGCAGCCGAAGCACTAGCTCCAGCTCCAGCTATTGCCTGTAACTGTTGATGAGCTTGCTGTATCTGGGCAGCTGCATTACGCATGCCCTGTAAATTTGATAGGCCTTGCTGTAACTGTTGTAAGCCAGCTTCCGCTCCTTCATGTTGCTGTAAGCTTAAGGCAATAGCAAAATCCATGATTGCTTCATCATCGGCATCTTGTTGCAAACCCAGTAATTGAGGAAAACCGCCACCAATAAAAGCTTCTAAAGGATCAACCATAACGTTAGGATCTGCGGCAGCTGCGGCTACAAATTCGGCGCTACCACTACGGGCAACTGCATTTGGAGAATTACCTCCGACCACCGCTGGGGTTACCACCGGTACCGGTCCCGCCGCTTCATCTAAGGCATCATCTTCGCTTCCGTTCGGAGCCATTACTGATGGCGCATTATTCAACGCCGGTGGTGTAGGCGTCGAACATATCGGTGGCGTTATAATAGCCACTTTGCGTCTCTTTAACCTAGGGCTTAGTAGCAAAATAATGGCTTCCTTGGCACTATGACTAATTAAGCTCGATTCATTCTTGAGTAGTGCTATGAAATATTTGATGATGTGTTCGACTTGAGTTATGTCGGCCAAAGCAAAGGCATGCATTATCTCTACCAGACAGTGAACAATAGTCTCAGTATGACATAAGCCTTGTTTAACTATAGAAGTAGGCTCATCTAACTGTGGTGTGACTTGATACAATTTTTCCAAGAATTCCATGAGATCAGCAATAACTTCGAATTTATTCTCCATACAAATTTTTGTTAATGATTGGGGACGAGCCGTAGCAATACCGCGAACCATTAAAACCAAACGATAAAAAGCTTCAGGGTCAATGTCCTTTAAGGTCTCGCGGCAGCTTAGTTTGGGTTTCATCGATTGTAATTCGTTGTGTACGTAAACTAACATTTCAAGGTCCTTATAGGAATGGTACGATTGTCGGTTGCCAAACAGGGTAGCTAGAACGTAACGAGATTGTACTTGCACTTGATTCGGTGTGGGCATCAGGAGCAGTGATGTAGCTGTTTTTGTAGCTTTCAGTTTAATAGTTGATGTCAAAGATGAACCTCCACCCAATAAATTCAAGGCGAAATCTAAGACATCCAAAAGATTGCTAACCATTTTATCCAAATTCGTTATGTAGTGGTAACCATCGTATGCACCACCTGTCATCAACGCGCTCGACGATAGTCCGGCATTATTCGTGACACCCACTGCCGATGTTCCGCCTGCCAAATTTGCTTCTTCAGCATCATCCGGCCAACCTAAGAGATCTTTGGATTTCCCATACACTTCAATACTATCTAACATACCGACATTCTCTGCATCCCTAGATTTGCCAAATATGACTTTTAAAGTTTTGTCAGATTGAAGTATTTCTTCTCTTGTTAATGGTATGTCAAACCAACGTGCTCTGCGAACAGGAGTAGGTATTGTACGTCCAAGTATAGTAACATTTTGTGGAGTACGCTGTGGATCTTGTGTTCCCAAAAGTACTCGTATTCCTACAATAACCATATTTGGATCGTTATTATACACTTCTAAGGTGAAACCTGTCGGTTTGGTAGATGCTACAAACATTCCGGTTGAAAATAGGCGATTTTTTAGCTTTTGTTTGTTATAAATCTGAAGTAAGTCATTGCCTCCGAATTCCACATCTGGCAGCATAGTGCAGTGCTCAAAGAAATCGATGGGGAAAATTGGCTGGCCATTCGATCCCGTTGACTTTTGCTGATGGCTCGATTTGCGTTTAGTCTTCTTCTGATTAGTAGAGGAAGAAGGGATCTTGGAATAGAGACTAGATGTGTAAAATTGATTTCCCAACGGTTGCACTTGATGAGAAAGCCAAAAACTAGTAGTGTCTGGTTGTGCAGTGAATATGCGAAGGCTGCCGTCTTCACAAAGTAATATGAGTGTAGTTTTTTCAACACCAGCCACCGTGTGGCGGATAGCCACCATGTCCATTATACGTGATTTTGATGACTGGGCTTTAATCTCTTGCATTATTATTCGGTCAGGTGTGAACATAAATATCACTGGATTGTTAGACGTGTGCATCATGGCGCACACTAAACCAGGATGGCCAGGAATTTCAGTCCATTGACACAACGGTTGCGGAGGTCCCTTCGACGAATTTTTAGAAGCAGGCGCGGTTTGCAAATGGGTTATACATTTAACACCTTTGTTGACATCGAGAAGTGGGGCAACAAAGCTACGTCCAACCGAATAACTAAAAAACAATAATTGTAAAGTGTGCGAATAGTAAATAGATACTCCCCCTCCTGCTACTTGACCGTTGACATCTTTTATTTGTGTATGGTTCAATTCCAAAGTATTCGTGACATAAAAGTCGCCATGTATGGCTAGACTTTGATCATCCAGTTTTTGGTAATAAATATAACCCGACGAAGCTATAATCAACATATAATAAACTCCATCTTGATATACAAACGCACAATCCCGAATTTTTCCGACGGCTACCAAAAAGTAGTACTCGGGGCTGTAAGAATCTTCAGCTAATTCATAAATCTTGACGTAGTCTGCAGTAACCAAAGCCAACATGGTTTGCGAACCAGGCAACCAAATAGCTTTTTTAATAAAATTTCCATTTTCAAGTTGGGGCGTGAGTACGATATGATCGTTAGTCGTACCACTATTAGCGAAAGTAAGTATATGGCATTCTTTGAGGCCGCATACGGCTAGACAATCCTCATTGGAGGGATTAGCGGTCAGCGATAATACAGTGCAAGGAATGGGAGCTGAAGAAAGTTGAGTTAAAGTTAACTTGCGTTTGGCAGCATCTGCTTGTTTCAGCAAAGCCGACAATTGCAGTATTGTTACTTTGCCTTTTTCATGCGACACAGCTAAATGTTGCCGCTTGCCATGCGGTGATGATAAGCAGCAGAGAGCGACACGTCTTACCAATCCAGATGACAATAATTGCTTAATAGTTTGACCTTGATCTCCAGAATAACTCATACGCACATTTTCGAAGGCTCCCTCTTGCGAGCCTAATGTAGGCACCATCAACTGATCACTGAGCTGGAAGCTCTGATCGCCCATATGTAGACGACCCAAGGCTACTTTAGCCCGCTTATGACAACCCACAATCGAAAACATTTCGCAATTTTCACGTATGGCTGGTATTAAAACATCAAAGAAGTCCAAAATACAGCGTACTATGATACTCCACTGTTCAGTGTTTTGCAGGGCTTCGCGCGACGATTCCAATAATTTACTAAGTAAACTAATGCGTTCACTTGTTTGTGCGGAACATAAAGGAAAATTCATGCCAGATGTTGTCGTCGTGGTGGCATTGGCCGCGCTACTGACTGTTGCAGCAGAAATGTGAGAAACTTGTGAAGGTGGAGTTTGAGCCCTTTTGGCAGCAGAGCTCGTTGCATAACTGGATTGATGATATTCGCTTTGACTTGATCGGTTTTCTACGCCTGCGCTGAGCCTACGACTCAATGCTTGGCAAGATCCGTCTTCCTTAGCTCCACAATCGCAAAAGAAGTTACCGTATTTAGCATAACTGACATCATGTCCCTTGTGACAAACTCGGGCACATACTGAGCACACGCCCACTGTATTTACCATATTGCAAGTGTGACAATGATACCAATGTTGATTCATGAACTCTTTCTGCGTTTGAGAGAAAGTACACAACTTGTTGTTGAGACTATCCTCATCGGAATCCTCCACAAAAGAGTCTTCGTCTCCTTCAGCTCCTAATTCATCCATCAATTCCTCCAATTCGGTTTGGATATCGTCATCCCACGGTGGTTGCTGATGTTTGCTGCCGCGATAACCTAAACTCTGCAATAGTTCTCCCAGATAACGCAGCAAAGCATTGATATTATCCAATGTGGTTGAAGGCATTATTAAAGAGGCCAAATTTTGAGCCTTCTCTAAAACCTGAAATTTAGTTATTTCCAACCACATAATGGTCACATTGAAAAGTGTAGCGTGTCCGCGCACGGTGCTCGTATCTGCCAGAGTAATCATGATCTGTAAGATATCTGCAAAATCGGCAGCCTCTTGAGGTGGAGCAATAAGGGATTGTCCTAATTGCAAGAGAGATTGAAATAGAAGCATAGCTACGTTATTGGGCCCTTTTCCATCGCGTACAATATATTTAATCACACTAAGTAATAATGCTCCATTACGTTCAATTTGCACTGCTGGTTGATCTTCTTGTGTAGAAGCGTCTGATTGATTAGTAACCATTAAACTGCTTCCAGCCTGTTGCTGCTGCCACAGACTAAGCGATTGAGCTACCTGAAGACTATTGCCCGCGCCGACAATAGCCGCACCATTTGCATCGTCATCAATGTCCATTTCTTCAGCACCATCTAGAGCGGATGATTGAGCCAATTGATCCGAAATGCTGGGCATTGCGGAAACAGTGGCCATATTTGTGGGTGTCTGTGCGTTGCTAGAAGGTGTGCTTGAAGCCTGTATGCCAGTTGTAAGGGCTTTTTCCGTCGTATCTGTATTAGTTTGAGCACCCTGCGGTCCATATATAACGTGGCTAAGCCATAACTTGATACGTGTAGGCTCAGCATTCGCCAATTCACTAAAACACTCGACCAATTGCTCACGCGGAAAATGACAATCTGCTTGTTCAGATAGCTGAAACAATTTTTCAAAAAATTGTAACAAGCGACGGGCATACGACATCGATAGCGATGTGCCCGTAAAAGATAGCAACAACTCCACCAAACTACCTCTCTCATCGCCGCTCGATTTTGTACCGAAAAACTCATACATAGCTTTCACGCCCATGGATTTGTCTAGCATTTGAGACATGGATTTTAAGACGACCATTACCAATGCCTCATTAAATATCATGGGCTGATGTGAGCTATTGGCGATGTTACGTAATTCTTCAGAGAATTCTAGCAATAATTTGTAATAATGTTTTAATATATACTTGAAAGTCATGAGTTGTTGGTTATCACTTGACTGATCTGTATCTTCCATCAACGTCTGTAAGCATTTCTCTGCAATGTCGTAAGCGTACTCCATTCGAACGTCCAGCATGGCCTCTATCAAGATAGGCTTTAATTGTTCTTCAACAAATGACGCCGTATTAGCATCCTGCGATTGCACGCAATGCCCCAGTAAAAGATTTATCAAACTAAAAAGGCTCTTTAAACAGTGCTTAAGCGAATTTAGTGTACTGTAGTAATTATAATGCGTGAGTTCTGATATATGAGCTTCTATCACAGTAGAGGTGTACTCTTCGACAGGATACTGTTGGCTTTGATTGGTGTTATTATTAAGGAAAACAGCTTCCGAGACTGGTAAACATTTCAACCAATCACCTGTGATAATTTCCTGATCTTCATTGGGTAGTAATTTCAAGTAGGTAGCGCTCAATTCTTCAGTATGAGCATTTTTTGAATTTACGATCGGTATTATATGATTCAATATATTGTGCGGCGTTAAATCACTAAGGTGTTGCATCATTTTTGTACGCAGAGTTTCTGATAAAATTTTAAAAGTTTGGATCAATGTAACTAACAGTTGCTTACTGTATTGGACGCGTTCTTGCAACACAGTGGACGCGTTGCTACTACCCTCCCCTTTTTGATCGCTTCCATCAAAAGAAGCTGTATAGTTATCTTCGGTAGTGGCGCCGGCACCAGAGGGTATCGGTGAGCTATTTGAGCCGGGACTAGTTGTTGTTGGAAAACTGGAGGCTCTTTGAGGTTTTATACCCTCTTTTTCCGCCCAAGCTACTGCTTTCATATGAGCCAATATGGCATCCAATAATATGACGTGCGATAAACGAAGATTAGCTACAAAAAAAAACTCGTGTCAAAATAAATGAAAAAAATATCATAAAATATTATTCAAATTTACCTGGATCTTCTATTTTATTGAATGCCTCAACTCCTAGCAAAGTTTGCTTCAAACTGAACTTTATGTCGCTTACACGATCGCTGACATTATTCCATAAAGTCTCAGCAAATTGGGTGTACATGCCCTGTTTTATCAAACTATTGACAATTAAATAGTGTGAAGTCGGGCAACGTATTGACCACATCAACGAATGCAGATTCGGCGTTTTATCGGCCGTTAACTGCTCGACATGTGTTGTGGAAGGCGGCAGACCCAACAACAATTTCCAACATATGCCAAAACAATAGCGGATAGCGCAGAGGGTATGAGTATTAGATTTAGATTGCCATGATAATGTCATATCGGTAATAGACAAAATATCAATTAGAGCGTCAACTAGCAAAGGATATTTTAATTTATCCGGTGTGCAAAGAATAAAATTCCACGCCAACCCGTCTAGCTTGAATTCTTGTTGTGAAACTGTAACCGATGCCGATGTAGAGGAATCGCTAACTGCAGTCAGCGAGTAAAATGTAGGACGCATGTCTGAAAAGGAAAAAGCGAATGAAAAATAGCCAATTACGCCAAAAAAAATAATTCAGGAATATCCTACTTGTTAAACAATCTGTACCACTCTTCCGAAATTTTTCTTCAATATCTTTGCGACAAAATGAGGTTAATTTTGTCTTACTATTGAATAAATCAGAAATTTTTTGACTTTCATGCATCGTACTTATGCTGAATAGATTCCAACGCACTTGATCAAGAAGTTCGGGGGGAGCATTATATAAATGCTTCATGAGGTATTCCAGAAAGAGTAATAAACGAGATAGCAACATTATTTGGCTGTTTCGAATAGGCTTTCCGGATGGCACCTCACGGCAAATTTCAGCGCAGCGTATAACACCGCCTGCTGTTAGCAGTAATATAGATTTTTTTTGCATAAGATTAAGTGAATGGAAAAGGAACAACAACAGTTGAGCATGTTCCATATTCAGATCTTCGTAATCGACATCCGATGGCATATTGGCAATAGAAGTACCGCATACTCCTTCAACTAACGTGTTAATTAGACGATGCCAAACAGATAGACAAGCCGCCTCCTTTTCTTGAGTTGGTTTTAGCAAAATTATTTGCACCAATACCGAAAGAGTACTCGGATATATCTGTAAGGGCCATGTACTAGTTTCTGTAGACCAAGGAGAAACGCCCAAATGCTGCAACAAGTTCGATTGCAATGTTTCATTAACCAAAGAGGCCGAAACCAAATTATGAAGATAACGGCCAACAGAGCCCGAAAATCGGATCATTGCCGTCTGCCATTTAGAGCAAACTGTAGCTTCGGTTTCACCACGCGCTGAGTCGCGATCAAGATCTTTCAGGATGTTAGCCAATAGCAACATTTGCTGATCGCTTAGCCCCGCCTTCACGTAGCGCTGTAGATACGCATGCTTCTGGGAAAAAAACTGATCCAGGAAACTGAATATTTGCGCGGCTAAATCTAAATATTCGTGCGGCTCGTCCAGTGCAGGAACTAAATTTGATTTTTGCTCCTCAGAGCTTCGTTCTTGAGTCTCGTTTGTAACGTTTTCTTCATTCGATTCGGGTAGAAGGGTTTCTTTGAACCAGTGGCCCAAATAACTTTCACTGTCATCTTCCTCCGAATTATCTGAACATGATAAAGTGTCATTGAAGTATGTAGTAGAATCTGAGTAGCTAATAGGTTCACACTCGGTGCGATCCTTGGCGTTAGCTCTTTTTAAGTTGCAAGCTTTGCGATAGGTTACTGTGGCTAAGAAAGTAAACAACTGATGCAAAGTAGCGGTATTTAAAATGCGCATGACTCGTTGCAAGGTGGTATAGTTCTCCAAAATCTCGAAATTGGCTGGTTCTGGTAAAGAAGATTGTTGGTTGCCAGCTGTAGAACCAACATCCGAGGAAGTACTTTCTATTTTCAAATCTTCAATTAGTTCGGTTAGTAGCTTGATGCAGTGATTAGCAATTGCAGCATTTAAAACACCGAAACCTTGCTGAACTTTGAAGAGGTTCACTCTAGCTGTAGGAGTAGAAGGTGTAGGTTGTGAAGCTGAGCCAGTACCTGTTCCACATTGAGTGTCGGTGCTTTTGCTCTTGCTCTTAACAGAATCTTCTTTAACATTGCCCGTGCCACCTGTGCTGCTTCCCGAAGCACCTAGAGCACCTTGTATGCCGCTGACTAGCAGCCAAGCGCCGAAACATAAATGATTTTGATAGATGTGTGAACGCGCTCCGTTCTTAAACATATTTCCGATTGTGGTATAAATTTCCAACGCCTTGTCTACTATAAATCGAGCATGTTCTTCATTATCATCCGCATCCTTTGCACAAGATTGGGCGGAATTCACACCTGCTCCTCCGCCCGTTGTGCTAGAACCGCCAGCTGAGGATCCTTGGCTTTTCTGACCACCAGCCGAGCTGGTCATACTTAATACACTACTGGCTATGGACGTCAAGACAGCGCAATATAAAGCTGATATTGCACATCTAGATAATTTCGTTATGCGGCTGGGTGTTAAAGGTTGAAAAATAGGTAATGTTAATGCCTGATCTAAGATCGATATATCGTGAACCATATGAGTTAACGTGTTTTTGATTTGTGTAGCCTCTACTTGCGTTAAAGGCAGATATAAAGGCTTATGTGGCAAATTTGAAATGGTTTCTTGGTATTTAAGCCGATAGCGTGTCAGTATGGGCAACGAACAAACATCCAATATAACGTCAGCGCCATTTAATGACTGCAGATATGATATATTGGAAGAATAAAAAATTTCCTACAGAATATAAAACGAACGTTCATAATTAGGGAAGTGCTTATGCCATATCCATGGGAAGAACTTACCGAACAATCTGTCAATTCTTCACTTAGAGGAGCCCAAGTAATTTTGCCTGCCTCTAATGGAGCGGTTAATTGTTGTATAATAATTGATGACAAATCCGAGCGTGAACGTTTTATTTCTGATTTCGGTGAATCCTTATCACCCGAACTGCTACCGCCTCCAGCACTGCTGCTGCTGGAAACGATGCTTTTTGTATTTTCGGGATATTTGCTGCTTTTCAGTACCAAAGCAACCACATTGTGATCAAATTGTAACGTTGTGCCTACAGAGCCGCTAATGCTTGATAAACTGGTGCTGTTATTTCCGCTAGCCGTTGAGCCTCCAGTAGATGTGGCTTTCGAATTCGATGGTGGCTTTCCTTCGCATAAACTTTTCAACGCCGGCAAAAGCCATTTTATTTCGTAAACACTTACTTTATCCAAACGATGCAATATGAAACGTATGAGTATAGCGCATGCTTCGTGGATTTGTGGTACTTGTGTTTGTGAAACTGTGAGTGTATAAATAAAATATATACGTAAAATAGCTGCCGATATTCAAGTTAGTAAGAATCAAACTGAAAATTTTCGAAAAACTAATATTTTTTACATTGACGAAAATCAATAAAAATTTGACTTATTTTCAGTTGGATTTGCGTTTCTTTTAATAAGTAAATGGGTATGTGCAAACATACCAATGTATAGTTTATACTCAGAGACCTCCTTGGTCGCACAAAACAAGGACTTACCATATTTGCATTGGCTCAATTTATCGGCCGCCAAGGCTGCAAAGGCTGTATAAAATTGTAAATAATTGTTGTCTTCATCAAAAAATTCATTTTCGCTGCAATAGTAACGAAAAAAAGTTATATTAAAAAGGTGAAAATTTCACAACGAACAAAATTTTCTTTTGTTCGGTCGGCCATCTTTGATTATCGAGACAGACGAAATCGATATGTAAAAAGCTTTTTTAAAGAAAATTTTTCATCTACTTAAAATAAATTTTTTTTTACTTACAAACGCGTGATGGCTTTAACATAGTTTACGATTTCATTCTTATTTAATACTTCATTCCGATTACTTAAAAGTGGTTTTATTATGGAACTCCAATCCGAAGAACCTCCGCTATGAGCTGACATTTTTTTAACAATGATAATCAATAAAACAGTGTTGTGTAATACATAGATTTCACTTAAAAATAAATATTCTAAGAAGTTTAATAGGGTGTATTTGACATTTGCATATGGAGAAACTACAATGAGGCAGCTCTTGGTTGGCAGACATGGGAATTAATAAATATCACAAGTTAAAGGGCTAAAAACGATGCATTTGCATTATCTACCAAGCAAGACAGTCTTTCTAAAGCAGCAAAGAATAAGGCGTAACTTTTGTTTCTGAATTAATAACTTTCAAATAATCAACACAATGGGCAGTCGCGCTACTATCTTGTTTTACAGGAAAGTGTAAATAAAAACATATTCTTTTAGAACCAAACTTAAAGAAATCAACGTAAATATATATGTAAATAGGCACAATACTGCAGAAGTTGAGAAATTTCTTAACGAAATTTTCAAGATTTTTTCTACTATTAGCGAGACAGATGAAAATTTACGATTTGCTTCAATAAACTGGGTCCATTTCAGGATTCACTCTCTCAAATCACAAAATGTAATCTTTTTGCAACATAACACCCAGGGCTTCAGGCGCACCCTTTGGGTTTCTTTCTAATTTCCAAGGCAGTAAATCTCTGCACACTTGATGAAATTTTCTTATCTGATGAAAATGTATTAGATGTGAAAGTCTCGTACTAATTGTCTATCTCGAAATGCCATTCTGATCGGTATGATTGAATTGTCATTTTAATGTAACCTCTGCATCTAGCATGAAGCTTTAGTCAGACGAGTTCCATAAAACCATTGCCGATTAGTATAGTTGAATTGGGCACAAAGGCCGCTCCCAAGCGATCAAGCCTCATACGTTGCGTAACCCGCTGAGTTCAAAATGTGATCGGACAAACCAGCTTCCGCTAAAGTTTCCACGTGGTATGTCAGTATGCATATTTTGAAAGTTGTTTAGCACGAGTTTTCATAATTTCTTAGATTTGGGTGAAAATAGAAAACATAAGATTCTAATGTTAACTATCATCGTAAATTAATTGACAAGTTTATTAAGGCCCAGACAAAAAATTTTGTGTGTTTACACTGTGCCTCTTTTTATAAACCGGCAAATCATATGTTATTAACTCGTTCAATATTCAAGAATAAGAAGAAGAAGTATTATGCCGATTTATTTTTCTGATTTCAATAGCTCTTCTTACATGAAATAAGGGCACTTAGTCCTGCGTGGAAGTATTGTAAAATAATTGAAGACTTTAAATAATTCATTGACTATATTCACAATGGAATCTACTGCTTCGCTAAGCAATTCTGTCGGTAAAATGACGGCAACGCTTCTTAAGGTAAGTAATAATAGACGTAGTAAGTAATAATAGATAATAAATCTTGCTTCAATTTGTAGTTTAATCCTCATGCCAGTTTACAATCACAACAGCCTAATACGATACCGGTGGAACCGAAAGATGCAAATCATGAAATCAAGTTACAGTAGGTATTTAAACCTCCATTCCATACGCTAAGAGAATATATTCAACGATTAGCTAAAATTGTAGGAATGTTGTGGCCACGGTGTCAGTTGCTTGCGAACTAAATCTTCGGGATATTAACAATCGTACCCGCAATTCGGAATATACACCATCACGTTTTCATGGTGTTGTAATGCGCATGCGAGATCCGCGATGCACTGCCTTAATATTTCGTACTGGTAAAATTATCTGTACTGGAGCACGTAACGAAGTTGAAGCTTCCTTAGGTGCGCGAAAATTTGCTCGCATATTACAAAAACTCGGATATCCAGTTAAATTCACTGACTATCGACTACAAAATATTGTAGCCACAGTGGATTTGCGTTTTCCGATACGCTTAGAAAATTTAAACCAAGTTCATGGACAGTTCAGCTCATATGAACCTGAATTATTTCCTGGTCTAATATATAGAATGGTCAAACCGCGCATGGTCCTATTGATATTCGTTAACGGTAAAATTGTATTTACAGGAGGAAAGGCTAAAAAAGACATTCTGGAATGTTTAAATTTAATTTATCCTATTTTATTAAGCTTTCGTAAAAATTGAGGTAAACAAGACCAAGATTTGTTGTGCAAAAGCAAGAGCATTTATTTATTCTACTTTACAAAGAGTCATGTCTTTTTTTGATCGAGGATTTGTTTTTTTTTTTTTTTTTGTTTTATTGTAAATATTTTAAATTTATAGGCGATTATGTAAACGAAATTCAAAGATATATAAGATATAAGCAAAAAGTTCGTTCTAAGATATCATTTTTGCAAATATTAAAAAGTTGACCTTTATTTTAAACCTTACAAATGCTGATTTCGATATTTCGCTTTCCAAACATACCAAACATACGAGTGCCAAACTTTGTAACGTTTCGCTTCGCTTAATCTGTTTACCGTTATGCATTTAACGGTTAAAAAACACATACGATGTAGACCTACATCGCAACGCATTTAAAGGCTAAGTATTATATCATAGCCCATGAAATAATTTATGAAAGGCAGAAAATGGATCCTACTCAGAGCAAAAAGTAAACTTCATGACTTTTCAAACTTATGGCACAACAATTTAATAAAATATGTAGTGGAACGTATGTGATCTCATTCTATGAGGAAGTAATTTAAATGAAATTTGGACATAAATAGCACTGTAGTAAGAGTAGCTTCTGGAAACTAACGTATCCTTAGATGAAAGAAGTTTATTACGATTGGATATCTGACATTGTATTCTTCATACTGTTTTCTTGTTTAAATTAGTGGTTTTCGCATTTTTTGGTAAAAACGTTTTTAATAGTTTATTTAGAAACTTACTTTTTATCATTTGTAAAAAATAAAATACAAAATCTTAGACACGATTTTTTTATATATATATATAAAGGCTAAAAAGTACATATGTATACATGTATATAAATATATAAAGGCCACATAAGTCGGGAAGGACGGATTCTAATAATTTAGTGTATTTCAAATTATTCATTAATTTCATATTAAATTATTGATATAAAATACATAGACTTAAAATAAACATATAAACTAAAAAGAAAAATTTATTCAAAATAAAAGTTTTTATTACAAAACCATTTTCAACAAAAGCGTTTTTTAGAATGTAATACAAAATTAAGTTTTGATCTGAAATTCACTTTTAAAATATTATATTTTTTTATTCGTGTTTTCGTTTGAGACGTTTACATACATCCTGCTTCAGTTACTTTCTTTACAGAAAAAAACACTATGTGTTTTTCTGTTGAATAATTTCGCAAATTCATTTTTTATAGGTTCACTCTAAAAGTTTATGGTTATAAAAATCTTTGCTACATTTTGTACTTAGTATTAATGTAATAATGGACGGATTTTTGTTCATTTAGCAAGCAATGTAAAATTATGTTTGGTTAACATTTGACTTATAACACTTGGGTGACAATGATAGAGTAAGGAAGAGACTATATATAAAAAAGAAAGCATAGAGTTTAAGTTTCACTAGAATGTCATTAATTTCAACATATTTAAAATGGAAATATGATCATGATGGCGCATTAGAGAAATAAATGCACTAAAGAAGAGCAAAAATAAGGACATGCTTGCACGCCAGCCTACGTTATATATAGAGCAATATGGACACTGCGAGCTGCCGCAAACTTCACATATATTTAATAAATATGTAGGCAAAGCATCGAATATGGTTTCGTTAAAACGTTCTAGAAGAATGAAAGTAAATTGCATTAATAATAAAAATCGATTAAAGATTTTAAATTACCTGGCGCATAATATTCATAAACTCGTATAGGCAGGTAACGAGACATATTCGCTACAGGATACCAACGTTCTATAGTGAAATTAATGCAAATATCCTCTTGGTCCAACTAAAAGCAAAGAGATTAAATTAAAAATTTTACCGTTTAACTTTTCTTTTCCATTTTTTTCTGCTCTTACGTAATCAAAGTAGAAAATCACTTTCTGATTCATATATTTGGCCCGCCGTAAATTCCGTACTCGATTGCTTAATACGTAAGAGTCCAGTTTTTGCTGCTGTATCCAATAGCCAGTAGGTATGGTGACATCTAATACCGCCATACCCGATCTTTCCGATTCTTCTATATTGATCCAGCTAAAAAAACGAAAGTAGGATATTTTTTTATTATTTTTCAAAATCAAACGGAATATTTCCCTTAATAAAATATTCTCCTAACTGCAAGCGATTACACCTTCATTCATTTTTAAATTGTTCAGGTAAATACTTGTATAGCTTTTTAGCAAAGGGTTTTGTTTAATATGTAATATTAACCAATCATTAAGCTTTTTTTTAATTGTTGTTATTTGTAGTACGCAACAGGCTTATATTATAGAGTCTTTGTCCAGTACCTTTGAAAGCTGGAAATAATTTCATTAATCATCTTACGTATATGAATCCTATTTCTACAGAATCGCTGGTAACTGATTTCGATCGAGTGTGCGTAAGTTTTTATTGACCCAAAACTGATTGTAATCGCTTACAATTGATACAACTTGTAGCGGATAATTTATTTTCATTGTTAAAAAAAACGAAGCGATATATATGCTTTTGAATCGAGTCTGGCGTACCCGAAACCCAATTTCCAAATAATTTTCTCACATAGAATACATGAAAAGTTTGAGTTTTAAAAGCTACAAGCGGACGACGCTGTTTTCTCAACTTGCAACATCTCCGAGTACATCCCCAATGTATTTCCAAAGCCCTAATAACTAATTTTCTGAATCCGTAACTATGGCTTCACATAGACGCATTTCTTCATTGTTAGTAGCAATAATGCGTGAACATGTGGTTTTATAGGCTAAACAAGAAAATAATTCTTTTATGACTGATGGTAAGAATGGGATACTTTGAATAAAGATTCCCCTTTTTCAAAATACAAATAGGCCAACCTCTTGTATACTTACTTTTGACACGTTAAATATGAAATATGTGACTGATTTCGGCCATGGAAAATAGCTTTAGTGTACAAACCGAATGCAGGTACAGGAGGCTTTGTTTGAAATTTCTCAATATCAACATTGTATTGTGCATGCATTTGCAAAATAGCGTAACCGGTACCTTTGGCCTGCACTTTAACAGTGCCCCAAGCGTCAGGTATCTAAATAAACAAAAATTTTTTTTAAAGAAAAATGTGAGTAAAGTCGAATAAAAATCAAACTAACCTCAATCGATTGTAATTGTGCCAAATTTGTGTCATCGATATGCAAAGTTCTTGGTTTACCTCCCGCTGATGAGGCTTCTATTTCTACGGTTAGTGAAGATACCTCACGTAAGCGTGAATGCACTGTATACTCGACTAAAGCGCGTAACGCTACGCTGGTGTCTTGGGTTGAAGCCCAACCACCGTCATACAGGCGCTGAGCATTTAGCCAACGAGCTATTGGATCTACTACGTATTCACGTCGTGATACATAGACCATCAAAGCATAGGACGTGGTCTCGATATTCACTGAATCATACTCGTACGGCAGTCTGGGCAGTGAAAACAACTTTTGATTTTCTAATTTTTTTGGCGGATCAGGTAACTCTTTATAACCCCAGTACATATAGTCCCCTACAATGCGAGCATGTGTTCTTAAAATACTGAAAACATGCTCAGCCATGGGCGATCCACACAATAGTAGAGCATAAGCGGTAATTGCTACATCATACGGCTCCTTGGTGTCTTGTAAAAACTGCATATTGCGCTCAATCCAAGAAATGGCGCGCTGCTGAGCCAGTGCTACTCGTGCTCCTAGGGAGCCTGATAAGTCTTTAACCGTAGCCAATGTAATTAGAACATGCGACGTTAAAGTAATATTACGGTTTTGCAAAAAGGTATGATTTGCGAAATTTGTACGATTCATCTTGCGATCCGGCGACCAGGTTATTTCATAAAAGCCGCCTTCAGACGTCTGATGTTGCAGCAGCCATCGTATGTTTTTCTCAATGATAGTAGGATCTATGTAGATAAAGTTTTCCCATTCGTAGAATGACGCCTCTTGGAAAATGCGCACACAATATGCAGTTAGCCACACGGAGGAATCTGAATTATTCCAATCCGAGCGAAACGAAGCATATGATCCGTCCGATTTCATGAAACTCAACTGACGTTGGTAAGCGATGTTCATATGGTAAAAAGCTTGTTTCTCCAGAGTCTTATTTCGCTGGTTAATCAGGCGCATATATAGAAGTGTGTAAACATTTGCGGCGAAAGAGAACGCATTTTGTTCGGCTGATTCCATGGGCAAATGAAGCAATGAAGTAGCGTTCACAGGCATCGTTGGGAAAATTGGACCCACGACATCACCGACTACCGAAATGCGTGCTTTATTTGACCCGTAAACGAAGTATCGGTCTACTTGGTAGGGAATCTCCGGTGTCTGGGTAATATTTACATGCATATATTCAAAGACGTAAGCACGGTTTGAAAGATCCAGTAAAATTGATTGGTGGCGATATTGAGGCAAACCGTCCGACTCTACATGGAGTTTCCGCGTAATTTCGTCAGTGCCTAAAAGTGTAGCAACGTGTAACGTAACATGTATATCGCCAAGACGTTGCGGCACAATAGGCACATAAACTACTGTGGAGTCCTGAGCTTCCAAATATATAAAGAATTGATGTTCTCCAAATGATGTACGAGGATTATAAGACCGAACAATACCTTCTTCCTCGACATGAACGAATTTATAGTCCAAGCTATCGTGTAATACGACAGTGGCCTCAATAGCTGTAATCATGTAATTGAAAACTGTCACTCTTATGCCTACTTGTTCTCCTTGCCGACAATTATCGGGCATTTCAACATTGATGAAGAACGGCTGTACACCCACGTATTCAATCGCCCTGCTCAACATACCGAAGCCCTTGGAAGGACTTACGCTGAATGCGCTAACCATCCAATAAGCGGGTATGTCAGGCACTTCAACATTAAAAATATAACGTCCGTGTGGTCCGATATTTACATCTCTCCAAAGCCAAACATTCTCATAATGCCTCAGTACGCGATTAAAGCGGTATTTACGATAATTTAAGAGATCAGTGTCATTACGAGCGCGACAACTAATTTCATCAGTACCATCGTCGCAGTCAAATACGCCATCACATTGTTTTTCCAAGCGATAACAACGCCCTGATAAACATTCTCCTAAACCTAGAGTACGATTGCAATTTTCGCCTCTGCGCGGTACATAACCATCCGTGAACACAATCAAGCCACTATATTCAAAAGTGCGGTTTGCATCAATACCGAAAGATGAGGCAGGGAAATAAATTAATTCATCTGGATTTCCAGAATGTGAATTCCAAATATGCTTATATGTGCCATTGGTTTGCTCATCAAAATTGGACATTTTTGTGATAATTTTTGCATAAGTCAATTCATTGCCTGCTTGCATGGTGTAGAAAGCGCTATCAATGCCCGAAAGTCCTACATAGGAACCGGGTTCCCCAAAGATAGCCACCTCGACTTTCTCACCCGTTCTTGCCTTGCGATTATTAATGTAAACAGTGAAGTTATTTCGAGAAATACCATTTACTGGAAAAGTTAGCGAGTCGGCAACAATCTGACCTTGTTGTGTAATCTTCCAAACAACAATTGTCGCTACCGGTGCCATTTCAGCACTTAGCACTACGGCAATGGTGCGGATGCCTTCGCGTATCGTTTCCCGATCATTCATTAATATAACACCTTTCGACATAATTAGGTAACTGAATTCTTCCAAGAAAAAATTAGTGCGTATATGAAAAATGATATATTCCCCCACGGTAGGGGACTCCGTGCTTGTAGTTACTTTGATATGCTGATTGCGAGGAGAATAATGGCCTACTAACAATAAATCCTTCTGAGCACGTTCGCCTCTTGAGTCTATAAAGTTTGCCTGCAAACGCATTTGTGTAACACCATTCAAAAAATCTCTGGATTGGGCCCGATCATCTAACTGCAAATCATTACGCAAGTCAATTTTTACTTCCCAGACACCTGGAGTTTGCGGGTTCATATTTAGTCGTTGAGCAGGCCACTCTCTGCGTCCTCCAGATTTGCTCTCCACAAATCCGCTGACTTCCATAATCCCGGAATGCTTTAAGGTATACTCATCCAATGGCGAACCATCATGATATTCAACCACAAGGTACGTGGTGAAGGGCATAGCAGGTTTAAAAACTTGAGGGCTGTCACCAAGAAAAGCTACTCTTATACTAGAATTGTAAACGCGTGCTATACTGTAGCCTGAAATTATTTCATCATAAAACTTTTCACCCACGGTAGCTGTTATCAGGACTTCCATTCCTGCTAAATTGGGTGCTAATAATTCCAATTCCCGCATTGGCCATTTAAAATCGAATGTTCCATTAAAATACCGTAAATAAGGCAGTGTTTTACGGTAATCGCCTGTCCAAGGATCATAAGTTTCTTGTACGTCCGGCTTTGTTATCCAAAATGGCCACTCCTCATCAAATTGATATAGTCTTTCTATCACGTATTGACTACGATAATATTGCTCTTCTCTTATTCTATCCTCTTCTCGTTGCTCAGGCGAATTTGGATTGTATTGAATATTGTAACGATTCTGATCGTAATACGCATTTGTTGACCGAAAAGATGATCTACCCAAACGAAATTTTTCGTTGAGAGCTTGATTATCAAAGTAACCGATTGGACGTATAGTCGCCTTCAAAGTGAGATTGCCGCGTACGGGAGCGCCACTAGTAAAATTGGCCATAACTCGACCATAGATATAAGGATCAGTGTTGAAGAAATATGCTGGCATAGTAACATTAACTTCAAACCGAGTCTGATAATATTCTTCGACTGTAAAATGACCTTCCTCTTGTTGCCCCTGGGCAATAACTCGTATCGTCCATTCGCCGAAAGTTGGCTGATCGGAAATCTTATACTCTAGGGAAACAGAGCCTAAGTTGGATTGTCTGAAAATGTGAAATTTTTAAAATCAATATTAAAATGGAATAATTTCTTAAATTTTAGCGAGGAACAATATCAATGGGTTATTTTATACGTTGTATGATTACATGTAGTTTTGACCAAGGCCCAAAGTAAAAAGCAGAAATCATAATTTTCAAATCGAAAGGCCGCAGACTTTAATTGAAAGAAGGAAGCGAAGGAAAAGGAGGTAATTGAGAATAATTCAAAGAGCCAGTCTGAATATGTTAACAGCTGTTGCATTGAAAAAACGACTACAAATACCAAATATCTGAGAGTAATTCAAAACCAATTGGTCTTACCTAGATAACCAACGTCGTACTATATGTCGATTCGGATCCAACATGTACACATCAACGGCATTATCGAAACCTTTCAATTCGGTCGTGATAGGTATTGTGCGAAAACGTACGGTTTCGCCCTGCATGTATAAGGGCTTATCAGTTTGTATAAATATAGTCATAGAACGCTGGGAGAATTGCAAATACGTCTCATTCAAGAAGGCAAAACCTCCGTATACGTTTTGATAGAAACCTTCCACGCGCAATTTATATTCACCGCCGACACTAGTAGGCGGTATTCGCATTAGCAAAGTTTCCGGTATACCCTCCTTAACATCTTTAGAATCGCCACTAATTTGCACACCATCACAGGATATACCAGCATGAATGGTCATAGGATATTGAGCTTGCAGTATATTAACAGCCACTTGGTAAATAAGTCCTGGACGTACCATACGTGAAGCCACTATGAAGTAAGTAGGCTCCTTGGCATGATATATCTCCAAAAAGGCATTTTTGTTATTGTACAAAGTTTTGCCACGATTCGCCAAACTAGGCTCGTTATCCAAATCATCGGTGCGATAGCGATTGCGATCGTTTTGACTAAAATTATTCAAATTTACATTGGCGCCATTGTAGGGATCATCATAGTTGCTGGGTGTGGAATATTGATTTTGTTGAAAGAAATTATCTTGCTGTTGCTGTTGTTGTTGTTGTTGCTGTAGTTGTTGCTGAGAAGCAGTGGCTCTTAAAGTTATTAGCCATATTAGCCCAAGGCACAAATGTTTTGTAAACATATTCTGATCTGCAAAGAGAAGAAATTTGAAATTTATTATTATTTTGCAAATGAATGAAAATGTATGTAATGCCAAGAGTACAAGAGTCTTTAGCAACACTTTGACCGAGTTACGAAGAGGAACTGAATCAATATAATTTAAAACAAATGTATCATTCTTAGGCTCGTTCGTTATTTAATTCTATGACTTGAACAAAGAGCGGTGTTATGCAAAAAAAAAAAAAAAAAAAAGAAAAAGTAAACGCACGTATGTTGTACATGCAAAATATACGTATTTGTATATATATATGTATATAACATCGCTTAAATTAAGAAATGAACTGCTTGCATATGTAAGTACGAAAAAGTATATTTATTCTAAATTTATTAGACTGTGCGAGCCGTGTAGTGTAACAAGTGTGGTGCATTATGTCAACTGCGAAGCGGTATATGTGTGCGAGTATTTCCTCCCATTTTTGCTGCGTGACATTTTTGAAGTAATTTTTTGTTTTTTTTTTTTTTCATTTAAAAAGATTTTAATTTTATCTTTTCCAACTTTATTCAGGCCATCCCATTTATTTTTAGCTATTTAGGTGATATTTGTAGTTTTTTTTTTTTTTCTTTTTTTTTTTTTTTTTGCTTCAGTTTTGATCTTCGAACGAGAGTTGCATCAATTTTGTCAATATTTGAACAGCATGTACTGATGCGCTTTCAAAACCGCCAACACCAAGAAAGCCAATGTTACATCAGCACAAACAAAAGCTTTTGATTCGTTTATCCTAATAATTAATAACTACGATTATATTCAACAACAAATTTAGAATCGTTATTAGAAATGTAAAAAATGTTAGGGATGCACATAGTACCAGTCCCAACAACAACAAGCATAGGGCGTGTTCAATCGTAATGAACACTGTGATTGTCAAAGAATAAGTTAAACCAAGGCTTATTGCTCGTGGCTATCGCTGTTGGAAAATTGTATTTAGAAGATTATAGCCAACAGAAATTCCGGGTAATACTGAGCAATCAACTACATTGCGTCATATTCACACCCAATTCCAAAAGAGCTGATATTACAAGTTCAAAATGTTTATTTTGATCTCCATGGTTTATCTCAATGAACTTCCAATGTGTTTGCCCAATTTAAGGCGGCCGGGAGAATATTCACTACAGAGATATTCGCAGATGGACAGAGAGTCTCGATTGAGAATACATATAGAGTCCTACATGAAGAGTCCTTTGAGGAATTGCTGCCTTTTTGATAAAATGAATGTATCCTTAGTCTTTCCTGATGGGTGTAAGAATTTACTAATAGCTTTCCCATTTTTTTAATTCCAACATTTTTGGTCATTAAGATATCATTATTGACGCAAATATAACACGTCCCAGAAAACTGTATATTACAAGCAAATTTGTGCTTAGTAAAAATACAAGCAGAAAATTTACGTTGGTCATTGTTTCATAAAAAAATTATGCGGTTGAATGCTACATGAATATATTGATTGGATAGCTCGAGACGTGGGCTTTCTTTAAAACTAGGTTGCAAATTTGTCATTTTGGTCAAGGTATTTCATTTAGCAACCACCTGCTATAGTACGAAAAATGAACAAGACCGATTTGAGCATTTTGCCGTCTCCTACTGGACATGCAGACGAGTTATTGAGAACTTTTTTCAAGAAAAGTAAACAATATTTTATATTATTATTATTGTGCGGTTTTTCGCGTAACACTCAATAAAGGTTTGAATACGTTTTCATCAAAAGCCATGCATGCATTTTCTAAAGCCTCCTTGTTACCAAACGGAAGTAAATAATCATTATAATCTTAATATCAGTGACTTAAACTTTAATTGCCTATGTGCATTTCATAGAGATAGCACATTGTACCACGAACATGTACGCTTCCTATTAACGTGCTTAAGTACATCCTATGTCTTTACTACACATTCGAGAAGAAGCAGTGTTTATTTGCTTTCCTTAAGACAATAATTAAAACCTAATCAGATATTAATGTAAGAAACATCAGCGTTTAGTAGGAAATATATTGCATGGCTTACACTTTATGTAGCACAACCAAGTTAAAAGTTAGTTGACGTGAATTATGATATTATTGCACTTGACCGTCGACAGCCGGTACATTTGGAGAACGCAAAGTAGCACCACAACCACCACCACTAATACTGACAGCAGAAACAACAACAACATAATTCTTTTTTTATATAAATGGCAGTTGTTGTGGAAATGCAATGCAATAAGTGCAACGAAGCAGATACAGTTGAAGCACGAGACAAATGTTCAAAACGAGGCATATGACTGCGGCGGTTGAGCTGCTGTCGGTTAACTGCTGGCATAATGAAGCATAATGTAACGTAAATGAGAATAGCTAACAAATATGACGAAAATTTTAGCCGACCAAAGAAAAGAACCAAATGCATATTTAATAGAAATCCACTTATACCACCCCAAATTTAAGCACAAGTACACACATTTACATGAACGTGCGCAAATAGTTTAAAACAGTGGCTTTAACGAGTTAGAGGAGGGGGTGAAGAACAGAATGTGTCGGTATGATTCATAAATTGGTGTTAATTAAAAAAAAATTGTCTAGAGTTGACACAAAAGGTTCAAGGGTTGACGACATGTTATGTTTGTAATTTAATACCGTTACACTAAACACTTTCTTTAAAAGGGCATCTTTCGATAGTGCGAATGAGTACATAGGAAAGGGTTAGATGTATTAGAAAATTGGAAAACTTACAGGTGGTAAAATTTTTAATAGGCATAAAGATCACAAGGATTAATAGATTATCGGATGTTCTTTATATTGTTGTTGGGTTCCATTAATTTTCCTTTTCTTGGAACTATTAAAGCTTATGTGCGGTCAACGCCCATGTTTAATATTTAGCAACACAAGTATCATTAGTGAGAAAAACAATAGAAGCATAGGTATTTTTTCCTCCTCACTCACTATTCATAAAAACAATAAGAACGTTCACTACATTTTTTTGTTGTTTTCACGTTTAATTCTTTCACATTTCTAATTCCATACCTTTGTAATATATTCTTTATGGATTTAAAGGTTTCTTTGCTCATTCATATTTTATAAAAAAAAAAAATGTTTATTTAGACAATTGGAACACAATAAAATTTTAATAAACGAAAATAATGTTAAATCGTCGGAAAGAAAAACACAACACAATTCAACTCACAGAGGAATAATGCCAACCCTATGACTTTTCTGCAGGGATGTATTTTTATAAGAATTGAATTAAAATTTTACCATATTTCAAAAATTTTTTAAACTTTCTGGTCTTGCGAATAAAACGAGAATGTATGTCAAATATAAATTTAACTTTACCAGATAAAAGATATAAAATATTTTGTTTTATTTAAAGTAAAAGCAAATCCTAAAGTAGTTTCTCCTCGTTTTTTTGCGCGCTGACTAGCTTTCAGACCGAAAATAATAAGGTCAAAACACATAGCAAACGTGCGTTCATATCAGGCATTTATGATAAATAATGAATACCATGTAACTCGCTCATATTGTTGGAGAGGATAAAAACAAAGATTGCCGATACGAATTAAGCAATTAAGGCATTAAAATAAACAATAAGAGAACGAATGTGACACTAAAGGAGCTTTCAAATTGATTAGTAAAATATAAGATAGGGCTTTACTGACTGATACGGCTTATTGAATAAAACATCCAATTGGAAATAAATCGCCCGTATTCTTCGTTTATCATTCCTTATAGAATAATATAGAATACAAACTTAAATTTTCGTTTAACATAAAACAGATGAAAATTATTACAAGATAAAACATAAATTGGTTAATGAATGAGACTGTCTGTGTTTCTACATGCGTTTTTTTTTTGCTTGGCTGTGTGTATATGCAAAACTAAGCGATTTAATAATTCCCACAGAAACTTGTAAGAAGTTGGCAAAATTGATGTCCAATGGCGAAAATAAGAATAAATCATTATTTTGTTAAGCGCCAAGTTGAAAAGTTTTTGATTCGTTATGTAAACTTATCGGGAAATAACTGCCTAAACGTTGAGAATGTTGCTTAAAATCTTTTTTCAGAAATTGTTTCTTAATTTAAAACAAATCGTCTTTATTTCTTTTCCCACCCTTTTTTTTGGTTTATTTGCTTGTTTACAAGCAAAACCCTATTATTTTTTAATTCTGGGGACGCTTACTAAACCATTCAGCAACTTTTCACACCTGAAATGCCTAAATATTGCAATTTACTCAGTCTCGTTAATTCTTCTAATTTAAATTTTAATCCCTAATAATCGCGTAGCTTTCATACGTTTCCAGACTTGGTTATATAGATACCCAGACTCTTAAAAGAAATATTTTATTTACAGCATATATAGTCGATAACAGAAAGCTTAACATATTTTTGGTAAAAACCTAAATAAGATAGTACGTAATTGAAAGTCGTCTATATCATCCACATTTGTTTATATTAAACGTTTGCAGTTTATTTTGTTGGCTGGGGCGTTCTTCGTTGTTGTGATGTTATTTCGCGATTCACTTTAATTGTAATTGCAGCATTGCCAGATGTATTGCGGCTTTCGTAACGAAGTGCTGTCATTATTCTTTACAAATACACTTATTTAAACAGAACAAGAAGAATTTTTAATTAACGAAATGCCATATCAAAACGGAATGCCAAAAACAAAATCGGCGAAACTAAAAATTATTTTCTTAATTTTATTGAAAAATAACTTTGAAAAGTTACCGGAAATACTTAAAAATGTTTATTAAATTCAGTTAAATGAGGTCGTAATAAAATTAATTGCAGCATTTTCCTTGGAAAAGGAAGCGCACGGCAATTTACTAAATTAATCAATCACCCAGAAAAAAATTGCTTATGGATACTAGAAAAGAGAAAAAGTTACTAACTTAAATTTTAAGAATAATTTAACTCGCTACGTGTCCGGACTTTCTTTGCATTCAAATGCCCTAAAACGTTTTGCAGTGTCGAGTACGATTAACGAAAAAAATCATTAGCTTTGATGTCAACACATATTTCAGTACTTGCTATGAATGCAGTGGCTGTGTATGTTAATGCCGCGAAATTGGTGCTCCAATCAACGGAGTCCAATCCTACGATACCGCTAAACACAGTTCAAGATTTATGTCATATATTGCCACATTTACGTCAATTGCTGTCTTGCGCTGTATGCTGTCATCTAATTAATGATCCTCATGTGCCTCGAAACGGCCGATGTGTGCATCATGTTTGTCGGTTATGCGTACGTGGACAAAAAAATTTGCAACCTTTTTGTAACTTCTGCAAAGACAATCGTGATTTCAAGGCATACGATGAAAACAAACAAATGCGTTGCTTATTGCTCTGCTATAAAAGTATGTGTGAACATTTAAAAAGCAGTTATATATTTAATCAATTAGCTGGTCGCAAACTACAGCAATACACTGTGCTGGCACCCAGTGTTCCGCTGCCTCAGATGACAATGCAAGACCTTGTGACAGAGGGAGCTAATTACGATGAAATTATAAACAGTTGCAATAGTGATTCACCAAAAAAAGGTTTTATTGTATCTAAGATGGCTCCCTTACCTGCTTTACTAGCGCCTCTTTCCACTACGGCAATTACACCTTTGTCGCAAATGCAACAAAATCTGAATAATACAACTTTGAACCAAAGTACGCCGAAAGCGTCAACGCCACCTTGTAATGTGAACACAACGGATCAGGTGCCTTCAAATTTTAAACGTGAAGTTGTTTCGCCGCCTTCAAAGATACAGCAGCAGCAGCAGCAGCAGCAACATCAAAACGCGCAATCTACGCTTGCTCAATCTACGTCTATTGCTCCCCCGCTGCAGGCCTTGACAAATACGCAACCTACATTAGTGCAATTAAACCAACTGAAGAATGCACCGAATATAACTTACATTGGGCCCAATACCCGAGGCATTGTAGTCCCTATAGTAAGTTCTTCGGCGACTACTACGGCCCCCTTAACAATAGCCTCTTCCCGGTTGCAATCTCTTAATCGGCAGTGGGCCCAAGTCAGGGGTTTAACAATAGCTTCAACAGCAAATTCGTGCGCAACAGCTCCAGTGGTGGACTCTAAACCGCCTTTGACCGCTATTAAAGTATCGCTGACATCTACTAATTCAGCCCTGAGAGCCTTAGCAGCCACTACCAACAGTAATTCGGCGCTGGTTGCCACCGCTACGGCAGTCACGGCCACTACAACGACACAAGTAAGAAATCCTCCACCCATCAAAACGGTTTCAAATGGATCAGCCATGTATTCGGTGCTTTATACAGGGATCGGCAACAAAATCACCATTAAGCGCAAAACAGATGGCGATGAGGATACAAATCAAAAGGTACTTAAAACACAATCTTGCCATTCTCATATTTTGACTTGAACGGTTTTTCCGTAGAAAAATGCTACTACCTCAACTTCAACACCAGCGCCCTCTTTGGTAAGGCCTTTAGCGAAGAGTAATCCTAATAAACGTAGGGGTTGCCGCTGCGGTAATGCGACACCTACACCGGGCAAGTTAACTTGCTGTGGTCAGCGTTGTCCTTGCTATGTAGATTCCAAGTCGTGCGTAGGTTGCAAATGTCGCGGCTGTCGTAACCCTCATCGACCCGGTGGTGGTAAAGTCAGGCCGATTATACCAGAATTGGCATGTTATGAAATCCAAATGGCTGACGATCATTCCAATCCCATTAGTGCTCATGATTTACCCATAGCAACTACTACAACAAATTCTGAATCGGTCAGCTTTCCAATCTCGGCCAATTTACCGGCTTCTTTAAGTCTCACGGCTACTACAAATAACAAAAATTCGCCGACCACAAACAATTCATCGTCTTCCAACGTTAACGTAACAACAACGGCGACTCTAATACCCATACGAGGATGTATTAATAGCACTGCACCGCCACCTTTAGCACCAACAACAGCTCACAGCATGATGCAAAACACCAGCTTTGGTAGCAATGCTACGCAGGCATCCTTAACAAATAACACAGCAAATATTTTACAATTGGATCAACTGCCTAGAGAATCGGTGCTTATACAAAACGCCGAAGGCAAATATCAAGGTGAGTTGTTTTTATGTTTTGTTTTATTTCTTGCGCCTTAAATTCATGCAAATTTATACCTTGATAAATTCGTAGTGGTCAATCTGTTTACTACAACAGCTCACCAGGCTGGTCAGCAAGTGCCTAGTTTACAAAGAATTCATGGTTTGTCTCAAGCTGCTCAGGTAACAGCAAGCAATAATTTTATTTTACCCACAACCGCTAGTACAACGAGTATAACTACTACCACCTCATCGTTGCCACAAATCATAATTCAATCACAGCAACAAACACAACACAGTCTTTTGCAATCAACCCAAAGAATCAACAATAGCAACAGTAATATTACGGCCCATTCGTTACCTTTACAATTGCAACAGCAACTAAAGCAGAATATTATAACGGTCCACCCAATAAGCTCGTCGGGCAATGCAACCATTTCTCCAGCCTCAGCCTCAATACTTACGCCTGCCTCCTCGCCTGCCTCCACACATGCTACCGGCACTCTAACACTAACGCCTCTAATAGTAAGTAGTCAAGCAAATAATTCGTATTCAACCGTAGTATCAGCGGCTGACGTCTTTACAAATTCGACCGATATTATACAACAGGCGAATGTTCTCAATATACCTGCTGTCTCGACAAGTATCAGTCAGTCGATAACTCACCGTCAAGTGGTAAATAGTTCTACTACAAATTCGGCGATCAACAGTACAACTCGACCACAAAATGTACTCGAGCTTTTAGATGCAACTAACATGTAAACAAATTAGAAAGCGAAAGAAACGAACACCAACAGAAGCACAAAGGCAAATCTACCCACATTTAGGTTTCACTTAAATCTCACGCTATCCAACCCACTGTTCCACACAATCTAACACGTACTTCTTGCTCCCCATCAATCTCTTACTTTTCAAAAGGACCAGACTAGCATTTCAAACTATTACATTTACTTACGTATATAATTTATAGGAACAAAGTCTTAGAATTTAGTTGTTAAGGCTAGTTAATGGCTAGAAACTCGTAAAATTTTAGATTTTTTTTTTTTGTGAAGAAGAAAAGTTGTAATCGAAAGGTATAAGCAACATTAACTTATAGAGTAAGAAAATGGTGAATGCATGAATAACGGAACTGAATGGACAGCGTATCCTTGCGCAGGATTGCTGGAATTATAAATTTCAGCTTTTATTGTGATAAGTTCAGAGAAAAGAACAAAGTTTTTTTTATGTGTGTGTACTTGAGTCTATTTGCTACTAATCTACTGATGAAATTTTATGAACGAAGAGAAGTCTGTAATTTCAGAAGACACAACGGAGTTTATGCTCTTCTATAGCTTTCATTCAACTCGTCGTGAATCACGTCCCAGTTTGCATTCAGTTTGTTTGTTTGTTGTTTTTAAGTAAATCATTTTGAAATTGAATTTTTTCTTGCATGAATTTTATTTCCTTTTTATTTTTGAATTGAATTTTATTTACTTTTTTATATATTAATATATATTTTTTCGATATATAAAAGGGATAAATGGACAAGACTTGTAAATGTATATATCCAGACTGATTACGACCATTTAAGAAGGACCAAAAGAGTCTTGTGTTTCTGTTAGTTCGCAATTCAACAATTGAAAAAGTCCTGTGTTGCCTTTTGGCTTTGTGTGGCAAGAAAGCGATAGTGCCGTAGACCCCTAATCCACCATCTCGGTTTTCTAGACTCTGCATGGCATTTTTTTATACTTTGTCTTTTGTCGGAATACAGTCGATCCGCTTTGAAAGTTTCATATCACGATTACGTTGAATTTGCTTATATTTGCTTATTTGTTATATTCTAATAATAATTGTTTGTGAATGTATTTCTTTTGAGTCGATGTCATTATAATATCCTTCGTTTACCATTGTTCATTGCGAGCAAGGTTATGAACTCGATATCTCATATTTTTTTTATATCTCTATTCATTTGATGTCGCTCCGGTTTTTCTTATTTTATTCGTTCGGCTGCCGCTGGGCTAAAATTCGTTGTAATCGTTTTTTCTTTCTCACTGCTTTTACGACAAGAACGATTTAATATAAAATGATTTGCACTTGGGCAGAAAAAAGTGATTTAGGTAGCGATTTGCAGACACATAGTCGCTGCGACCCAGCCGTAAAATGGATTTCCTTTCGTAAGTGTTGTACTAAATTGTGATTGGAGCGTTTTTCCATTCTATCGGATTGGCGATTTGCTGATCTCTTCAATCTTTGAAATCGAATGGCAACTAACTGCTCCTGTAAGGCATTCGTTTGTTCTATTGCATGTGATTTCTTAATTAAACCAAATTTAGTGTCTTTTCTTTATCTTAATATTTCACTTACATTTTTTTTTACATTTTTTTCTCATTCATTATGCTTGCTTCTTGGAGTATAACCGTAAAATAAACCTATCGTGTCTTTTTGTTGTGTTTTAAATTTTCTAATTTCTCTGTTTGAAGCTTTGAGTCTGCGGAAAAGAGTGTTCGGATTCGAGTTCGACCAAAACTTTGGATTCGCCTTTAGCGAATTATCTTCTTCTTCGAATAGCGGCAGATTCAAAGTCACTGCCAAGAGAAATTTTTGGGCAGAATATTTAATAATAATTTCCATGAAGTAAAGATACGCCTTATTTTGCCTGTTCCCTTCTTCCTTTCAAAAATGATCGTTGAACGATAACTGTAAACTAGACGTAGACGTCTAAAGCGCGCCAAGAAAAAAGTATTGAGTGTTTTTTAAAAAATCATCTCTAGCGTAGTGTAGTGTATGGGTGAATTTATGACTTCCCTAATTAAGAGAATGCATTCGAGGAATAAGAACGTTAACCAGAGCGTCCACATTGTTCGCTGGCACTACAGCAATCAGCAAAAATGCATTTTCGAGCAATAAAATCGCCATGTAAAATGACATTTTAGTAATTGTCGACAAGGTCACTCATACTCACAGAAATTTGTCGGAAGATATACTGAGAGACGACTATAAGATTAGAGTTTAGATTGGCTGTTTTCATAATTCGAATGTCTGGATTTGTTCTGAAAGCTGGCTATCGGAAACAAATACACACGCGCGCCATCTTACCCATCATTTCTGAATTTGAGTCGATGAAGAAATTATTTTTTATAGAGCAACACAAAGTGATGAATTTTCAATGAAAGAAATGAAAAGTCTTGGGAAGGACAGGAATTGAAGCAAAAGTATATTTGCCCGTACGTAAGAGCAAACACACGACATCGTACAGCATTTAACAGTAAATGCTGTTTGAAAGAAAAGGTTTTGGGAACCAATGTACTTAGTAAGCGATATTTGCTCAACTATTAATTAATTACATGTTACAGTAACGATTTTTTTTTTTTTTTATATAGAATTCACAGAGGTTTTTTCATAGAAATTTTAATGCGTTCAATTTTGTGCGATGTGATATTTTGCGATTCAGGAAAAATCAAATTATTGAAAAAGAAAGTTTGTTGAGCTTAATATAAATCCTTGTTGTTAATATTTGTGCAATACTATCAATAGTGCGGGATTATTGATGGCCGCGTTTTACATTTGATCGAATCATATTTAAAATGAAGTTTTCATTTATCTACAATTACTTACAAATAGAAAAAACAAATCCCATAAGCGCATTTTCTTACTCTTCGATACAAAATTCTTCACAAAAATAAAAAAACAAAAATTGAAAATAGCAGGATTTAATTTAATTTCATTTCATTTAAGAGAAAAAGTTATTATGTTAGAAAATATATATGTAAAGACAATTTTTTTTTATATTGTGTAGTTATATAGAGATTTTATTATTTAGATGAATTAAGTGTTGCAAACATTTTTAACATTTTTTTTTTTTTTTCCTGATTGTACATAAGTTAATAACGAAGCATTTCGTTTGTAGAAAAAGGCATACTAACGTGATCGAAAAGTAATAAGAATCAATTTTCTCCTATTATCGTCGTGTGAATTATAAATTCCTCCTTCGGCGAATTAAACATAAATGTTATGCATCATTTCGATGAAGCCAAAATTCGCCAAAATTACTATTTTCTGAATCATAATAACGCAGCTTCGCTCACCGCATTGATTCTTCGAAATTTTTTCTCGAAAAATTGAAGGCATCAACCAATTTGCAAGGCTTCTTTCTCCGTCTGTGTGTGTTTGAGGACTGGCTTATCTCGACGATATCATTTTGAAAACCGTATCGAAAAATATGCTTTAAAAAAGTAAAAAAAAAAAAGGTACAAGAAAACTATATACAGCCGCAACCGAGTTTTTTATACCCATCATAGCTTAATACTGATCAATAATATGTAGTCTTTATATGGTCTCTGATGGCTTTTTCTGGATGCTGCAAGCCTTTTGATAAAGGAAAGAAATTTCAAAATTCTATAAGATTGAGTAGGCGTGGCCGATTTAATATTCGATATATTTTTGTTTTTTGACAAATGCTGCATGACCACCAAATGCTAATTTTTATCGTTTTCATTCTACCTATTGTGGTTTATAAGTAACAAGCAAAAACCCAAAGCTTTTATATTTTTGAAAGAAGACGTGCTCCCAATTTGTGTCGTACTGTGGTTCTACTTTTTGACCAATTTGGCTTAATTTGAATACCAACCTGCACGCAACCAACTTCTAATCTTTATGCTGATTGCTACATTTTTGCGACTATGGATATTGCACAGACCGATAGACGGACACGCTTAATTCTGTGATTCCGTAGAGTGTATATATATTTTATGGGTTGTCCGAGCTTCCCTTCTGGCTGTTGCAAACGTTTTGACAAAGTGGAGATAAAAAGTAAACAAGCGTAACGAATTAATTAATAAAGATATTCATATCGAAATTTATCACCAGACATCGCTTAGGGTGTTGGCTAATCTAAGCAAAGAAAAGTAAAGAAAAGAAAAAAATAGCTTAGATACGCTGGCATGATTGAAATGGAGAAATTCTTGTTACTTTTTGATCACGGTATTATATAATGATAATTATTTATTAACACACACACTTGGTTACTTAGAGCGACTTGAGTGCGTGTGCGTTAAGAGAATTGTAGTTATTAGAAAATAAGTCGAAAGAAATGAAAATAATATAAAATAAAAAAAAAACAAAAATATTTTATTCAGATGCTTTCCCTGCATTCTTCTTAATAAGCGGAAAATTTTGACGATAGAAAAATCTTTGGCGCTCTTCAAGTATTATATACATTATCATCTTCATTCATTTTGTGTTCCTAAGTATTAACAGTCAATACATTTTGTTCATATCTTTCACAACTTGTGACACTGTTAAAGCATAAACAGTTTCATGGAAGATGCTGAATAATGTGTTTGATTATCTGATTAATCAATTCTGCTCAGTTGTAAATGTGTGTTGTGTAGACAAACACTCTGTATTATCATACTTATTATTATTCTTTCTCAGCGGCTTATAAGTGCTATCAATCGCCTCTTCAAATGAGACGGGAGGCTCGAATTCCATGAAACAAGAATGTATTAGTTTTGTTGCATTTGTTGAAGAAAACATTTGAAAATTTTAAATTCGTCCAAAATCGGAAATTTTGCACTAGTCTTTAATTAGAAACGTTTTTCAAGCTGATAAGAGTTTTTTGTAGAAAGAATAAAAGAAAATTCAAAAACAATAATTTTTCATTATTATCCTCACAACGACGACAATCATAACTATGCAATTTATTAACTTGCGATTAATATTTATAATAACGACGTTGATAGTAACTTCAGTAAATGTTCTTGGACAGGATGTTGGTGAGTTTCGCTTATTAGTTTAATTTGTTTTAATGAAATTAAATGTAAATGTTAATTTTGTTTAGTTGAAGAGCCATTTGACTTGGAAATTGAATCAAATGCTATCGATGATCATAATGCTAAAGTTAGCGAGAATCGTTTAGCCGCTCAATTATTTGCTGTACTAGAACATTATAAGCAAGAGGATCCTGTAGGTATACCGGGTTTCCCCATATCAGATCCCTTCGAAATGCCAAATGTAAAGCAAAGCTTAGGTATGGCCAACTTAAATATGATGAAAATTAAAGCCTATGGATTGTCTAGTTTCCGTTTAACAAGCATTAAAGTTGATCTCAAAGCCATGAAGGTATAGGAACTTATAAATCTTTCTCTGAGCACACATTTTCATTATTGATATACTTTTTTTTTTTTAATTTTGCTGAAAGCATAGGCGGAGGGAATCATTGAGTTGGATGAAATGTATACGAACGGTTCCTATACTTTAAATTCGTTATTTTCCAATGCCAATGGTCCTTTCAATGTGATTTTGAAAAAGGTGATGGCTAAGGGCACTGCTGTGTTGGCCGTTCAACGTAGCGGTCATTTGGCAATAGAACGCCTTAAAATAGATATAACATTTGATGATATGGGCATGGATTTTCAAAACTTAGGTTTTTTAGGAAACATATTTCAGGGCATCGTCAACTCAGCTCCAACATTGGTATTTGATTCTATGAAACCATTTATGTTACAAGCAGCCGATAAGCAATTTCGGGAAATGGTTAATAAAAACATTACGGAGATAATGGGCGAACGTCTGCTGCCCAATTCTATAACCCCTTTAGATATGGTCATAGCGGAAGCCCGTAAAAAGGTACGGGAAAATGGTTGCGATCCTTTTCGTTTGCCAGATTATAATCGCACTGTAGGCGTATTCAGTATGCAGCTCGCCAATTCTTGGATAAATGGCATCTCATCATTTTACCGTGTCGGCGATGTAATTGTATTAATGGCTAATAAAACCGTGAATTTGATATTGCAAGTTGGTACACAGCAAATTTCTGGAGCCGGTCAATGGGAAGTTGGTTGCGGTTTGGTAACACGTATTGGCCACGTCCACTTCACCCTCCAGCATATACGTGCGACGATTAGTGTTAGTCAACCGTTAGATACGCGAAAAAGACCACAAATCAATGATTTACAAATCGATTTGGGTAACATACAGGTGCGGTGTGATGGTGCCGGCACATTAGATTATATACTCGAATTTGCTGTTAACGTTTTACCGAATATGCTACGCTATCAGATAATGGATGCCCTTGAGAATCCCATTAAGAAGCGCATTCAAGAACAGTTCAATGCAATTGATGTAGAACAGGCGATCAAAAATAATTTGGACAAATTCCAGCAGAATGTTGAATTAACATGTGATTTTAAATTCATTTAATCTCCTATTTAAAACCCATCGATATAAATAAGTTATAGTTGGTAATGAAAAAAAAGAAAAAAGAGAAAAAACCTTTTTTTATATAACAATAAAAAACAATGTTTTTAACTGAAACGAATTCATCTTTTACGATTTAAATGAATCAACGAGCCCTCTTCGGATCGCCCCTGCAAGTGACTTTAAGTATTTATCGAAAATAATATCGCTTGTGATATATAAATAATGGTTTACTTTTATTTCCGATTACGGCTCTTTGACCGCAAAACACATCAACTGCAATTTCATACGTTCTTTAACTTGGTCTAAAATTTCGTCAGCTTTTTTTATTTGTTCATTGCTTAAAGGAGGATTGATCGCTTCCAAAGCTTCCATGAAGTAATTTCTACAAGATTAAAATCATATTTTATAGCTTACAAAGGTCACTTACGTAACGTACCTGCCCGTATCATTGGTATACAAGCGTAAAGCCTCTCTTAGTAAACGAATATCCACATTGGCCTGTACAGCTCCAGTCGGACTAAATTGTTGGACACAACTCATTAAACGTGCTAATTCTTCTGATATTGTCAATACGATTGGCTCCAATATAGGTCTTAATAAAGCCGGTGAAATCGTGTAAATTTCTGAATACACAGCAACTAAGTTATCGCAACATTCATGCGCGTACGGTCTTAATTGACCTATATTCATTTCCGCGTCCCATTGAAAAGCTCCCAAATACATCGACGGCTCTATAGTGCCCACTAATGGGTCACCCTTGTGTTCAACATAAGCATCTAAGATGTTGGAGAATAATTTATTCACTGAATAACGAGCGGTTTCAATAGCCAGCGATGACAACGGGTAACCATACCTAAACACAGAAAAACCGACTATAAATGTAATCTTTCTTTATACATTTTAAACATTATCTATATTACCGTTCAAAAAGTTTTCCCACCCGATGAAAGAAGCTTTTGTTGCAATACGCACAATTAGCTAAACAGCACAACATACGTTGCTCCCATGTGACTGCTGTGGACGAAGAGAAACTAGGGAATCTTCCAGAAGTCAAAGTACTATTTTGTTGGTTATTTGGATAGCCTAATAGTTGAGAAACATTGTGTGTGGGAATTTCCTCTTTGTGTGATTCGAACGCTAATTCTTGTATCACATCACAAAAGCAAAGCAAGAACTTCTGCAAACGTAATGACACTTCGCGTTGACCATCCGATTCAGTTTCCATAAGGTTTCCCTCCCTTTATTAAAAAAACTTTGAAGTTCAAAAGTATTCGAGGCTAAGCCATTTCTCTAAATTCACCTTATTTCTGGATTAATGCACGATTGCTGAGCCTCATCTAAAGTTTCTATTAAGAGTTCCTCCATGCGCTGAGGTAATAAAGTGGCTCCTGGAAAATCTTCGACGCCCATTTCCCACAATTCATTTTCGCCCAATTTTGAACATTTTTGAGTGGCTTTTTCAAATATATTCGAAAAACATTGCAATCTGGTTTCATCTATGAATTTCTGGACAATATCTAAAGCAGGTGAAGGTAAATCTAAACTTATCAATGTAGCGTAGGTGATGCGTGTATAACGCAAACATTGCGGCAACCAGGACTTGAAAATATCGTGCGAACTATGGCTTATTGGCCAAACAAATCCTACTGATTGCCTTAAAGAGCGCGCTTCAGCATCTGTGGCGCATATGGCTACTTTGAGATAAACGCAATATTTTTCAATAGCGTTTAAAACCATTCGCTTAAAATCGCCCGGCCTAGGATCATTTGGACCCCTCAGCTCTCCGGTAAAATACATTTGTCCTAAACGCCACAAATCGGGTAGCTGAGCAGCAGCTATCTCACACAATTCCTCGCAAAATAGCACTCGATTAGGTGGTTGAGTTAAGTCACGATTTTTGCTTTCTAGATGTTGAGAAATGTTTAGTAAAAAGCATGTAGATTTTTTTTGCCAACATACTTTCCCCTCCCTGCGCGTCTTTCCCGGCAAACTGCTCAAAAGTTTGTTTAAATGTTTTTTCCATGTATTTAGCTCTGGCGTCGATAGCATCCCAGGCGGGATCAATATTTCGCAATTTATCATTGATAGAAGTACCTGTTTGTTGTTGTACTTCCAGGCTAATTAAAGCTTTAATAAGTTTACGTTGCTGTTCCACACTTTGTGGCATTTTTATGACATTCTCATGCAATTGTCGCCTTATTTGTAATATGCGTTGATCCACCTCTTCCATAACTTTGCGAAAAATCTATTTCAATTTTTTAATTAAGTTATATCAAAAACCAAAAATCATTTACTCACAGGTATCTCAGTTTTGCCAAAACGGCTTTTAGCTCGAGCATAATCATTTACTACCATATCATATTCACCGGCCAGAGCACGTTTCTCTACCGTATTAGGTAAGCAGAAAAGGAATTTATGCCGCGATAGAGCCAGCAAAACAGCTCGCGTGGAATCAGCTTTCTCTTTGCGTAATAACACATCAGTAAATATATTCTCTGATTCCTTGATAGAACCTAAGTAAATGCCGAGTCGCTGTATGCGTATATTTCTAAGACTCCAAAATTTCTATTGTTAAACTTACTTTGAATTTCTTGTTCTAATACATTCAAGGGTTGTGTTCCATATTGGCTTTGGTCTGCTTGCAATTTTTCTTTAATACTCATCAATGTATCTAGCTGCTCGATAACAGAACCAGCATTCGACTTTAAAAATGATAGTTGTCCCTCTTTTTGACTCTCCACCTTTCGATTGAGATAATTAAGGCCAGCCTTAAGGTCCGCAAATGTGGTAGAGGAGTGATTTTCCAATAAAAATAACGCCGGCGAAAAGTTCTCTTGCGATAAATCACCGCTGGCATTGGGAAACAACTCTCGTAGATTTTCTACATTCTTTTTCTCGTTGCCTTCCGTAGATAAGCCTAAGGGATCATCGGGCGTTAAGCCAGATTGAACTAGAGTCCGTCGTCCCCAAGCAAAATTTTGAGAAGGAGCCTCATCTATCCACACGGCAGATTCTTTTAAAGGACCTATAGTTTCGTGATGGCCTAAAGCTCGGAATTGCACAGCGGATATTCCTTCTCCGCCACTGCGCGTGGTGACAATAATATCGCCAATGCCTTTCGCTGGGCCAGTGCGGGCAATAATTTTATTTGGAGAAACCCACTCCGCCGAAAGCAAACAATCAAAACCGCATATTTTTAAACCTACAAAATGAAAACCAAAAAAATTGTTTTTTTCTTATAATTAATGGGTGTTAATGTTTATTAACTTTATTACTACATACCCAATAAATCGGTAGCCTTAGTGCCGAGAAATTCGCCACGTATTATCACTCTGGTTCCAGGCGGACCTTCTTTAGGTGAAAGACCAGTTACCACAGGCTGAGGCGCCATAACTTCCTGAGTTGGAAGCGATTGTTTTTTTTTTTGTATGTTGAGTTAAGATCGACCAATAAATTTGTTAAATGCAATTGGAGATTGTTGAGTTGTGATGTAAAGTGATGTAAAAAAAAAGTGTTGCAACGTTTAGCTGAAAACAAAAAGGGAATGTTGTAGAGATAAAATATGATTGAACGTAAAAAACAAAAAAACCAATAATAAATTAGCATGAATTAAAAAAATAAATTCGCTTTTCTAATAAAAAAAGTTAGTCCCCGAGATGACGTACATTTGTTGCCACAAAGAGATCGAGGAAACCATCATATAACATGAAGAAGGTAAAAGGACCCCTAACACCATCAAGTCCGTGACATGTAAAAATTAGATGCTCAGCATACTCGCTAATTTTACAAACTTCGCAAATATCACATTTTATAGCACGAAACATTTTTATATACACTTGATCATAAGTGTGACCGCTCCTGAGTCTATAAAGAAGTTTGGTTATCCGGGAATAAAAAGGAAGCTGAAGTTAAAGAGATAAACTGAAATTTGGGATTTATTTTATAGAAAAAGCGATTGGATTTAACACGCGCAATCTCATGAATATATTCATGATTTATTTGTTGAACGATGTAGTTAGGAATTGCCCGTATTGCTTCATTGTGAGTATCTTTGATAGACGAAATTGTCTCTTCAACTTGTGCCCTTTTTGCATGAAAATCAGCTTTTTCATTTAAAAAAAAGCCACAGTGGCCAAGTATCCAAACAAGGAGACCGTCATCCACTGAAGATTCATATAAAATCCTGTGCATATCAAACACGTATTGATTATCTGGATCTCTCTTACTTATTAGAAGCAGAGCTGACTTACTATCAGAAACAACAGCAAATTTTTTGATACTATCAATAATAGCCACCTTAACAGAATGGCTGACGAATTCTCCAATGGGGGGAATTTTTATCGTAGGAACTATCATCGAGACATTCAAAGTAGTTTGAGGAAAACTTCTCTTTTGCTTCACTTCTCTTTTCTTGTCACTCTTTGTCGGAAATGTTTTTAATGGCCATAATATTTTTGATGTTTTTTATTTTAGTTTATTTTGAAAAATTTCTTTTCCACTAATGTAGAAAAGACACGTTAGAAAAAATTTTTCGGTTACCGTTTGCTAAATGTAGTGTTGTTTCAAGTGTTGATTGTGTTGGACTCCAATTGAAAGCGATTAAAAGGACTTTTTCCTCAAAACAAACTTAAAAAACAATTCACATCGTAAACAGCAATTTACGAATTGTCAAAAACTATTTTATTGCGTGATCAGCTGTTCAACTTATAATCAACACTACTACTACTGCAAATTTTAACAAAAAACGTTCAGCTGTATAAACGAAAAAATGTATTGAATGCGAGAAAATCTGGCATTCGTGGCCATAAAACAACTGATTTTTATTTTTCTTTTTTTTTTTCAAATCGCAGACGTAGGATGGATGTCACCGCTGCTCAGTTGGAAAATGAGAATTTACGAAAAATTCGAAACCGTTTATTGCAATGGGAGGGTAAAACGAGTCCTTTAGCAGCTTTAAGCGCCCACCAGCAGGAGTTTTTTGAAATAATTGACACTGTATGCAAACGCGACAAGGAGGTGAGTCTTAAATTGTATTTGGTTAGTATTTGCTATAGCAATAATTTCGAAAATATTCTAGTGTCCCAAGACGACGGAAAAAGAGAACAACTTACGTGCAATAACGAAAGCAGTGGAAGATGCCGAAGCTTCTTCATTAATGAAGCTACAGCAATTATCTTTGCCCGGCATTGAAACCACAAATGATTTCTTAATGTGGTATAACCAAGTACTAGACGAAATCCATGAAAATGACGATATACATACACAGCATTATCTTCAACAACTAATAACTAGAAGCACAGAGTGTTTGCGCATACTGGAGCAAATAGAAAAGGCCATGCAACGTTTGGAAAAACTTAAGAATGAGTATTCATTTGTTTCGCAGAAAACGGAAGCTCTTAATACGGCCAGTGAGCAACTGTTAGGAGAACAGCAAAAACTGCAAGCACTTGGTGAAGAGATACAACATCGTTTACATTACTTCAATCAGGTCGAATTAATCAATCATCGTTTATTTAGCCCTACGCTCTCAGTAGCTTCGGGATCATTTCAGGAATGTTTAACCAAAATTGATCAATGCCTGACTTATATAAAAGAGCATGTAAGTTTTAATAAGTGCCTTTCAAAACTAATAATCTAATATATTTGCTAATCTTTAGCCCAGTTTTAAGGAATCCTCCACCTTTATCATAAAATACAAACAATGTTTAAACAAAGCGATCAGTTTGATGCGAAATTATGTCACTCAAGTTATGGCTCAAGCCACCGAAGCTACTCTTCATCCTAAACAGCCTTTGGTAAGTGCTGTAGAAGCTGCAAACACTTCGCCTGATGCCACGTTTGCTTTATATTACGGCAAGTATCAAACATCGGCTGCCAAAATTAAACGCATATCCCAAATGGTGGAGTCACGAGTGGAATTGTGTCGGGAATATGCAAATCTTTTGGGAGATTTGCAGCAGTGCTACCTAAGTGAACGTTCAACTATTATGACACCGGCTGTAGACAAAGCCATTAAAGATATCCAAGCGCAGCAGAGAGGTGATCATTGTGCTTTAATGCGTAGTTCGTGCGCATTTCTAGTTCACATATGTCAGGATGAGCAACGTTTATATTATCAATTCTTTGCCAAGGATAGCGAACAGCTAACGTTAGTATTAGTTAAATGATTAATTTTTATACTCACCACCAAACAATTCGGGTATTTTAAATGCATACCTCGGTTGCCATACGCAGAAATATACATTAGACGATCCATAAAAATTATGTTCCTCTGCCTGTACGTGAAATGCGCACAGCTAACAATGCTGCAATATAAGTCATAGGGGATATGGGAATAAAACTTCATATTTACCTCCATAGTTTATTATCGCTGATCATTCAAAGTTCAGTGCAAAAGTTTAATTGATTGACTAACTGACGCGTCCGTAATCAGTAACCGATTAGCAACTTTCACATATTACTTTAAGGTGGTGGGCATAACAGTTTCTTCGAATAAATCTCCATTTTTTTGTTATATTTCAATCTGTCGTTCCTATTTAGCGCATATTTGGAAAACTTGTGCAGTATTTTATACGACAGTATGCGTCCATATATAATACACATTAATCATTTAGAAACCTTGGCGGAAATTTGTTCAATACTGCGTATTGAAATGTTAGAAGAACAGGTGCAACAAAATTGTAAGTGCCAATGGAGTCGAATAGTTACATTATTATTACTATTATTATTATTTTAAATCGCATTTTGTTAGCTACTACTTTAGAAGCTTTTGCCACTATAGCGAATCAGTTGTTGCAAGATGTTCAAGAACGTTTAGTTTTTCGTGCACATTTATATCTACAATCGGATATTTTAAATTATAACCCCTCGCCGGGAGATTTAGCTTATCCCGAAAAACTTGAAATGATGGAGGTAAGTGTTCAAAATATCTTCTTTAAATAAGAAATATTTATATTAATATAGTGCATTTAGAGCATTGCATTGTCTCTGCAAGATTCACATTCGCATCAGATGCGTCGCTTCGACTCGAGATCTTCTTTGGTATCCACGTCTTCTAACGTTACAGAGGCTGAAAGCTTGGATACTAGTGTTAGCCGCGTGAGAAATATGAGTAACTTTCATTCACTCATCATAGGTTCATAGCTCAAATTCTAATTTTTATACTTAGATTCACCGGCAGATTTGCACGGCATGTGGTATCCGACCGTGAGACGTACACTCGTATGTTTATCACGTCTCTATCGTTGTGTAGATCGGCCCATATTCCAAGGTCTTTCCCAAGAGGCTTTAAAATTATGCATAGAAAGCGTTTCTGCAGCGGCTAAAAAAATTTCCCAGAGTAAGGTAAAGTAAACGCAATATTTCTCCCGACATAGCGAAACATTTTTTCTTTGGTTTTTGGTTTCAGACACCTATCGACGGTGAGCTTTTCGAAATCAAACATTTGCTTATCTTACGCGAACAAATTGCTCCCTTTCGTGTCGATTTCACAGTCAGGGAAACGTCATTAGATTTTAGTAAAGTCAAAACAGCAGCGTTCGGTCTATTACAGAAACGTAAACAATTGTTCGCCATTGGCAGCAATAATGCATTGCTCGAATTTTTATTGGAGGGCACTCCCCAAATTAAAGAGCATTTATTGGATTCGCGCAAAGAAGTCGATCGCCAGTTGAAATTGGTTTGCGAACAATTCATAACGGATGCAGTGCAAGGTTTAATAAAACCACTTCTGGGATTCCTGGAAAAAGCGAATCAATTAATACAGAACGATGCAAAAAATGCAAGCGATCAGCAACAACAGCCTATAAAAATTAATTATGTCTTAAGGCAGAGCGCCTGGGCTAGCCCGCAGCAAACTAGTAGCGTTATACAAGAAACGCAACGTTTAATCAAAAGCCGCTTACCGAGCTTGCAGAGATCCATGCAGTTATATTTAAGTAATCGTGATACTGAATTCATTATCTTTAGACCGATAAGGGTAAGTAAAGAATGGTAGGACTGAACTTAATTTTTTCATTTCACAAAAATAATCTTTTACTTAATTCGAAGATATTAGAGCTAATATATTTTTCAATTCACAGAATAATATTATTCAGTCATTTGTTAAAGTAGAGCAGTTACTAACCACGAACGGTTACACTAAAGATGACATGACTATCACCAGTTGCCCGTCCGCTGAGCAGGTTTCGGTATTATTATCTAGTGCCAGCATTTTGGCTGTCGAGAGTATAGCGAATTTCTCCGCAGCCCAACGCAAGTTAAGTATGAGCTCTAGCGATGCAAGGCCAGGAAGTCCACAGGCCTCACAATCTCCGCCAGTCACTAGAAAGCTATCCACAGAAAAAAAAGTAAGTTTTGAAGGAACGAGTGCAGCCAACTCAACTCTGGAAAATTTGCAAGAGCTTTCAGAATCGTCAGATGGCAATACGATAACGTCTTCTACAAATTTGTCGCCAGCGCCGCTTAAGAACATAGTTCTCAAAACCGCTGAACAAGTGTGATCTTTAAAGAATTACCAATAAAAATTACGCAATAATGTTTTTTGTTTAAACTACACTGTTTTTCATTTTTAATGCATTAGAAAATGAAAACAACACTGAAAGCAAATCTTATTCCAAAAAAAAAAAAACGAGAATGTAAATGCAAACGTGAGAGGAATAGTAAGAATTTTTATTTAAAACTTTAGAATTGTTGTTGCCCGGTCGACTTTTACGAGCACGCTATGATAGAGAGCACTTGTCTTTGCTATTTGTGGGCTGATTATCACGTCCTCCAACAGGTACACTGGTGTTGTTGTTAGGGCGTTGTGTTTGGGCCGCATCTACAGCGTTGCGATGATCACGATTATTCGACTCATCTAATTCTAGAATAGAAAGTGCTATTGCGCGTGCCAATGCTTCATCCTCCGACTGCAAAAATTTACTTTTCTATTTAAAATGCATTGTTATTTTCCTTGGCGTCTTTCTTACCATATTTCCCTGAATATTTTGCACACCAACTGAGCCATTGGTTAAATGATCTGTAGCTGTTGTTCTCACGGGATGTACGTTAGGTTTGAAATTTGCATTAAATAAATTACTAGGTGGCTTTTGCGTACGTCTCAGCTCCGCTGCATTGCTTTATTAAAGAAATTTCCAATAATTTATAAAATTTAATATCGGTCTTTAGAGATAGCAAATGAAAGTGATAATACTTACGCGCAATTACGCTGTTGATTCACAGTATTCTGCGAATCACACACATGGTCAGCGGTATGGCGATGACGTAGACAGAAATTTCGTTTACATTGGCTACAAAAAACAGGTATCAGCTCTTTGCGTTTACAATTTTTAAATGAACAACGATTTGTGAAAATTTTCTTTGTTTCGGATTTACACTGTTGATCAATGTGCTGACTCACGGTTACATCCGGCTCAACGCCAGGAGCGGTAGGAACCGGTTCGTTACATAGAGGACATAGAGGGACTTGAAAGTCTTTACGTATGCCTGTCTTACAATTATGGCGCTCATAATGAAAATGATCGCAACAATATTCCTTGCCACATCCATCGCATTTCATGGGTAAGAAATCTATGAAAAATTCATTCTATATAATTTCTGAACATATCGGAAGATGCGTTTATCTTCACCTAACTTATTGCAGGATTTTTCATTACAATGCTGTCCTAAATTAGGGAATTCCATTTTAAATTCTTCTGTTTTCGCTTCAATAGGAAAAGGCTTTAATTTCGCAATTTATTTTTTAAGCTAGGCACTCTTTTTTCTAATTTCTCCTTTTTGTAGAACCGTTTATAAAAAAACAGAAAATTATACTGTCATGTTGTCATTGTTTTACGAAAACGAAAGGGAAAAGAACATAAATTGACACAGCTGACTTAGATTAAAAATATGTAGGCAATACTAACGTTAGTGCGAAACCACACAAAATTTTCTCCGGTTTACGTGGCTTTGGGCTTTAAGTTGAACTTTAGTTTACTTTCAGTTTTTGTTTTGCTAAAAACTTCCAAGAACAGCTTAGCATGTTTGCTGGCTGAGCGATAATAGGTATAATAATGGTCTAATAATTTTGGTATTAAAACTTCATTTTCTATTTTAAGTTTTTAATTTTCTTCATTAAGTCGTTTAATTGTACTGAATTTTGACTGAATCCGCTGTAGAAAACTGTTTTGAATTTTCATTGTTTTTATCGTTCGGAAACTGGTTTGGATTTTTTCCTATTGATTTCCATACTTCGAAGAGTGCATTGATTTTTCTCCTATTTGGTTTCCATCTTTCGGAAACTGGTTTCTCCGACTTTGTTTTCATCTTTCGGAAACTTTAATCGTCTTGATGTTGATGGGATATTGTCGCCATCCTGTTCCATTTGTTCCACTTCTTGTCCTAATGGGCCATTCCTTTTATATGTGTCTAGATTGGAACCTCATCTGATGCCAATTCAGGTATCTTTTTGTGTTCTAGAAAAAAATACTTATCGCAAATATAATTATTTTTCTCATAATTTAGAGTACTTATTAAAATTTACCCACTCTTTTTATTTATTTGGAGGGATTTTAAAAATCGATCTTTTTTCAACATTTTTTTTCCACTATATATGTAATTCTGCACTAAACATTTTCTTGTACGCGCCATTATGAATAAAAATTAATAAAAATAAAACAAAAATGGTAGTAATGATATAACACAAAAAAATATTAAAAATCTCAAAAGAAAAAGAATAAAAGTTTGTAATTTTCATTATTTTCCCAAAATAAATAATATAACATTATTCCTCATTTTGAAATGATTTAATGGCGCTTCCTGAAAATTATTAAAAAGAATTTGTTTAAACATATGTTTAAGAATCAGGTATTTTAGTTGTGTAATTACAGATGTGTTTTATTAAGTTTATGAAACAGAGTGGCATTTGTATTCTATGTGAAATAATACTCTTCTGTTAATGAAACAGAATCAGATGTTTCCGTTGCATAATTACAGATGTGTTTTACGAAGTTGATGAAGCAAAGTCGCATTTGAATTTTGTGTGAAATAATACTCTTCTGTTAATGGAACAGAATCAGGTGTTTCAGTTGTGGAAGCAAAAGTCGCATAGTCGCATTCGCGGAGAGCTTTATTCAAGGTATTATTCCAATATAAAATAAGAAAAGGAAAAAATATAATATTAACCATAAAACATTTCGATCTCGGACTGTTTTCTATCTCTGTGCCTTATAGTAAATATTAAATGAACTAACTTCAGTACACGACAAAGGATGTTAATAAATTTGTGGTAATTACTTCATATCGCAAGATTGCGAAAAAAAAAAATAAAGAAAGAAAAAAATCATTTAAAAAACAAAACGCAACATAGTTGAAAACGGATTGTGGTTACTTAGCTCGGTAGTTTGTAGACGCTGTAGACGAGTTGGTGATTAAAGAATTAATGGTGATTGAAATTATTGTATTTTAATGCTTGACAAAATAAAAATTAATAAAGAGAAAACGAGTGTCTTCATAAACGTCTCCTTTTAAATGAAATTTTAAGGGTAATTATCATGAATCAAGAAAGAAAGCGAAGAGGAAAAGCAAGTTTTTATTGTGATCTCGAATAGGAATGACAAAAAGAAAAACGCGGGTTACGTTTGCATCGATACGATAAACAAGTGCTCCAAACAAAAAGTTTATTTCTTTCGCCAATTTGACTTACAAATAAGTAAAAATTTTACATTTTAAATTATTTATTCTCTTATTTCTGCTAAGGGTACGTCATCAATGGTTGTTTGTTGTTACTACCCGCATAATTTGCTGCGTTCATAACCAATTGAAAGATTGTGTTTTGTTTAGTTATGTGCTTCATGAATTAGCAATTCATTCGCTTGGTGGGTAAAGAGAAAACAACAAAAATGTGAGAAAAGGAAATGTCTACTACAAATTGTTGCACTTCGTTTATAAGATATTCAGCGCTTACTTTATCTTTAAAATTTTTATTATTTGAATGCGGTTTTCTTTGTGCGTTCTTGTGGGTTCCTATTTTTAGATTTGTTATTAGAAATTTTTGCTAATTGTGCGTGGGTGTGGTTTGCTCTCTTCTTTCCTCGTCACGTCGGGCATTTTAAGTTGTTAGTTGCTGCAAAAGAATCTTCCTTATTGAAATACATATATAATATTATTATTATTATTATTATTATTATTTTCTCTTTTATTTAGAAACAATTTTTTACATTCTTTCCTTTTTTTATATTTTCCGACACCTGTTGCTGTGTCATTCTTTTACATTTCGATGAAACATAATCAGAGATACAATTCCTTTACAGCACTCGTAAACGCGCACGCACATATACACGCACACATAAAATTTGTTTCTCAAGTCAAGGTCAATTTTACACTATACACTTTTTTTTTGTACATATTCGAGTAAACCGGTGAATGTTGGAATAGTAGTTCGTGTATCTACCGTCATTAATTGACGTAAGAAACAACTGAAAGCGATTTATTACTTTTCGTGAACCATTTTCTTTAAGATAACAACTAATAAAAAGATCCACTTATTCTGCTGGATATTGACCTCGAGACTAGCTAAAGTTGATTTAGCGAATGAAAGTATATTTTATTTTTTTCAACAGTCGTTATCTTACCATTTCTTATAACATGCTTCTACTTGAAGGTTGAAGGAAAGAGGAGAGCTGAAAGTTAAATAGCTGAAACACACTTAATCCGCCGGACTTCTGTGCGTACAGGTAAATTGTTGCTAGCGAATGTCATTCCATCCTCTTAAAATATTGGATTAAATAATATCGTTTTTTTTTTTTTTTTTGTTTAATGTTACTCCAAAAGTAATTAATTGAAAAACTTACCAAAATTGATCTCGTTGTCTTAACAACGCTAGAGCTGTGATTGCTTTTTGCGTAGAGGATGTGATTTTGAAGAAAGAAAAAAATGTTCGCTACTGCAGAAGAAAACAATAGATATTCTTTATTTAGGGCAGTTCTGCTTCTACAATTTGTCTTTCATCCCAATTTGTTTTTAATCTGAATTCGCTTATCTCTTTCTTCTGAACTGTAGCGGCTGGAATTTTTTTCGCTAGGATAAAATTACAAAACCTAGTGGGCTTCCAAAAAATGTTTACACATATGTGTTATTGCAAGCATTCATAGACCGCAGAAGCCTGCACTTTCGAGTTTTCTGATTTTCTTTGATAATCATATTAATACTAATATGTAATTTTGCTGGAGTGTGTTCACCATTGATATACAGGTGGGAGGAGGTTACGGAGGTTATTTACAATATTTACTTCGTCCTGCTGGCTTTAAAAGGATGACAAATTGCTTTTGCCATTTATGAAATAACGACCTTTCCACAGTGACAAAGGCTCTATCCCTTGATATAGGATGTATTGCACTATTGCAGAACTTCGCAGAAACTTATTGTTCACGATTGAATTACATTTTGTAACTTGCATATATCTCAAAGAAAAATGCGCCATTACTCATCACGCCCAGAGGCTATGTCGCTCAAGAAACGGCGCAGTGATCGTAAATGTTGGATATAAAACTGTTGATTCTGCTGAAAACGGCGGCAAATGCCTTAATCCATTTATTTTTAAGTGAATCCAAGTAAAGAAGGAGCAAACAATCAAAGAATGTTTAAAGTCCCTCGATGTTAATATGGTATTCCTTTTAAAGATTGTTGATTCTAACAAAAGAAAATGTTTTCCAAATTGTAAGCTAAATCAGAAGTTTCTTTAAATGTGTTTTTTCCCTTTTTTTTTTTTGTACCTATTGTTGTGCATTTGCTGGCGGAAAAACAATTGAACTGTTTATAGAACTCTTACAAGTGCTGAGAGAAAATTTAATTTGCTTGACTTGTCAAAAGCGAACAAGATTAGACATCAAGTGATATGATTTATCCGAACATAAGGGATTTGTTTTAAGGTTGTTGTTAAGCTTTCAGAAGAATAAATAATGGCGTTTATCAACCGCTTTGCTTGCTTTACGTTCACGTTTTCCTAATACGCAAAACAAAAACTTCCCTCTGTCACTAAACTTTGTCTGGTCCTTTGTGACTGTCCTTTACAAGTCCTCTTCTGTAATAAGTGCTTAAAAAGAAAAGAAGAAGAATTCATTTCAAACACTAATGCATCAAAATTTAATTCACCGCTTTGAAAATACTTCGTTTCAGGGTCATTGTTATGATGCCGGATTATTTTTTAGCAAATTATTTCTTAACCAAATTTTGTTTCGATAAAGAGGAGCAATAATAACCACGTGTTCGTGGATGGATATCTTGCGCCTAAGACGATTAAAAATGCATAGGGTTGTTAAGTAGATCTGAATATTGTGGGCAGTGTGAGAAAGCGCTTTTAAGCGCTAGGCTTGACTAGGGCTAATACTACGAATAAAGTTTCAAATTGCTGTGAAAAATGGCAAAATATGAATTAATGTACAGTCGAAGTTTTTAGAGATGGTGCTAATTAGCTCTCCTTGCTATTCTATTTGTCACCTCATTTTAATTTCAAATAATTAATTAATTACTAAGAAAAATATTCGTTTCATGTTATAACATCGTAGAAAACATTTTCAGTTTTGTTTACGGTACTATTCACTCAGTAAACAATTAAATTTTTATATAAAGCAAATTTTTGATATGAAAATTCTGTCTTGTTGTATAAAGGAAGAATACAAAAAATTTTCAAAATACATTCGAATTTCTTACTTTTACTCAAATTCATTACGGAAAATGGCAAAGAAAAACTCTATAGAGAATCGCGGCACTGAAATCTTCTCATTTACTTGATTATATTTAAAGTTGATGGCAGTTGCATTGCATGCACAAAAACCCACACACAGCCAACAGACTAGTTTCTAAACGAGTTTTGTAAGTTAAGAAAAAAAAAAAAAAAGAAGAAAAAAATTACTAAGTAATAAAGGTGCAAACAAAAATTATATACATACATATACATGTATATGCATAGATTGCTTTGTGGACTACTGCGTTTGGGCTGTAAGTGATTTACTAAATCTTCAAGCATACATTTCATCGTGTAATTGTGTATGTGATGTGATGCGGTTAATGTACCGTGTCTCAGGAAAATGACTCTAGGGATATATTATACACAACACATGTTGCTTGGTTACCTTAAGATTTGAACAGTGAATGGGTTTCGTTCGCTTCCTATTTCTTTTCTTTTTCGTTTATGTTTCTTGTAATATTTTAAAGCCGCTAAAGTTGAGAAAAAGAAGAAGATTACAAATTGACATATATTCTTGGTTGAATTTCATAGGCCAAGTTTGAATATAGATCTGATTGATAGCGAAATTTACATAATTTGGAGAAAAACTAAATAACTGAATTTTATTAATTATCGCGTTATGGTGCAATCCGTTATAAATTTCCTCATATCTATCTCGTCATCGACTAATCAATCGATTCTGCCAATATGTAGTGTACATTGATAATATTGCTTTAAAAGAAAAAAAAAATTCTGCCTTCATACCAATATCACATGTATTAGGAGAACTGGCATAGACCATTTCGGGAATCATTATCCCCTTCACCACTTGTGGTATAAAAGTACATTAAGTTTGTACAAAACTCGGCAGGACTCCAGATGCGACCGCCTTTTATTATATCTCGGTCCGTTTGCCCGTCTGCCCATGTTATTTCTTTGGTTTAGCCCACATGTCGCAGCTTTTGGGGTATTTTGATAAAATTTGGTCTGCTGATGGATTTTGGGCCATGGACGAGTTACTGAAAATAATTCAGAGCGAATCACTTTTTCGAACACTTCCCATTTAACGCCCCATATTGAAAAGTAGTTACATGAATACCAGTAGGATGGTGCAAGGTATTTAATGGTACGCCATGACCTATTATAGATCTGTTACTTGGTTTCTGTATCGATTTGAGCATGCCCGTCCGTCTGTCCAAGTGTAAATGTTTTTTTTATTTCTAATCTAAAAAAAAAAAAAATACCGTTTCAGCATACTAAACAGAGATGGAAAATTTAGATAGAATGTGGAACCATTTTTTTTTGAATTAAGTGTCGTATAAGTGTCGTACCAAAAATAAGTCTTAAGCAATAGCAATGACTAATTATTAGTATTATTTTATGATAAAAAAAGTTTTTCCATAGATGCTCCGCATCTAAATTTAGTGTAGTGTAGTTTTGAGCACATAGGTCGTGTTCTTCCCATCAAGAGCTTCCATGGCAAGCAACATGACGTTGCAATAATGTATAATTTTCAGTATTTCATGACTAAATTGAGTGAAGAGTTTTGTTAAGCAGAGTCACGTAGGGTATTTAACAGTCGGCTTTGGCTTGCTAAATTGTTTTAATCTGCTTTTCAATAAAGTTCGTCAGAGTTGGCTAAAAAGTTATTTAAAATCAATTAATTTCACAATTTTTTTGTGTTTTAAGTCCTGGCGTTATTCTGAATCTGCCGCGGAAAGAGGTACTTTCGAGACATGGCAAGTTCGAGAGATATAGTTTATAGAGAAGAAACCAATAAGAGTTCGATGTAGTGGAAATTTTCAAAAATTTTATGCAAAGCTTTCACTCCTAAAAATTGACTTTGCGAACCGCTTAAATGGTACGATGCCTTATAAAATTTTTTGAATCTAATTTTCAAATACATAAGCAATCACTTAGAACGACAAAATTAAATGGTATGAAAATATGAAAAGTAACTCGGTTTAAATGTATACTTGATTAAGGACCCTCGCTTTCTTTGTATTTACTTGAATTGATAGACATGACAGCTTTCACGTACAGATAAACATCGCTCAGTAAGTTCGCAGGATAGCATACTGATGTGCAATAGGTATTGACGAATCCATATAATTTCTATGTAGTGCAAACCTTCAAGCGAAATATATCAGAATTACATGACATTTTATCACTCAATTTACAAGTCACAGTTGTTTTAGCGACGTTACTTTTGTAGTTTGCAAAACAATGTAAAAATCGCAATTTCGTGTACTATCTAAAAATTATGTGAATTTATCGATAGTGGCGATATCTAAATGCCATTCTAACAACTTATTGAATGTTGTGTCAATTGTGGTTTCCTTGACTTTGATTGATTCTCCGAAATCGAAAAATTTATTTATTTTGTTGCTTTGTTGTTGTTACTTTTATGTAATTGGCCCGTTTAAATTTACTTACCTATTTTTGGGTTATTCTTTTCTAGAATTCGATTTACCTGAACACTGCCTTTATTTGGATTATAATAGAAACTGATTTCTGGGCTCCTTTTTATATTAATTAATTGGAAAGTAACAAACTGGACATAAGAAAATGTTGAAATTTATACGAGGAAAAGGGCAACAACCCACGGCCGAAAGACAGCGCTTGCAAAAAGAATTATTTGCGTACAGAAAGGTAAGTATTCTTAAAAGATATTTTATAAAATATATATTTGCTGTCAAAATATTTTATTAAACTTGAGTATGTTGATTGGTCAATCGAGGATCTGGTTTTTTAGCTGAGTTCAAAAAAATACGGAAATCTTCATCTCAGTTTTCGCAACTGATAGTGCAGTAGTAATTTATATTTGCCTTAGTTCGAAGAAATACTGTCTAACAGATGTTGTAGCAACATCTGCGGAAATTAAATGACAACGTATATTCCGCAGTTCCGATTCCGATCTTAATTTTTGTGAGTGAAGATCCAAGTAGGTACCGTAGGTCGGGAATGGAGAAAATGCATATATTTTAGGTGGCCGCTTAGACATGTTTCTAATGAACAGGACAGGTCAAGTTTAGTACACCTTATACACTAGTTCTCTTTTTACCGGATAAATGCGTTCCTTAGAAATCCGTGCAAAAAAAAATCTTGCAAAAAGTACATACGACATATGATAAATTTGGGGATATGTCCCACACCATTAAAAAATCGTGTAAGACGAAAAAACTCTAATTATTTTCTCCAAAATACCGTGCAAAAAAAGTCAGAATGGAATCCATATTACATATTTATAAAACAAAAATCGTTCATTTTTCAAAATCGCGTAAAAAAGGATCGTCTAGAAACGAGTTGGTTGTACTTCCGTATAGGATAGAAACACGAACTTTTATTTTCAGACGATTAATATTTGGATACTTAAGTTAGTGTTAAGTTGTACAGCTATAACGTATACATTTGCAGGCAGAGGGTCTCTCACTACAGCGTTCGATTCAATTAATTGAGATATTCTCTCTTTCGGTCTATCTTGACCGTGCCGTCCGTCCATGTGTGTTGGGCTTAACAAAGCTAATGGGAATGATCCTCTTTTGCTAAGAGAATGGAAAATTTCACATAGTGAATGAAAGACTCGTATTATTAGAAACGAAGTTTGACGAGAAGTGGCTGAAGAAGCATTTGTTAGTAATAAATATTGCAGTTTTTGAGCTATCGCTTAATCGTTGTCGATGATTAATCCCTAAGTTGTAATGATGTCGGGTCCTGCTTGTTCAGTTTTTATGGAATCCTTCTCATGGCGATGAAAACATCGAATTTAGGGTTGTATTTACGAAACATCGCTCATAAAACTTCCTAATGCATATTATCGGTCTCTTTACTTAGAATCGAAAAGTATACCTTTGCGATAATACAGACTACTTGACGCGTTAACTTCGTCGCGAGGATAATTAGCAATATGTATATGCAACAGCACGTGTATGGGATAGAAATATTTAATACCTGTAAGCGCTTAAGATAGTTTCAATTTTATTATACCGAATTCCTTTAAGTGTGTCTGTGCGTCTGTCTTCTTCATGTCTGCACAAATACTTGCGTTTTCAACCTACATATCGAAAATTGTGGATATTTTTTGGTGAAATTTAATCAACAATGACGTGTCTTGTCCTATGGAAACACGTTGTTGAAAATGAAGCCGTTACATGAAAATAATTTTAGTTTTTTAAATTTCGCGCCGAAAATCTCTGAATATAAATACCTTTGCTTATTTTAATAGTTTGCTCAATTTGAATCGGAGGGAGCAATTTTTTGAGCTTCATTCCGTATTGCTGTCTTCATGAAAGCCATCATTTATGTGGCATAAAGATCTAATTTTCATACGTCATAGAGAAAATTAGTTCGCAAAAGAAATTTTTAGATAAAAAGGTAAAGTAAAGTAAATTTGGATCACGTGAGGAATAGTTTACCACTTCACAGTATCATATCAACAAATGTAGAATTGCAGTAGCCCGATTAACGTAGGGTATACAATGCTTGGCCTTTGTTAACTATAAAGTGTTTGCTTGATCTTCTAAGTACGATCTTCTTTTATACCAATTAATGAACAGTTAACTTAATTTGTGGAAAAGTGTGCAATATTAAAGAAGAATCTTTGCTGACATTATAACCCGTAAGTACCAAATTCGAGTCTATTTGGGCATGTCCGACTGTCCGCTTGTGTAATGTCTGTGCTATATACACTACTGGCCGAAAGAATTTAGATATTGTTCTCAAATTTTCAAATACGTTGGACTTTTCTGTATGTAAATTGGTGTTGCGATTGGGCCAAATGGGTCAAGGAACCCGCTTCGGGTACAATATAAACTTACAACTCCTCTGCTTTCAAAAGTAAAAATAACGTTGGCTTTTTTGCTTACACTCTATAAAAATTTGCACCAGCTTCCACGTTTATCCGATGGGCGACCCTGTAGCACTAGCACACCCGCCCAATATTATAGAGTATCGAAATTTCACTTTTTTCAAGTTTAAGTTTAGTAATTAATAGTAAACCAAAATCAGCGATAAATACAAAAGATTCGACCATACCCGGACATAGTTATTTTACTTGTTTTCTTTTACGTAGACATGTACAAAAAAGTTGGCAAATTATGGTGGCTATATGCACATGTCCACATATATATGTAATAAATTATGTTCTCTTATTTTTGCTATTAATACATTTAAAAACATTTTTTTAATTTTTTTTATATCAATTATATGCGATCTTATAAAACATACGTTTCAATAAGGTTTAAATTTGATCGTTTCTCCCTTTGGTTGCTGCTTACACAATAACTTTTTCTTTCTTTCCTACTTGTCAATTACACGAATGGAATTTATCTTACTTAACAATTCCATATAACGTGATATCATTTATTATTGCATTTATGCTACAAAACTTCTTTCCTATGTGTGTATGCATGTATGTATGTATGTATGTATGTATGTGTATCTATGCACGCTTGAGCTTTACTCACATAACTTAAACACAAGCACACACGTCAAAATATCTTTTTTTTTGTTTTGTTTCTTTTCTTACATTTATTCCGTTGATTGACTTAATTTAATGTTTGCTTTTGTACTTTATTGACTAGCTGACTGGCTGTGAATCGAATCTATCAAGCAATGGAGAGCAATTGTTATGATGCTCTTGTATGTATTAATTTCATTCTTAAAATTAATTTCATAGAGTTGTGAACATTTTTTCATTTGTTTGTTGTCGTCCACATAATAGATCTATGTGCGTGCATGTGTAATAGCAACACATCGTTCATTAATTTCCGAGACTGACATATAGCGTCAAAGACTTCATTATTTGTTTCCGGATTATAGCGGTTTTAGTGGAGCCATTACTTTTGTTCTCGTCATAGCAATAGAAAAATCCAAACTTTCTCTCTCAGGGCTCAGGGATATTGCCTTTTGATGGGAAAATATGCCACTTAAACTCAGTCTTGGCTTGCAAAGTCTCATGATAATCCTTCTTCATGGAAAACAACCATTTGTCAGAGGTATTGTTTGATCCGATTATGATGTTGAGCGGAGTGGACTCAGCGTTAGAAAGCACAAAAAAAAAAAGACACTCAAAATTATTCTCGGTTATCGAAAAGTGAAATGAAATGACATTTTAAGGACATCAAAAGACGATTTATTCTTTATTAAAACATTAAAATTTTGAGCTTGAGAAAATGCTTGCTAAGTAGATATCACGTGTGTCTTCCTTCTTTTTAAAAATTGATGAATGCATAAATGGAAGCTCGAATAATCGGTACCCTATCCAACCTATTCTCCTAGTGACTATTAGATGCTTGCGCATTTTAAGAGAATTTCCCAGATAAAAAGATTCGAATGAAATAATGAGGTTTCGAAGTTCTTGACAAATTCTTCTATAAAAAAAAAAAACATCAAAGTGTTAGAAAAGCTTTGGAGTAATTGTCATCTTCTGAGGTAGACTATGTGGATGAATAGGATAGAGTTTTAAAAAACAAATATTCTATGTTCTCTTTTTGCTCCCGGCACTTATTGACCGGTATGGTATATTATCTTGTGTAACGCGTCTTACATACGTTGCAACAGCGAGTGAAACAGACTCAAGATATATTGCAGTGAATGGCATGCTAAGTAAATTCATTTTAATTAACTTGATTAATTCTTTTAAATAACGTTCATTAATATTTGTTATCTTTGATTAAAAAAGAAGAAAAAGTAAATTTCATATAGTTTTGTCTACAGATGTGCCTTGCTTAAAAAGCAAAAAAAAAAAAAGAAAAAAAGTTCGCTTTGCGGCGAACCTTGCATACGTATCGTCTCAAAATCGTAAAACATTTACTTCTCCTCACTGTGTTGGCGTGGATATGATTAATGTTAATACATATAGTAATAGTAATAGTACATATTATAAGTAAAATTTAAGAATGTTCAGATGTCTTTGTCGTAGTTTTTTCCCCCCTTCAATGACTAATCATTCAGAGGAAGTCCCCTATGCGTGAAGTTACGAAAGGGAAAGAGGCAGAGTTCTAGTGGGTGCGTGCCTATATCGACCGAACATTCCACCGTAGTAAACTCTGTCGTACTTGAGTTTTGGATCCGTGGTCTAGGGAAGTGTTTTACATGGATATGCAACACATTATTCAATAAGTTTGTAGGTTTACATACAGATATAAGAGGATTATGGATGTGCGTATGCGATTTGTAGATAGCACCAACCTTTAAGCGACCATCACACAGGTTTTCCGAGTTTTTTTTACAAAGTAAAAGCAGTTTCATTAAAATGACAGGAATTTGTAAAGTAATGGATGGAACGTCATTAAATCTTGATGACATATATAGAGTAAAGGACGGAATGTTATGAGACTTTGCCACGTTTCATTTGTAGTTTCAAAGTATCCAAAAACCTAAATGATTGCTAATAAGTGGCGACATCTGTATCTGTATGTTGTACTACGAACTTATT